TTTTTCACAATAACTACATAGGAGCTTCTACCAAATTTAGTCGGTGTTCATTCTGTTTTCTCTTACTTAATTTATCAAAGAAGCAAAACATATGACTCCTAAAACATTTGATATCCACAGCTGCAAAATTGATGACTATATTATTTTTCAATAGTGTTGATGGTATCTTTTTTCAATGAAACCATATCTTACTAACTTTCTGACCCTTCTTCAACAAACTCCACAACCCAATACAAGTGTTCGGATACATCAGTGAAAAGAAAAAAAAAATTAATTAAACCATAAAAAATAATATACCGCTCCCATTATTGAGTTGATGTAACTCTTTAAGGTGGTAATTCAACCACAAGAAATCGTGCAGAAATTATTTTTAATAGAATTAAAACTGCTCATGAAATTCTGAGGGGAAAAAAACAAACAATTGGTAATACTGATACTAATAGCTTTTGATAGATTATTTAAAGAAAACAAAAAGCTATATAGGTGGACAAAGTCTTGCCTTTTGAGGAACAGTAATCACAGACTTCCTCCTCCTGTTCCTTCATTTTTTTTCTTCTTCTTTCTACAGGATACACCTTAAAGGCTACACTGGAACGGCAGGCAAAATAAGCAGCATTGGGCAGCCAGGAAGTGATTTTAGTACAAAGGATGCAGACAATGACAAATGTGTATGCAAGTGTTCACAGCTGACAACAGGAGGTAAGAAAAACATCTCCTTTTCAAACTATTTTTCTTCCTGAATGATCCTGCCACCAAATATAAATATAAAATGTTTTTATTAGGAAGGGTTAGCTACTTATAAAGAAAACAATCCCACTAACACAACACCTGGCACTAGCCCCAAAGTCTTCAAGGACATTTTAAGGGCCGGTGTACTTTTGAGGCTGTGTCAAAGAGCACAATTAGCTCAGACTTAATCACTGATCTGCTCATTGGGGAGTTCAACACTGACAATAGCTGACATTAACAGCCTGGGAACAGAGCTTTTCCCTCTCTCCTCTGGTAGCTAATAAAACCCTTCAACCTCCCCCTTAAAGGTGACTCTGCTTTTTGACGATTGTCTTTATCTGAAACCAGGTCTGCCAAGTGAAGTTCATGATAAAAATAGAATAAAAAAAGTAAACTTGCATATCAAACATTGTTATGCCATTGTAATATCCTCCACCTCAGCATTAATGATGATGTTTGTTTTCTTCAACAAACAGGTCTCTGCTCTCTGTTAAAGGTACAAGTGCATTTTAGAAACAGACACATACCAATTGTTCTGAGGAGAAACACGAATATTCTCTGGAACTGTCAATAGAAATGTCATAGCAGACCTCATCAGTATGAGCTACAGAAAAATCCCGCAATGATTACAGTCTGATAAAAGCCTGATGATGAAAAAGATTTGCAGGGGTGGATTTAATAGGGATATGATTATGTAGAAAGCTTCTCATCACTATCAGTAAGTGTATAATAATCAAACTGCACATGCCTGATATAACCAGACCGCTGGTTGAGCCGCCAGTAATCAACTTGCATTAATAATATTAATAAATAACCCTTCTCAAAAAACTCAGCACTTCTTTTTCCTTCAATTCTAGGTAAAAACAGAAACGGACCTAATTCTGATGTAGTTTAGCATTATAAGCTGACTATTAAATGAAATACTTTGTAAAGCTTAAAAATATGAGTTATTTCAAAATTCACAGTTAACCTGTATCTAATTTAGTACCATGTTTTTCATTTTTAGGTAACTTTTGATCATGCATTAGGTGGAATTAAGGCTGTGGGATATGGCTTAAAAGTTTATCCCAATATAAGCCTTTCACATCAGTCAATATTTATTATTACAGATTGGATTTATGTTTTAGCTACTTTAAGAAATATCAATATCAATATGCAGAATTTAAACTGTAAGCCTAACCCGATTTAAATGCATTTTCCAACCTTTAAAAAGAGGTCAGCCCTACTACCAACCTCGCTTAGTTTAGCTGCGAGAGGCTAAGTCCTTTCCTCTACCTACATCCCCCAGAATGCCATTTGTTTCATGATCAGAGTTCAAGGAAATTGTAGAACAATCTATTGGATGTATTTTCTATTGATATTGATAAGGTGTCCATCACCATTGCCCTAGTAAGCATGCATGTTTAAGGAAAAAAAACATGCTTAAAGTCTGAAACGTTTTGAGTATATGGTTGGCTTTGACCTGGTACTCATCTTCAGGGGACAGGGCCTTTTTTTTTTTTTAAGGGAGGCACAGCACCTCAAATTAAAAAATCCTCATATATGGTGGCCTATAAGTAATCTTTAAAGAGCTTGATCTTTAAAGTGGAATTTCATTTTATTCATGCATGTTTCAGTTAGCCGGGCAAGCCAGACTGTCATTTTGTGACAGTGTCTGAGTAACAAAACATATTTTTCAACTGTGAGAGGTCTTGTACCTTGACGAGCCTAATTGCCAGAAGCAGTATAATAGGAGGCATCATGAAATAGGCGGCACCCAGATGGGGAGAGGTGGCTTATGTTATTTTGTGGAAATATTGATTATATGTGGAAATAATAATTATTATTTTATCTAAATCAATGCAACAAATCAAGACTCTGCATGGCATTGATAGCATTATACTTGCACTACATGGTGAATCTTCAAAATAGAATTCAACACCAATATTTTTACTGCGTTTTGCACCATATCTATTTATGTATTTTGCATTGGTCTTAACCATCCATATCAATGCCTTTTTGCACCATATCTCCCCCACACTGTGTACATCTGATCACTGCTGCACTTTATGAATTGAAATGTTCCTTTGCACTGCTAAGCTGCTGCTCATTCACTGTTGGAAAGCTGTATAAAAGAAATTTAGTTTTTTATACACTCTGTGTATACAAAATTACAATAAAGTTTGTCTAAGTCTAGAACATTCACAAACTAGTGCCAGAAAAAATTGCTACAGCAATTTAGAGATTGGGGTTGTTTGAAGATACTATAAGTACTAGAAGGCTCCTGTATTTATTTTTCTGGAGCAGCCGCCAGCTTTGGCCTTTAGGCCCAAAAAGTGTGGATTTAAATGAAAAAGGTAAGAGTTATATATTATAGGTCAGTTGTTAACTGCTTACAGCCTTTTTTAGAAACCCTTTGTAGAAATCTTCTTAACTACTCCTTAAATCACAGCAGTAGCTTCTAACCCTAAACCCAGATACTGTTTTAATAAAAGGCCAAACACATGTTCTGTTCAGCCGTCAACCTTTTTTTATCAATGCCTTTTTTTCTTTTAGGCTGGTGGTTTGATGCCTGTGGTCCATCCAATCTGAACGGGATTTATTATCAGAACGGCCAGAACTCCAATCGCTTTAACGGGATCAAATGGTACTACTGGAAAGGATCAGGATACTCGCTGAAGTCCACTACCATGATGATTAGACCGACAGATTATTCAGCCTTGCTTTGAACCCAAATTCAATAAGTGAAGTGAGACAGAAATGTTGCCCAGAAAACACTAGTACCAAAATTAAAGGTTTCAGTGGAAGCCACAGCACTTCATAAATATGTTTCAGTATGAATTTCTTCTTATTTATGTCTTTATTAGTTTGATCTGAAGGGGTTTGTGCACATAAAATGGGTAAGACACCTTAGGCATATCAGCTCTGTTCTGTTAACCAGGAGACGCCAGAGTTAAAGTTAGAAACATTAATACATAACTTATACTTCAGCAAAATTTAATTATTTGCCCAACTGTGATAAGAATACTAACTAATTATATTGTATATATAAAACATGGTACAAGATGCAGATAGGTAACTGTCTCAAAGTGCTTTTTTATGCATTACAGATTTATATTTTATGATTTAAATGTTAAAGCCACAAGAATGTCTTTCTATAGATCCAGTGTTGTTTGTCGTTTCGTTTAACAGAATGTCTGTACATTTGTTTAATTTATATGTTGGTATAAGGGATGATATTTAAGTCTATTACATGTAAAGGAAAATTTTTTAACACTGTCTATGCAAACAAATTCGAGAGAATATGTTTTACTATGTTCTGCCATAGATCCCAACATGTCCTTACATGACTGTGATGTTTTTGAGTGAAAAAAAACAGATTTGGGGATCATTTGTTTTGTTATGAATGAGCTGAAATATTAAGACACATGGAGTTTGAAGTTTTCCATTAGTTAACTTCATTAGAAAGCTTCATGAATTGTTTTTTTATTTTTTGGTTCTTTAGACAGATATGCTTTGGATTCAGTTGTATTAGTAAAAATTTGAATATCGTCAACAATTCGGTTTAAAGTTTGCTTCTGTTTAACCGATCTATAGACTCAGGCAATAACGCTTTAAACAACTGGAAAATGTTCTATGTTGTTCCTTAAAAAAGCTTTCTTGGTTTTCTCAAATACAACATACACAATAAATATTAAAGGGTCAAAATCTGTGTAGTGTTCCTTTCTGTTCATAAATACCAAGTCATCAGTTGAAAATTACTAAATAACAGATATTACTTTATGTTACTGAATCCAGGGTAGGGAATTGAGCAAACATGGGTGGCAAATGGGGGTATAGTGAGATTAAGGTTCTTGTTCAGTGATGATCTGAATTTCAAACTGGGGACTTTTGTGACTTTTCCAGTACAAAGATGCTCTCTTCTCTAAACGCTAAACCACCACCACCAATAATAACCAGATATTTTTATCCAGAATGAAGTGTAACCGTACATCATATTCTCTCTATCTACTTTCTCTGGATGTTTGGTGAATACTTTAAAATAAGGGGCATAATGAGGCATCCATGGAGCAGAAGGGCTTTATCAAGTTACAATTTTTTAAAGTTGATCATTTGACAATAAAGTCGAAGTTGAGTCGATGCATCAGGTAGGACTAATCCAGCTTTCATTGCTGTAGTAGTAATTCGCTACTAAACCCATAAATTATGCTAATAAGAGTTTTTTAACTTTGAAAATAACTGGATTAGATTAATGGATTAATTATCACTGTATGAATGTAGTACGGTATTACCTGTGCAGCAGGAAATTGGTCTGAAAGCTCATATGGTTCCTCTGGAATCCACTGTCTTTGCTCCAAACACCACAGAATCTACTCACAAATAAAGCTTACCGTAAGTCAAACATGTTTGAAAGATCTTGGGTTTTCGGAAGTGCATAGACATGGCTTTGAACATTTCCATACCCATTCAAAAGACAGGATCCAGCAGCCACGTGCGATACCCAACAGGATGTTCAGAGTCCGTCTGTGTCCCCCAGACACTACATGAGTTGTGCTCTCACACACTCGGTCGACGATTGAAAAACCACCCAGAGCTTTTACCACCTGCACCACGGTCTGCTGCTTCCTAAAGGAGGTGAAGGGGGCAAAAGAAAAACCTTTCATACTTTTTTCAAACCAGTTCATTCATGTATTTGAAGTAGTTTATGTAAAGCCTATGTTTATATTGGAGCTAACAACTAAATAGAACTTACTCGGTCGGCATGCTGGTCATGACAAGTGTCCTCGGAGGCTGAAACAGAAGTTAATAAGAGGGGTGACTTGGTTAATCTCAAAACAAGTAAAAAATTATATTTTAACATACTTTTAAATACATACAGTACATGATTCCAAACATCTATTTGTGAAGAGTGAATTATAATCTGAGTAATTGGAGCCCAATTGTAAATCTGTCCCTTGATAACAGCAGACCATCCAGGCACATAGTTTGGCAGCGATACAGGGAGCCATCATCGACACAAACACCTCAGCGACAGCTACAAACAGGACCACCAAGCCCTTTTCCTGTCACACTCCACTATCTCGTTTACCAGCTGGATGTCAAAGGTTAAGGCCTGCTGGCCACAGAGGTGTCAAAACAGTACACAACCCCACCCATGCCGGTTAAACACCACACTATTCCTGACATGGTACGTTAAGAAGTCACTTAGATGATAACATTGCTGCTGCACTCTTGCTTTGCCTCCGTGGTTCGGTATCTTTCTGAGAACAGTGAAGGAGGGTTTGAGTTTTAACGGAATTACTGGTCATTAATCTAAGAGGGTGGCTATAGAGAAGTACAAGAACCTAGAATATTCCGGTAGCTTTTCCGGAAAACTTCCTCCAAAAATGACTTGACATTGTTGTAAAACACACACATTTTTTGGCAGCTGGACAAAAATCCAGCGCAAGGGTGTGAACCGTGTATAATGAGCCTGCAACAAGGAACGGGTATAAAATGCAGCAAGTTTCTTGCGTGCAAATGAAAGACAATTCAGCACCAGATTACCTTATCTTCTTTATACTTTCTAAAGGCTATAGATTGGACCCAATGCCTTTAAACAAACAGAGGAATAATAATCAGCAGCCTTTGCAAATGTAAAAATATGCTTGACATAAAAGTTAAAGGTGTACTAATTAGGATAAATCGGCTGGAGAAACTTTCCTTTATTCAACAATTAAACATAAAACAAACAGTCCACATGTATGCCCCTCACCTTTATCAAATCATTTTTAAACCCCAAAGTGCAGAGAAGAACATCCTGTCAAGTCTGTTAGTTGATGATCTTAAACACAAAGCGTGTTTTTATTTTTCTTATTCATAAACAGAAAGAAAATCTAGTATTTGAGCTTCTAATCAACAATCAGTTTTGATCACTGAGTTTATTGTTTGAGTTTTATCTAGTGGAGCTCTCCACCACTGAAATACTTTTTTTTTCTTAGAAGATAATTATCAAACATTAACAGGGGAGGGGAGCCACTCCCTTTCCATCCTTTCATAAACTGATGTTCTTGTTGATCGTGTTGATTCCTCATGTATCCACAAGTACTGTAAAGGTTAACATTTATAGGACACGGATTCCCTGGTTTGATTCAGGTTTGGTCAAACATAGAAGTTGAAAGTTTAGATGATGCAAATACTTTTGATGACTTGGAAAACTAAACAGTCCAAATACTTCTAATGCTGCCTCACATGCTGTAATCATGTTATGGAGGATGCAAATGATTTTACTTTTAAAAGGATCCATCTTTTTATAAAGCAACCCATAAAGTTATTATTGTTCCATAAGGTATGTGAATGATCAGTATGAGCGGTTACAGCAAATTTAACAACAGAATGCAAATTCCGAAAAAAATTAAAAACAATCCACTGGACTTGGTTTCCTAGTTGAAGACGTTTCTCTTCCCATCCAGAAAGCTTTTTCAATTCAAAATGTCAGGAATAACGTTGAGTTCGAGATGAAGGGGCCCACCCATTTGGAATGGGGGTTGCTTGGCTTCTGTTGTTAGACTGCAATACCCCATACCCATCTAAGTGTCTGAAAGGTCGGTCTTTAAAGGTGATTGTTGGCCTGGCTGAATAGACGAGGTTCTACAGTGTGTAACGGGAAGGGATTAACTCAAAATCTGCATTGTAAGTTTTTGGAAGCTGGAACCTGAGGCCACCCCCTCTGCTTAAGGTTGGTTTTTCATTCTTCCTGACATTTTGAATTGAAAAAGCTTCCTGGACGGGAAGCGAAACGTCTTCAACTTGGAAACCAAGTGCAGTGGATTGATTTTTATTTTTTCGAAATAACTATGACCTGGATAATTGAGAACCTTCACCAGCATATACAACAATGCAAACAACTGTCCCAGTAGCAACATGGTTATCTATCCAGGAGGAGTGAATTCTGCAAGTGAATGACTGCATGCAATCTGCTTGATTTCTTAGAAAACGTTTTTTTTTTTTTTTTTTTATACCAATTTTTGTAATAAAGTAAACGACCTGTATTTTTTATCATTGGTTTAAATTGGAATAGATGTAAATGTAATTTGTCTACATAATTCCATTGAGTTGATTTTTGTTTTGGTAAAACATCTTAACCAGAATAGGTAAAATGAATAGTTGATGGATATCAAATCACTGTCTGAGTAATTAGTTCATCAAGAGTGATAATGATATTAAATATGAAGATTAGGCCGAATTGGACAAAAATCCAATGAAAGGGTAATCACAGTAATCATTTCACACGTTTCTGAATCTGATTAAATATTAAAAGACTGTTCAGAATATTTACCAATTTCTAGGGCTAGAGTTAATTGGCTGTAAAGTCCAAGAGTATTGGGAATTGTGTCGATAACATTGTTAGATTCAGTGATGATCATATAAAGCAACATTTTCCTTAAACTTCTGTCTGTCTTCCATGAAGGTCATAAAAAACACACTTCTAATGGCCTTTGCTTGCATAACACTTTTCAAGTCAAAGGACCCAAAGCTTTACACTACATTCATCCACACACTGATTGTGGTAAGATATATTGTAGCCCTGGGTCAGTCTGACAGAGGTGAGGAGACAACAAAACTACACCACCAGCACCCTGACCAGCAGCAGCAGGTAAGGCAGGTGAAGTCTTTTACTACAACCACAGAGCTGGAAAGAGTGGGTGCTCTGACCTGCAAACACAAGACCAATCCCTACATCCTGATAGATAGCCCCCCTCCGCCCTTTCCCCCCAAAAATTGCTTTTGCTCATCATGTTATTTCAAGTCAATTTCTCCCACAGCTACAGGTAGGTATGAAGTATTTTGCAAGATCACAGAGAAAATCAACACATTTTTTCATAAGTAGTCTAAGATGATAGGGGAATAATAAAGAAAGACAGTCCTGTAGGAAAAAATAAAACTGAAAAACAAACTGACATCAATCTCAGCTGCATGCGTTCAACAGATGACAGCTAAAATATTTTGATAAAATAAAATACAACCGTTAAACTAAGCTTATTTCAGTTTTTCCTTTATATACACATGAATATTTACTGCATGCAGCCTATAGTGCTCCTACATATGTTCTTTCAGTTTTTAACTCATGTAGATATTTAGTGAAAAAATTGCTGAAAACAGCATCTGACTGATATCAGATATCGCCTATAATTGATTTTTTAAAGAGATTTTAATAATGATAAACAAATTCTACTATCAAAGGTAAGTGCAAAAAGCATGGATATATAATTTAATGACAAATTGTATTTGTTCTGTTTCAATAGAACTAGAACATAAAATGAGATAAAATATAATGTAATCTATCAGTCTTTAAAGGGTTATAATGTTACTTCTAAGGCTTTGGGTATACACAGCAAGAGCACTAATCCAAAAAGCAAAAAAATTAAACATATCTAACAGTGATGAAGCATCTGACCTACGTAAAGTAGTCCAAGAATGATTAACAACTCATCCAGGAGCTCACAACAGAAACCACAACATTTAAAACACCACAAAGGATGCTGTTATTTTTCTCAGTTAAGCATAGTTCTATTAATCTAAACTGAGATAAATCACAGTAAATTTTGCAGTGTTAAAGTAACCCTTTAAGGGTTACAATTTATCACCAATCCAAGTGCATTTGGTCCCACTCTGAATTAGTGTTAAATTAACTCTACATAATGTATATCTTACTCCAGCTGTGTTGTAATAACTCTAAAAGAGTCAATGTATTTTGACACTACATATTTAGCACTGGAATTGACTGTGTAGAGATGGCAAAATGGCATAAATAGGAGAGTTTCAATGATAAAATCAAAGCTGAATGTAAACTTAAAGGCCTCCCACATTTTCAAATAGTTGTTAAAAGCATTTAATGTTGTGGAATAAAAATGTTAAATAATTAGACTTCAGCACTTGTTTTTTCCAGAGCAAGCTGGTGGTTGGGTCAACAATTATCTGAAATGTAAACAGTGTATTATCTAAATAAAACAAAGAAAACACAGGAGGTCATCCAAGTATCTATGTTAATAAAATCTATATTTCTCTTTTCCCACACTCATCCGGATGTGGAAGCAGCTTATTAAATTTCAACACCTGTCCAGAGTCTTCAAGACTGCGTAGGAAGCCCTACTTTTTTAAAGGCATAATTTACTGATTTGTCTAGTTAAGCAAAAAAAAAAAAATAAAAAATGGATATTCTATTTTTTTTTTAGCTGTTTATCCAAATTCAGCATTAGTAACTGCCAGAGTTCACAAAGTAGAATATTTGCATTAAAAGGTAAACAAAAAAACAATTATGACAGAATCAAATGACAGAATACAGTATCTCTGAGGGAGCAGTGGTGAATAAATGTGATCAGTGAGGGGCGTAAAACAAAGTTGAGCTGTTTTCAGCTACAGCTTGTTGAGGTTAGCAGCGTAACGTAAACAGAGCAGCAGGTGCATTTCCAAAGCAAGGAAGTTATGCTACTATCAAACAGCCGAAACACAGGAAACCCTGAGGACCAGAAAGAAAACACTCATCTAAATGAATCCAACGCCTTCAGCAATGGAAGCATGTAAGTCCTTAACGAGGAAATCCTTACTATGGAATTAAAGAAACAAAGGTGATGGTCTGTTTACTTCCAAAACTTTTTATATCACAAAAACAATCCAATTTTTTTGGGAAACAAATACTCTTCGGCATGTATAGCTATGAGGAGAGAACAAACATATCCCTAGGAAATACTCCGTCTCAATATCTATTCATCATTGATGTAGGAAAGTGAAAAAACAAACAAAAAGATCGAATATCATGACAAATTTAAACCAAGGTATGGTTTTCAAATTCATCCAATTCCAATAAAAATGACCTAAACCTTTACACTGAAATTCAATATAGCTACAAAAAGGAAGCATTTCATCTTTTTACCTTTGTTTTATTAACCATCTTCTGAAGACTCAAGCTGTCTTGCTTATTGTGATTTTCTTCAGCAACGGAGGAGATCTCTGTGGAACCAGCTGCGACGGAGTATTCATTTCCTCCACCTACGTATGAAAACAAGACAAACTATTTAAAATAGAGATGGGTCGGGGGGTGGGTTCTCTCAAGCTGTCTGACAGCTGTCGGTCGTGTTTTAGCTCATTTTCACTGTTATCTAACTCACAATTGTTCATTTAATCTTAAATTGTAGGATTTTAGACCACCAAATGTTTAGAACAGAGGAAACTGCATCAAAATGAAAAACCCCTGATCTCTATTCCATCTTGTTTGGAATTTGGCAAACTAATTTATACAATAAGCATATTTTCTTGACAATCTCAAATTAAAACAATTTAATCAGTGTCTTTGGTTATGTATTTAACACCTCTCATCTACCCTAAAGTGAAACATAATTCACACAAATAAAAAACATTTCTATCCAACCTCTAAGTATTTTTTATTAAATAAGCAAATTCCATGGCAAAGTCCCCAATACCAACTAGAATAAATTCAGTTTAAAAATGACCTCAGATTAACATATTAAGTGACAAATTAATTATTAATCAATCTAAAGACTGTGGGGAAAAATGTGCAAGAAAATTAAAAAGTCCCAAACGAAGACAGACAAAATGAACCCTTAAGAAATTACAGAAAGAACTGAGGAGAGTCCAACTATTGAAGCTAAACGGGTAAGGGATATCTTATATATATATATATTAGTATAGTATATATAGTAAATATATATAGTATGTATATATAGTTCAGGAGGAGGCACATAGTTTAACAGTTTGGCTGTCTATGGAGAGAAGGGTCACTGCATAGCTAAGCCTAACTGCTCCAAGGTACAAAGTTAACTTCATATCAAAATGTTACCCAAATACATCAAATAAGTGCTCAAAAGGTGTGACTAACATTTCGTATGTTATTCATACAAGTTTTCAAAGAATGCAACTTAACATCTCCTCAGAAGTAACAGATATATCCAAAATACACCAATGATAGATAAACCTGCAGTAAGAATGTGTTTATCCCTTCAGCATAAAGTTGATTGGACGAGTAGATGGCAGAAAACCTGTAGGACATCCCAAAATTGCCCGTGTTTTAACTTATCTGGACACATAGGCCATCAGTTCTAATCTTTTTTTTTTTTTCTTTGTAATTTAATATAAGCTAAACGAAAAACTAACCTTTAAACTTTAACAAAAATGTAAATTCAGGAGAGGACTAAATATTGATACTCCAACTTAAAATGGCTAAAATTATACAGGTATTTCCCATCTGGCGTATATGAATAGACTTTTTTTTTTTTTTTACACTTTTTAATGTTTTTAACCAAATAATACCTCACAAAAAATAATTGAAAGCTGAATAGAGCCCGCTGAGGACTAGAGACAGCAGTGATTTTAGAGATTGTAAAGAGAAATACATTTTTTTAAATCTTCCTCACTGTATGGAAAATAGTACACAAGTGGAGGAAATTAAAAGCTGGTGAAATTAGAAAGTGTTGCTACACAGGCAGGATTTTGATAGAAAAAAATATATATATATATGATTTTGAAAACCCAAAAATGTCATTAAAGGACCTATAAGAGCTGTCACTACTGGCATGGAAGAAAAAGCCTTAACCAGAAAACAGAACATGTTCGTAATAAACCAGACAGCTTTCTAGGAAAAACAAAAACCATGTCGACTATAAAGAACGGAGGTGGAAGGATCATGATGCGGCCCAGGCTGGATAGATCAAGGATCTTGATCTCAATGATATGCTTTGGGGTAACTTTTTCAAAGGGAACATGGTCAACTATTATATATATCTATTGAGGTGTTCTTTATTTTAAATAAAGAACAGTAAAAAAAAAAAAAATTCCTTTTAATTTAAAGTGTTTTCAACTTGTAAAGACACCTCAAATCTCTGGATAAAATTAACAGATCAGGCCTCATTTTATGGAAAATCTTTATTATTTGATTCCATTAACAAAAACAGCTAAAAAAAAAATCTTTCTTTTAAAAATAATCATAATGAGAATTTGCTCTTTGTAAAAACAGGTTTATTTTTAAATACTAATAAAAATCCACCTCCACTAGCACTGAAACACTGTTCCTTTTAAGTTTATTTCTACAGATTAGATTTAAAAACAATCACAGAATTGCAGTGCCGGCTACTGCAGATAGCAATGCTTGTACTACTCACTTTCGGAGCTATTATAAACTGCAGTGAAATCAGCTTTTTTCTGCTGCTCTGATTCTGGGATGTCCTTTGCTTTGAAGGGCAGTTTTCCTGATGTAGATGCTGATCTCCGCTTTTCTGTATCCTTAGCAGTTTTAGTGGTGCTTGAAACATCCAGAGAGCTTTTTCTTCTGGTTGCTTGATTCACATTAACGGCAGAACTTTTAAGTCCTATAAGAGTGTGTTTCAGATCTCCTTGAATACAACTACCGCTTCCACCAGATTCACCATCCACATTTTTTTTACACCGACCTTCTCCCATGTTCATCTTTTTCTTTTCAGATCCAAGGATGTAACTTCTTCTTTGCTTTCTCCTTTTTGGCTCAGGTTCTAACTCAAAAGGTAGCTTAATGGTGCTCTCCATAGGTAAGCTAGGCAAAAGAGGTCTTTTACGATTGGCCGGAGAGAAGTAGTCCTCAAACACATCATTATCTTCATTGGTGGAACCCGAGGGAACATGTTTGTGCTCACTGGACAGAGTGAGAGATTGCAGCAAGGTAGAAAAGGATAATCTGTTTTGTTTTGGTGTTCTCAGTTCAGTTTTTTTTGATAGGGAACTTTTTGTAGACATTTCAGTTGGAGCGAGAGCTGCTGTTCCTGACGATGCAGGGCAGTTTGAAGACTTTACAGTATCAGGGCAAACTTCGGAGTCAGTGCCTGTACATGGCTTTTCTTTCCTGACTGTTGGACTTTTATGATCAGATTCTTCAGGTAACGGCCTAGTTGGTTTGACATGGGCCTGCCTTCTCTGTTTATGGGGAGTTACGCTTTTGCCTGGAGTGTCCTGGACAGGACTCTGTGAAAAGTCTCCAGTTCTAAAGGCCTCTGCTACTTTTTTTCTTGCTGAACTTCTTCTTGGCTTTGTTTGTTTCTTATCTTCTTTATCCTCTTGATCATCAAAGCTAGACACACTTGAAAACCGTTTTGGCACATTGTGGCAGGGTGAGAGCCATGGCTTTGTAGAGTCTGGTCTAAGCTGACTGTGCTCTGCGGCATTAGCTGGTCTCTCCTCTTCCTTAGCAGGTGAGCCACCGGGTTGGGCAACGGAGGCATCCTCAGCCTCGTCATCCGCTGTGTAATTGAGATTACAAAAAATAAGATCAGAATATTTCTTTTGTGTTATATATAGTTAAAGTACAGTATTTCAGCTCAGGCAGCTGATGAGGATAGGATTAATCTCATCTCTCTTACAGGTAGATTGAATGAAGGTAGGTGTGCTTCCAAGAGAAGGCTTCAGCCCGATGGGTGAGCAAGAATCAGCATTTTGTGACGCTGAATAGCAAAAACATTTTAATTAACTTATTTACTTTAAATGTTCTGAGAAGGTGTCAGAGATTGATCAGTTTCACATAACATACACCTGCAGCTTCTTCTTACCTGTGGGAGAAATGTTTTCCCGCGTTTCTTTCATCTCTTTCAAGCGCTGTGCCATGTACTCTGACCTTTTCAAACCAGGGCTGTAGATTATTCCATTCTCCTCATCGATGATGATCGGTGAACGATCTGCAACTGAAAATAACATCAAGGACAAGATGAAGCATCACATTGAAAGCTGCAAAATAAAAATAAAAAAAATCTCTGAGTTAAAACCTCTTACCATGAGTTTCTAATGGAGGCAGAGCTTTCACCATTTTGTCAAATTTCTTCTTCAAACGCCAATCATTTTCTACTGTCTTTACAGGAGTATCTTTTGGCACCATGCAGCGATGCTACATGAATCAGAACAAACTTTTAATAAAAAGCAATAAAACACATGACAAACCCCTCCCCCTTAAATCTGCCCAATTTCATATAGAATATGGCCAAGTATTGGGACATACTATAAATTCTACGTATGAGTATTTTTTTATGCCTGTCAAAGCTGAGGTGGGATCTTTCATATAAATAAAAGAGTCAAAAATTAACCAGAAAAATTAAGCTTAATAAAATTACAGTTTTAGACTCCTAAGCTGCTGCTTATGTTTCCATTAAAACAGTGAAAATAAAGACATGGCTTTATTAAAAATGAAAAGAATATAACAGAATTATATTTTTCCAAAATCACAAATTTTTTATTTTTTCAATACTGAATTTATTTCCATCTTTATGTTGTTCATGGTCATGTAAATCCAATATTAAGACATATTTTTATCTAACAAGGAAAGAGTAAAAAAAAATTAGAAAGAAAAAAAATATTCTGTTTCCTTTGGGAAAAAGTGTTTTTTGATCTGAAAAATTTTAGATAATCTCTTAAATATTGAAACTAATCAACATGATGAAAAATGAGGTGGTGTGAACCATAGTTCAGATTTAGAGGATCTTTTTTATTTCTGATTTATTTTTCCTTTTTACCACTTACAGTACATTTTTTTTTTCCTTTTATGATTCAACTTCAATATTAACTCTTCACCCACACGTTTAAACAGTAAAACCCTTTGAAAATCTGAGTCTCCTCACCCGCCTGTTTTTCATTACAGGATTTCTTTCATCATTTAAGGCTGGAAACAACTCCTCATCTGCATGTACGCCTTCATCATAACACCTGGTCACAGTACAAAATAAGAACTGCATGAGAACAACCTCTTTCATTCTTCAAAACACTGCAATAACTTGGCAACATTTCTTTAACTAACTTAAAGTGCCTCTCACCTTCCGACCCAGAGAACAGACACAAGTCGGACATCAGTTTTCTTAGCTTTCCTCCATGTAGCTTCATGTCCATAGTTGAATACCACATGTGTGACCTGCTTACTGAATCGTTTCAATACCTTTAAAAGACATAGGGTAGAATAAGTGATGGCAAACACACAGTGTAGATGTTGGCGCACACCACGAACTCTTACATTTCATACTTACATTTTTCCTGTTCTACTTCAGTTAAGAGAACCAAATATACTTATAATTTCACTAATGATGAGCAATGACCCTATTGAATTCTTACAGATTATTTGTAAGTGGTTTACAAACAGCAAAGTCAAGATTTTGGACAAGCCATCATCTCATTGTAATAAAAAATGTCTGCAGAACTGAAAAACTGTGCATGAAAAAGTGACGGCAAAAATCAGACACTTACACTGATTCAATTGAGAACCAGATGGAAGGATAAGCAAAACATCTGACACAAGTCACACAGCCAATATAGCAATTACACAGAGTGAAATGGATACTGAAAACTTCCACATATAGAGATACTTCACAATTACTATTATATTAGCAATTGGATACCATTTTGGTTATCCTACCTCACCAAAAAACTAAAAAAGTGTAGTCTATTTAATGTGAGAGATTGCAAGTATCTGGGTTTAACTGTACATCAGGTCTTAACACCGCAAAATAGATGGAGAGACGGGTTGTTTTACCTGAGCTCCCATTTCCTCCAACTGCTGGATGAAAGGTTTTGAATAGTTTGCTCTTTTATCAGAGGACCACACATCAACATAGGCAACCACATCTGAAAAGACATTTGACAGATTTACATATTTCGCTTCTAATTTCAGAAATCATTCAACATACTCACAAATAAAAAAATAATACCTTTAAGAACTGAACTTCTGCTTGAAGCCATCAAAGCCTTCTTAACTCTTCAGTCACTATAAAAAAAAGTAAGAAAAATGTGTGAAATTTAATTCTGTTTTAGAGACTCTTTCATGTCAACAAAAAAAAAAAACTTTTAAATAAACACTGCTTCATCAATGGAGATTTTAAATTGAGCTAGGAGGAGGGCTGAAAAAATTAATTTGATTAATCGATTATTGAAATAATCATCAACTAGTTTAGTAATCCATTAAAAGTTAACTGGAGTATAGAGTTTCTAAAACATGCCTTTAGCTGACAGAGACCAACATAACCAACAATTTGCAATTAACATTAAAAACAACAGCTATTTTGTCTCTCAAAATGCTCTATCCAGAACTCCTCAAATGGAAAAGTGGTAGTTTCACCTGGCTTAATTTCATAAAAAGTCTTCCTTAAGGAACCTTCGGCTATCCCATTATTAATCACTTAAGCCAAAAAAATAATTGACAGAATTATTTATTTGCAAGATAATCATTAGCTGCAGCCCTACTAGAAACCCAGCATCAACCATAGTATACCATAGTATAACCCAGTTTCAAGACAGTCTACTAGTTACTGCTTTTAATAAGCTACCATTAAAGGAAATTGCAGTGCTAACAATCAAAAAAATAATAATAAAATGTCTAATTAACCTGTTAAGAATATACAGGTTCATAAAAATCTGTTGTGTATCTAAAAACAGAGGAAATAATTTTATCATATAACAGAGACAAGAAAGAGCAAGCATACCATATTGTTTTTTGTTTTTAACCTAAGTATTTGTATTACACAAATTAAAATGTTATCATCCTGTTATTCACGGTATGTCTACTTTAAATTTGGTATATAATAAAATAATATAAAAAAGGTCAATCTGATTTGTGTGGTATTCCAAGTATAAATGCCCTCTGCGGGCATACAGAAATTATGAGTTGGATAAAGAAATGTAAAGGGATTAATAACCTTGTTTACTTTATGTTTGATTTTCATATATCTAATTAAGCAGATAAGACAATATCATAAAACCTTATATATATTATATTTCAGTAAGATGTTCTGATTCCAGTCCAGATTTTGTCTGCCTATTAACTAGATTAGTAAGAAATTAGAAGCACAGGATAAAAAGATTTTGATCTGTTGTGGAAGTGGCTTTTTATCCTAAAGGAAGAATTATGAGACATTTCCAAACTATTACAGGTTTATATTAAAAGACAGTGGCGGTAGAAAATATATTACCGCGAGTTCCTTTTTAAATAGTAGAACTCGAGTCATACATTCATCTTCTCTCTTAAGACAATTAAATGTCTTGAATATGACTTATACAACTTTTAATTGAAATTTCGTTTTGTACAGCTTTCATGACATTTCCATTTCATATGATTAACCAATCCAGTTTAATTGGGGGCTTTCCTTTGCATTAATTTTGAATGTACTCTCTGTTCAAATTACGCAGGCAGCAAACTAATGATTCTAACAATACATGCATCGTAGATAGTCATAGCCGTTTCTCTGCTAAGTTAGCAAAGCTAGCCGTTAGCACTGTGCTAGCGTGAACACTTCCGTCACAAAATATTATTCGTTTTACTTTTTCGAATCAGTACAACCATGTGGCAGTAAACACTGAACAGTATACTTTAGTAACTGGTACTCACTTAATGTGTTGACGAAGGTTTAACGATATTAATAACAGTCAGTGAGTGAATGTACTTCGCGCCTGTAGTTTGTATCCTAATGCATTCTGGGATGGAAGGAAATGATTGGCTAACACGTCACACGCGTCGTTCTTTAGTTATGGAGTCGGTCACCATGGATTGTATATTGCATATACCGGTATGACCATAAGATTGTCATATATGGATTGTTGCTGTGTACAGAAACTTAAAAAAAAATGTTTAAGAGAAAAATCCACACATTATTACTATTACTAAATAGAGCTTCATTGAAAATGAAACAAGTGGCTTAAAAAAGATGCAATGTTTAATTCTTTATTGCACAGAGGAGATATAAAGCATAGCATTAGAATAGTACTGCTTTGTTATTTATTATAATGTCAAAGATTAATCATTCCAGTAAAAAAAACACAAAAGTTTAATCATTTACTACCCAGACAGAGATGTATTACATGCATTTAGATTTTAAAGCTGATGTGAAACTCTGAATTCAGTTGCTCTATGAATGTTAATATTGCAGAAAATAGATAAAGGTTTGGAGCTGTTGGTCTGCTAGAAAGTATGAATCCTATGAAAGTGCTTCACTGTGTTTATCTCTGCATTCTTTCTTTTATTTTTTTATTTCTATGATTGTTGTGCTCAGATAACACACTCTATGAAAAGCCACCATCTTTAGCCATTACATGCTTGCCCTGCTTGTTGTTGGGACAACTGTCAAGGCAGCAGTCATTAATTTCCTGATTATGTTGGACATAAAAGAGCTATAATATAAAAATGCCCTTTATCATTATTATTTCAAATAAACTAATTTGTTTTCTCATTTAGCAAAACCTAAGCAATAGTATTTGAATTAAACAAAAATAAAAACCTTCAATGTATATATAAAAAAAAAAGAGTCAGTTACCATGGACTCCAAGAAGGAAATTTGTATGGTCCTCCTTTTTCTCTGATATTACCTGGAAAATAACATGGCTCCTTCCACACAAATTTGCAATTTCCAAAAAAATAAAAGAAATCCAATATAAAATTATACATAACATTTACCCTACTAACGCTTTTTCAGCAAAATTTGTTAATATTGATGTCAACTGTGTATTCTGTAATACTGAGGAGGAAACAATTAAGCACCTATTTTTTTAATGTAAATTTTCACAGATATTCTGGAAAGAAGTTGAGGTTTACATCATATAGCACTCCAACACACCAATTAAATTACAAGCCAAAGAAATCATCTTAAACTATACTAATAATGATAACAAAATGCAACTCTTGGTTAACTTGATTATTCTAATTGCAAAATTCCACATACACAAAACCAAATTTTCCAAAGGTCGACCTTTCTTCCCTGTGTTTGAAAATGATTTAAAAAATTACTTCAATTTTATCCAAAGAATCAACAATAAAAAATGCATACACACTGTTAACGTAATTCAGGAAATATTTGGAGAAATGTAATATATCTTGCCTTTTTTTGTTTTGTTTTTTATTTGTTGTTGTTGTGTTTGAATCTCTTCCGTTATCTATTTAAGTTAAAGTATGTTATATTTTTATTCTAATTGTACTCCATCATTGAACACTTACTTTGCAGATACTGTTCTATATCTTGTGATATTTTTTGTTAATGTTTTGTAATTTGCAACTTTTCAATAAAGTTTTGGATTAAAAAAGAAAAAAAGAGTCAGTCACCATGGAGACAAGGCTTAATTTCCTGTCTCTCAAGGGATCCTCATGCAAATGAATGAAGTATTGCCAAAAGTATTTGGTCACTTACCAAGAGGACGAATTCGGCTTTTCATGACTGCATGTTTGGTTATTGATAAACCTTTTCCCTGCATAAAGTCTAGATGTTAGGCTTAAGGTTTTATAGAGCATTAGCTAAAACTAAAATTTTGGTTTTCTCATCAAAGTGCAAATCCACTTGTGTAAAATCTTTAGAGAACAGTTAAGCTGTTGTTGTGGGAACAGTAATCCATAAAAAAATATATAGTATGTAATCAACATGTAAAAGTAGACAGACTAATATTAATACTTTTTTGTATACCCATCAGTGACATAAAAACTTGGTAAATAATAAAAACAGTTGCACAGTACAAACTTTTAGAGAGAATACATAATGCAGGTTTTGAATAATGATGTCCTTGAGCTGCAGTCAAATTTTTTATTGTTGAAACTACTCAAGAAATACTTAAATATGACTATATGACTGGTACCATAATAGGTTGCTGTTTCAGTAGGTTGTTCCGTTCTTTTTTAGAACAGTGTGTGGGGACAATTATTCAACCTTAGGAAATCATGAAGTACAGAAGACTACTTCATAGAATTACAAACAATAATGATTTTTTTCTTAGGCTAATGCATTTATCAATTATATGAGCCATTCTAACTTTCTTTTACATGCTGCAGTAGCTACATATTTATTATTTAAGGGACCACATTAGAAAGGTTTGTCTGTTTTCCCCCGGCCATTATGAGTGGTCCCTTAAAGAGCCTAAATGGATGTTATTGTTTCTGTGTGAAAGAATAAATGTATTAGCATATCTTAAGTGTGTTGGAGATTGTATTGAAGTTACTTAAAAAATAAAGAGCCGAAAAAAACATGCTCTACACCAGACACAAGTTAAAATAATGAATAAAAATTGAGGTATGTGACCACCAATAAGTAATGCAACATGGCTGATAACTAGTACATAATAACTATTTAAGTAAGTCATATTAACTGATATAGTGGCATTAACAATTAGACATACACTTAAATTATATTTAGTTATACAACATTATACTGAAAAGGACTGACAAACTACTTTGTGTTTCTTAAAGGTAAGAACATTGTAAGATAGCATTTTGAAGGTACATTTTTTTCTTTTTGAAGTTTAACCAAACTAAGACCACTGTTATTCCAAGTCAGTTCAGTTTATTTACATAGCACCAATTCACAACCAACAATGCCTCATTTTCATTACAAATCACTCAGTTTAATCTAACCATACAGAAAGTTTTAAAGTCAATAACCTACATTCCAATTACATCCTAGTCACCACACAATGCTTTTTAATTCAGTTTTTTTTAAATTGGTTATAAGGTATAATGTAGAAAGGGAATCCAGCAGATTGCATCCAATCAAATACCTGCAGCATTCCCTCCTAAATAAAACAGTTTGGAAAAGCTTGAATGATGTCATGAGTTTGTCAGTCTCTGATAGTATACATGTTGTACATTTCAGTTAAACGATCATCCAACACGCTTCCTCCTGATATTAAATCATAAAAAAAAAAAAAAAAAAATGTTAACTGGGCAAGAGATCATGAGGACAATTTTAAACCTCCATATGTTTTCTAAATCCTTGGGAACAATACATTTCCCAAATGGTGCCTCATTTATCTGTTTAATCAATTACAGGCAAGCATTAACATCATAATGATATTATAAACATTTTAGGTTGAACTGTGCTTATTTACTTCAGAAAAACAGAAGAACAATATGAAGATACTGCCAGGAGCTTGAAAGAAACTGTCAATGTTAAAAGTGAAGTGGATCTGGTACTGACATTGGCTAAAAGACCACTTAGTGACTGGAAAACCATTACTCCAAAAACAATATGAAAAGCTAGATTTTAGTTTGTTAATGTGCTCATGAACAAAGACCTTACATTTTGCAAACCTAACACCACCATCCGAACCATAAAGTATTATAGCTGCAGGAGAGGCTGCTGTTATAAACAAACAGGTGTCAATGCAATGAAAGAAGATCAAGAGGAGATATTGAAGCAACATATCACAACATCGGAGTGTAAGCATGGGAAAAATAGGTCGTAAAAATGGACTGTGATCCTCTGCATTCAAACAAATTTGTCACAAAGTGACTTAAAGACAACAAAGTTCATATTTTCAAAGCCTGGTAGTAAAAGCTAAAAACGTGTATATGAGCAAATGACTCTAGTTCTGACAGGTGGAAAGGGGTAACGCTTTCAAGAAGCTTGCATGAGGATGTCTAAAATATTTGGTCAAAGTCATATATTTCAAAATAAAATTTACCGAAAACTAATGTAAAGTACACAAACTTTTCAATTTAAGGAAACATTAAATCAACCTATTAGCAACTTGGCTTATAGGTAACAGTAATATTGTTTGTAAAGCTAAAAATTGAAGAAATCTTTTTATTTATTTATATCACAAAGTGAGTAAAACATTTCATGAAAGTACAGATGGACACGAAATTGTTAAACAAAATGTTTGAGCAGTAAAACCTCAAACATGCAACAATTTTTCTGGACATGTAAATTAGCATTATAAAGTGATTCCTACTACTTTTCTGCTGTTCAGTTTCTCCATAAGCTCATAACGAATAAATAGACATTTTAATATTTATACAAAACAAAGCCCAAACACAGCTAATAAACAACTTAGCTCATCAAAAGAAATGTAAACCATGTTAATAAGCCATATATTTTTACCTTTGTCATAAAGCACAAAACTACCCATATTATTCTTGACTGTAAAAATCACATTTACATTGCAAAAATGCTATAACCACAAAACATGCTGTAGCTGTGATAGGTGTTTAACCAAACATCTTTTTAACAACCTTAAACTAAAACCTTTAAATTACCTCTAATCTTTTAAAACAAATACTTTTATTAGTTACCATGTTAATTATATGGATGTACAGATTAAGAAGAACTAACACAGAAATACACACTACATGAACTGAAGTTTATTTAACTAGCTCCTACTTTTGAGACATGAAGTATGCATGAATGTCACACTGAGTTGCTTCTGCACTGAGGAGGCACAGAGGTGCGAGACATTTCCATGTGTACTGTGGACATGGGAAAACGCTCAAACTCTTCTTCTTGTGGGAAACAGCGACAGTGGAGCAGCACCTCCCGCACTTCCTGTCGAAAGTTGGAGTTGAGGAAGCCGTAAATGATGGGGTTGATGCAGGTGGAAGACATGGCCAGGAGGTGGCAGAGGGAAAAAAGCAGGTTGTGGTGGCAGACGGGCAGAGCCTCCAGGTTCCAGTCGGCCAACACGTTGAAAATGGTGAGGGGCAGCCAGCAAAGGGCAAAGGCTGTTATGAGAGCGACCAGCATGATGTTGATTCGCCGGCTGTTGGTGATGCGCTGGTTTTCTGGGGTCCTGGCACGGTCCAACATGTCTTTGCGGTGACGAAGGCGAACAAAAACCCTGACATAGCAGAGTAGTACCAATAAGAGTGGACCGCAGTATTGGAAAAGAAGAAGCCATGTGGTGTACGCTACCCTGTGTTCATGAGATGGCCACTGCTCCACACAGGCTTCCATGTGTGGGGAGGTGGGGACATAAGAGAAGAGAGAGCGATATATATTTAAAGGCACAGATGAGTTTCTGTAGGAAGGTGAGACAAACTGGGGAGGAGATGCATTGAGATAAACATGGGGAGACAGCTGTGGGTGGAGTGGTAGCACTACATTGGTATATGGCTCTTTAGTGAGCAACTGAAAGGCTAAAAAAGGCGTGGATGTGAAGCTGGCAAGCACCCAGATAAAAATGACAGCCATGTAGGCCTGGGGAATGCTTGGTTTCCATCCAGATGGGTTAATGATGAGCTGATGTCTTTCTAAAGCAATGAAAACCAAAGACAGCACTGACACTGTCACAGAGACGCACTGAATAAACGGCACCAGACGGCACAGCAGAGACCCAAACACCCAGTGGTCCATAAGTGTATAAATGACAGTGAAGGGGAGACAGAACACACAAACCAAAATGTCAGAAAATGACAGATTGCAGATGAAAATGCTTGTGACATTGACTTTCTCTCTGCGATGGGTGATGATGCAAATGAGGCCGATGTTCCCTACCAGCCCCAGCACCATTGTAACACTGTACCATACCACAAGGCATGTCGTGAGGATGGGGGACATGTGGCATTGCTCTTCGTGCTCAAGAACAGAGAGGTCTGAGATAATGTGGGTTTTGTTCGTAGACCATCCCTGTACGGAGTCCTGATCGGCCCTTTCCTTCTCCCAAAGCAGAGAGTGTGAAGCGGTGGAGCCACTGAAGAGCAGAGGTAATGCTGGTGTAGGTTTGCTTGTGTTGGCACTGAAGGACATCTCTCTCTGGAACTAACCATCCATTCCAGTCTACTTGAAACATACATCTGAAAAAGAGAGGTAAAAAAAAAAAAATAATTAGGTACAATGAGTTTTACGAGTTTAAATATCTATTCACAACAGATTGTGTGTGAATTATATGCAAAAACAAAATATTTGGATAGATTTGTTAATGCTAACCCTTGCCTAATGATAAAAAAACTTGCAATATTTATGTCTTGTATTAAGGTTTTTTAGAAAAAACATAATCAAATCGCCTCTGAGATGACTAATGATGAACATCAGTGATTGACAGCAATGGATGCACGGTCCCTAGTGATGCATCTTCTGAAGGCTTACATTATTTTTCAAATGTCAGTTGAATTGATTGCCTTGGAACATGACTGATCTTTCATTAACTCAAGCAAGAGCTTGGCAGTAAATTAAGTGAAAAAAATGTAATTCGGCTGTCAGAGGAAAGTGCAATAACTGGTAATATCGATCCAATCCTATCTATCAGGCTCCTGGCATTTTTAAGTATCCTGTTTAGAATCTCTTAATAAAATACAGTCCTGATCCATATTTTCCGGTGCTTTCTCAGATTTCCTCATCTGCTGTACCAATAGTAAGAAAATGAAATCAGGCAATAGACTAACAATGATGCAACTGTGAGTATAATTTATTATTATAAATTATAAATATTATTTTATTTTCCTTTGGGATTGATAAAGTATTTTTAAATTGGATTGAATAAAGTTTATAGATAAAAAAAGGGCTTACAAGATCCTTCAGCATTATACAACGCTGTAATTGAAACCTTTTTTGTTATGTATCTGTCTTCCTGCTGAATGTCTCCTGACTTCGCCCTCATCACTAGAAGGAGTTTGTGTCTTGATATATCTTGATTGTATTTAAGGAACTGTTTATAACAAGTGAAAAAAACCCAAAACGTGATATTTGGCCTCTAAAATACACTTTAATGGATCTGTATCCAAAGAAATTGAGGAAAAATGCTACTTTAAACAACTACTAAATAACATAAGGGGACAAAATAAAGTTTTTATTGACTAATTTGATATTACAACCAGCCCTTCTTCACTGTGTATTTGCACAAGCTGATATATCTCCTGTAAAGTCATTGCCCTTAAAGTCACATGCTTTTCAAGACGAAGATAACAGCTTTGTGATTCTAAAAATTACCTTGCATACCCTGCAGTAGAGATTTTGCTTTTGCACAGTGACTGATGTGGTACGTCAAAGTGAAGGGGCGTGACATTGTCAGACCCCTAAAAATGGATTCAAACTATTTCCCCTCGATCCTCTGCCATGTGCTGTGAAAGCCAACATCATAAACAAAATGAGACTGTCACTTTCTATTAGCAGCACATGCACTTGTCACTTCACGCTGCCTCCGTACTAACCTATCTTGTCAGTGTGTGGACTGAGCTGTGGGCAGCGTGGCGTAGCATTGATCATCCTTTGTTAAAGGGGTGCCTGTTGTATTGCCACCACTGGTTAGATGTAGAGCTAAAATCAGATATTCACCAGAAACACTGGAAAAGATACCTGTTGCTTTGAACAGTTTCACCCTATAGGATCTCAACCATAAGCTGGACATTAAGCTTGTAGTGATATTTTGATGGCCTCATCTTTGAGCTGAATCTCTGTTGGGTAAGAGAACATCAAGACCTGCCCGGCTCCATCCGCCCAATTTTATTCTTCTTTTCTCCATCTACAGTATCTTCCATCTCTCGGAAAATAGCAGACATAGCAATGAACAAATGGCTAAATGTAATTTTTGCTACCCTTGTTTTTTTGTTCTTACATTAAAGTGGCAACATGTTTTTCCTTTATTAATCTTAAAGTACCTTTTTATTTGCTTTGATGTTTATTAGATATCTTTTGTCAATGCATGGCATCATCACATTTATTGGCGACTATAACCCTTTGATGATGTTATGAGAATGGTTCATGGTAGAATATTTATTATAATAATGTGCAAAAGCCATCAAAGTTCAGGCGTTTAGGGGATTTAATGCTGTTTGTCTACATAGGAATCACAGAGAAAAAGAAAACCATAAGGACACAGCTCATCTGAAACAAAAAATGTTTCATGTTAAAATCAAACTGCTTATTCAAAGCATACATTGTGTTTAAAAAAATAAAAGCTGTGATCTTGACTTTTTCTTTCCTACTTTGGTCTTTCAGTATCATGTCAAACATGAATCCATTGAGCACAGATCTAAAGAACTGCCGACATGATAACATTTTTCTCCTCTTATGCTTCTCTGTGTTAAGATAGCAGAAAACCGTCTGCTCTACTCATCCTATGATAATGACCTGAGGTTCATTGTTCTCTGCTTGAGGTGTCGTGGATTGTAGGCGAGTCCTCTAAATACATTTCCTTTGTAATAATGAATTTTTATCTTCACATTTTTATACAGCCCTGCCAGTAAGTCTTGTTTCCTCAGGTTTTCATTTATTTTTGCTTCCTTTATTCAGTTTAGATGCTAAAACTGCACATACATCTCATAAAATAACGTCAATCATACAGTAATGTTTAAATGCATCCCTCAGAATTAGTTTTAACCTAAATTTACACAAAACAGCTTTATGTCTGAATACAAAGCAACATGATCACATAGAAATAATCCACACTGTTCGCAATTAAATATTCCAAATCACTTCAGTTGAATTATTATCTTATTCATTACATCATTATTGTCTGGAAGACATTCACTCACGTGTGGCGGAGGCTGAACAAAGAGTTTCTGTGATTCCTTGAAGGCAGGAGAAGATGCTCTGAACAGGTGTGAGTCCACAGGGTGGAGAGTTGTAGAAGGAGCTGAACATCATAATAGCCGGAGCCTTTCTGGCAGAAACAGCAGTGGTGGGAGAACAGCTATAATTGGGCTGTTGGAGCCATTTGGGTGCAGGAGACCCCATGAGGGTCGATCTTTGCTGTCACACAGTGGTGGGATCATTATATTACATCGGCTGCTGTGTAGACTGTGGGCCAAACATTTAGCAGACTGAAAAATTACAGCTGGAAGCTACAAGGTTATTACCAGTTGAATTTAAATCAAGACAAGACAAACTATGATAGCTGCTGTAATATGTTTTTCATTGGCTATGAACTGTGTGTAAGCACTGTTACTAAATGAAAACATTTCACACAAAGAGGAAAAAAGCATATTGAGGTTGAACTAAAGTTGTCTCTTTTACACTAGGGTTTGCATTGGGTCTTCATAGAGAATTACTCTCATGTGTTTTGTCTGACTAACAGGACACGTTTGGCAAAGCAGGCGCCTTTATCTCCAACAAACTCACAGGTGCCTTCAGAGGGATCCTTGATAGAATATAGGGAACAAGCCATATTAAATCACAATAAAAAATACTGATAAAGAAATAACTTGGCATAAGTGTATAAGTCAGTTACTAAAAGAGCTGCTCAGCTCCTCTACAGATAGATTTAGAGGAATTTCACTATTTCTACAAATAAAAATCTGGGGACATTCATGCGTATTTAGCCACCCTTGAGCAAAAAAAAAAAAAAATAAATAAATTGCTGAAGTCATATGTTGGAGTGTGTTTTTACCAGCTTCATAGATGCATGGGCTGAATGTTTCACCTGTTTGTCTTCATAAAAAATAAAAAAAATACACACACATCACATAATCTACTATACAACAAACATATGTACGGTAATGTAATTAACTCCATGCCTGGATTTTAAGATCTACTTGGTGGAAGGATGAACTTAGAGATTTCTGCTTATGGTTTTCTATCAGAAATGCTGCTCTCCAATGTTTACTCTACCAATCCACATCAGCTCTCATCTGCTTCAAAGTCACTGCTGAAGACAAGCATCACCACACACCATATATTCTTTCTTAATTATAGTACTGGTCTCCAAATTTTAAGAGTGACCCTTATGTGATTTGTAGTAAACTCCCTCCAGGACTTCTTCTTTTTCTTTTATTAATGGCTTTTTTTTCTGCCATTCTTCCATAAAGGTTTAATTTGTTGAATGCAGGACTGAGTGTGAAACATAAGCCTCTTTGCTTCTTCCTTGTGCATCATTGGTTGCCATATTCTTTCTATTCCCTAATGTTCTTTGACAAACTTTTCTCTCTTGGTACTCCAGCTAACCTCATGGCCAAAATAACATGACTACTACTGGTGTCTCCAAACTGGTGGATGGATGGATGGATGGATTTAGGAAGTTGGAATTTATGCATGTCCAGTTATTCCCATATATTTACGTTTGAAAATCTAAAATCATGTATAATCTATTAATCTTTCTAGTTATTTACTACTTTATTCTGCTTTTTAACAAACCCAATGAAGCGCCTTTGAATAGATTTTTGTAATGTAAAAAAGTTCAGTCTCTATGAGTTCTTTCACCAGGCTTTATGTTTAATCAAGCTCTGATCTATATATAGCAGACCTATTTCTAAATGTTCCAGGTAAATGAAAATAAAGTGGAACAAATTGTCCTTCAATATCAAAATTCTACTTTTTCAATCAAAAAGGAAATAGAAAAACACAATTTCAGTTTTCACAGATCTTTCAAGCAAAAAGACCTGATGCCCCCCTCCTCAGCTGTCTGCCTTTATTATGCATAAAGATTAACCATCTTTAAAGCAATTACTTTTTCACACATGCACCTGGAGGTAACATCCACTTGAGATCTCACAACCAGCATACAGGAGGCAGATGTTGGATATAGTAGGCATTGCGATCGAGATCTGGTTTCATGCAACCATAAAGACTCTGTGTTAAGAAGCAAAAACATATATTGTTTTAGACAAAAAAAAATCTGTATTGAGGGAAATATTTTATGAACAAGAACCGGATAGAAATCTTACAAGCTGCAGGTGCTCAAACCCTGCTTTGTGCAGGAACACTCCTTGCAATTGCTTACCCATTGAGACTCGAGCCAAGCTGCTTCCAATCTTCATCCACACACCCTGAACATAAAAAACTTAAACCTGTTTTTAAGAAGCAGCTGGTGTGCCTATCTCTCTCTCTCTGATAAATGCACATCTCCTGATAATCATATTTCTGTTATGATTTTTGAAGTGTAATTTTTGATTAATATATATCAGAAGCCAAGTCTAAAAAAGAAATGTGTCCAACAGTAGCCATAATTTCCGTCAAGATGATTCTCAATTTTTTACGACAATCATGTTTTTTTGTTTGTATCTTTATAAAACTAAGCAAAAATTCCAATTGGCTTTTCTAAAAGCTTTCCAATTAATGAAGAAAGCTACAAACCTTCCCAATTCTTTTCCTGCCCTTTATTGTATATCCTGCATTCTATCTCTTCAGGTTGCAGAATATTACTCACCTTTTGGAGGGTTTGTCAAATCTTTTATCACCAACTCCTGGAAGAAGCAGTCAGAGTGACACGGGACAAAAAGACCCAGCAGACAAAAAACAAGCACATGAAGAGAAGCCTTAAAAAAAAAAAAAAGATTTACCACAACATGGTGTTTTATAGTCTCCTAGTTTATTAAAGCATCAGTCAAATTTGGGTTTATTACAGCTAAGAAAGCAACATTGCAATTAGAATTGACTGCATTTTGTGTGAGTTAAGATGTCATGATTTCATATTATTACAGAACACGAGAGAGTGCACTGACTTTCTGGTTGTGCAAATTGAATTTTAATGCGTTTCTCTGGGAACAGTTATTTGCTGCTTCAAGCTCAGGCATATTTCCTGACTGTATCAAGCAGCATTAATTATCTGTAAAAAAGAAAAACAAAATAATTCAATACCTTCTTATTGGTTTTACTAGTCTTTGTTGTTCTACTGTTTGAAAAGCTGATTTCATCCACAGACCAAACTGAAATAACTGAATAAGCAGAGAGTAATTTGAGATAGTGGGAAATTCACAAATAATATTTACACTTTGTCTGCAATGATGGTTTTATTTACTAATATGTATATAAACCTTAAAAAAACAAACTTGAAACATAGAGTACAAAAAAAAATTTATTCTAAAACATACAGGAGTCTTAATGTGTCGTGATCAGATGAGATCTGATCCAGTCAAAAACAGGTCAGTGTTTGAGAGATGAGTCACAGTGATGGGTCACATAGGATGGTGTGCAGCCCTGCATATCTTCAATTCAAATATTTAAACAGTGATATCAGACACTTAAGATGAAGAACACGAATACAGATCATGTTTAAGTTGCACATTCAAGAGCCTGTTTTTTTTAGAAGAAAGAGACAACTGCCTTCGAATTGATGCAGCATGCTTCTTTTTGGAAATTTCTAAACACAGAATTACATTTTAGGACCAACATAATAGTTTTCCTTAGCTGTTAACTCAATTCATAAGATCAAAGGCAATTTACTACAAAAAGGCAAGGTTATAGTAAAGATCTAAACATAGGTTGACTAATTTTCTGTCAACCAAATAAAGGAGAATGTAAAGTACTTCATATTAAGATATCGTCAGTAATTATTTAAGATGCCAACCAAAAAAAAAGAAAAAAAAACAATAGTATTAAAACCTGAATTTTAAATTTAAAACTGATAACAAAGCAGCTATTCATTTCTGATGCAAAAAGGCAGAAATAAAAATCTCCCTGAAGTGGATTTTTATTTTTTTTTGTTAATCTGTAGGAGGTAAGGTATTAGGGTGCATATAGAGAAAAGGCGAGTTTGGTTGCACTTACTGAAGCACTCTTTGCAAAAATACATGAGCTTTCAGCAGATTTAGTCTGTAAAACACAGTCATTTGCATTATTTTGTAAACAGAGTTAGATAAAAAAAACAAAACAAAAAAAAAACACAAATGACATGTAAACATCCCCAAAGTAGAAGTTAACGATAGTAGTAACTCAAAGTGTATTATCGTCCAGAAAATGCCACATACACTTTGCTTTTATTAAAATAAAAGTCAGTGTTTTTTATCCATTTGTAAATGTGCGATTTAAATATTAGGGAACATGTAGTAAAAGCCATATTCTGTCAGATCTGTCAACTAAGGAATATGCATATCATGAGAGAGCTGAAGCTAGATTTAGCAGAAAGCTATTCCAAAATAATTATTTTCACCATTTCCTACTTAGATCGATCAAATGTGTTTGGTTTTTTTCTTCAGTTTTGGCTAAAACTATAGATTATTTCTGCTTTTTAGACAACTAGCTGCTAGCTTCATATTTAGCAGACTGACAGCAGTGGTTTACATTTTCTCATCTTTTTGTATAAAGTATAAAATCTTAAACTATTAATTTGAACCTGAGTAAAACATGATTCATTTTGTAAATAAGGAAAAAAAAAATACTTATGTAATAAAAGGATATTTTGAGGCACTGATGTGAAAGCTCAACTATTCCTGAAAACTATTTATCCAATTAAATGTTTCATAAAGGCTGGTTTGTTGAAGGGCCAGTTATACTGGTTGGGGACGGGTCCATTTACGTTGCACTCAAAGAAGGAGAACATGGGGAACCAAATGCGTGCTCTTCGACTGTGCTGATAGGCACGAGTGTTGGCTAAGGTGTGGTAGTAGAGGAAAAGGCGGGTGGTGATGTAGAAGGCGATAAAGACGTCGATGGAGTAGTGCTCGTGAGCCGCCAGAATAAAGAAGATCCCAAATAGGTTTAACACCCAAGAGATGGTATGAATCAGATTCCAGTTCCTTGGCGTGTCTGAAAGTACAATAAATTAGTAGTTAGTCTAAGTCTTTTGTGTTTTTTGGTGAACATTTCATAATTTTCCAGGCGTCTCAGAGACATCGGAGCTACGGCACGCCCGATTAAAATAGTTGCATTATTGCAAAAGCATTCACTTAAATTCTGCAGGAGGTAGTTAATCACACTATTTATTGAAGTCAGTAGGGAACACCTGAAACACGTGGGCCAGGATTAGGAATCACAGGGGTCTAAGTGAAAGGACAGGATGAGAAAAGGACACAAAGAAGGAAAGAACGAGGGACACAAAGAAATGGGAAGAATGGGAGGAAGGAAGGAATACAGGGACTAAGGAAAGATAGGAATTAGGATGCAGTGAAGAAAGCGAAGAACAACAGAAGGACATGAGAGATGAAAAAAGAAGAGGCAGTGAGCAAGGAGGGAATTTAGGAAGGACAGACATAACATTTTGACAATATGATAGAGAACTCTATTCTTTATCTTTTATTATATTTTCAGTGATAATCCAGACCAGGGACATACTGAAATAAAATTCCCTACTTTTCTAGACTGTGTGGGAAACCTGTGAATATTTCAACACAGATTATTTTAAGATGATTATAAATATTCATTTTATTACCTTATTTGTTCAGTCTGGTACCATGCTAACAAATAAACAAAGCTTTGGTTTTAACTGTTACACAACCTGACAAACAATCACACAGATTTCCTAAATATGAGTAATACAGTAAAAAGAAAATGTATTTACAGTGCACTAGTTTTATTAACAATAAATAGTTTACAACATTACTATTATTTTATTGGTATATTCTTAAATTCCAATTTTGGTATCTACAACTCAAGAAGTTTGTTTACAACTTACATTAGTCATTTTCACTTTTATACAATTGTCTGGAATATAATTAGAAATGATGCTGATGAATATTTTGGGTATTCCTGAGTATTTATTAACTGATCCTAGACCAGACAGAAAAAAACAACTTGATCAACATTTTCACTTCAGCTATTCCTAATTATTTTAAACCGGACAATGAAAGCAGACAAATAATGATACTTGCATTCAGTCACAAAGAAGTTGAGCATTGTGATGACCACTGTGTGTCCGCTGAACATGTAGTCTCCGCAGGTTTGGACACCGGTAAGAGTCATCCCAAACCCACTCCATATGGCCAGGGCTCTCTGGATCTTTCCCCAGGTGTCGCCATACGACTGACGGGACAAAATAAAAACAAAGCGAATAAAAACTTGCCTCATTAATGTACAGTACTTGACTATCTTTAAAGTATCTCCTCTGTTTTACCCACCAGACTGGCACACTTTAGGTGCTGCCCTGGCACAGAAAGAGAGGTGACAAACATGGTGCAGCAACGAAGCAAAAACACCGTTCCCATCAGAGAGCACAACCGTCTGAGAAGAATTGACCTGGAACACAGACGGGGTAAAAGCTCGGATCAAACTCTTGGCATAGCGAGCAGACTGGAGCGTGATTGGAATCGGTATGGGCACCTGTGCTTGTGAAGGAGCAGGATCAACACAAACATGTAACACAAGATAAGGCCGCAAGCCTCAGCCATCACAAAAGCCCAAGGGATTCTGGGTACACTAAGAAAGAGGGACAACATTCATATCAGTATGTAGATTAGATGAAGCAGCAGGAGAACACGTTCATGAACCAAGGAGATTAAGTTGCTTAGCGAGGACTGAAATCCCCTTGTGTGTTTTTTTTTTCGGGCAGTTATTGCAAAATGCACAAGATAAGAAGGCTGGTTCATACCTGTCCAGGAAAATATCAGGAAGAGGCGGATAGGTCCTCATGTCAGGGACACGTTCGTGCACAATAACCATGACAAAAGAGGTCAGTCCACACACTAAGAACACATATATGGAGCTAAGAACGGTCTTCCACACCTCCGGATCCAATCTGCCTGCCATTGGCTGATGAAACGTCCCATTGGAGTGTGTTTGACAGAGCGTTGGCCCAGGCACACAGCCAAGTCTGCTGCTGTTTCTCAAACGCAGCTCTGTGCCGTTACACAAACGATCTGCTCCATTACACCCATAGTTCCACTCGACCCTGGGAGCACCTTGCGAGAGTCCAGCAGGGGGAGTGTCTAAAGGCCACAGACCCAGCTCCTCTAGCTCTGATCTATTCTCTCTCTGGAGGCGGCGGAGGACAATAGTCAGTCTTTTGACGTCTCCCAGAACAGTGAGGCTCAGTGGAGGACCCCGCAGATCGGCCTCAGTCAGAGCCAGCAGACTGAGGCCATCAACGCGGTGCTGCGAACACAACAAGTCCACATACTGCCCGAATCCTTCCCCCTGCAGCCACTGGGCGACTTGATCACAGCTCCAGGCACTCACACGGCCATCAGACTCAGACATCCTACTGCAAACAGAAACACAGGCACCATAAATGCATGTTATGCTTGACGAAAATGAGTGCTCGCATTTACTTCGAACACTGCAAGAAGTAAAATACAAATTATAAATCAAAAGGTTTTAAAATAAAATGTAGAATGCATTATTATTCAGTAATTCGGATTACTGGAGTGCACGTTTAAGTAGATTTTTGCACAGAAATTGTCCCACCTGAGCTGTGAATCCGTGCAGCTCTGCCAGAGCAACACTCTCAGTTTCCAGTTCAGACTAGTTTGCATTTGTCTGGTTTTTCATTTCTAGATGGAAGCATTTTTCCTCAACTCTAATCTGATATTTAATTTTCCTTATGGATCAATTAAATATTCTTAAATCACCACTTTCCTCTGTCTAAATGATGCAGTTTGTTCATTAATGTTCTTCAATGGTACCGTGACAACGCAACTTAATCCTTTATCTAAAGGCAGTCAGTTGCCCTGCAATTCTTTTAACTATCATGAATCATAATTATATCACATTAAAGGGGATTAAATACATACACAGACAATACAGTTATCAGATATTTCTTTGCTAATTCTTTGTGCTGAGAGGTGTTTACAAATATGCAAACCTTCGTCGTTTTAATGACATAAAAATAAGTAAAATAGCTGGTTTGTACATGTCAAAGTACCTTTTAATGTGTTCTTGCAAAGCACCACATTCTGCTGATCATATCCACCTTCTACTAATATCTAGATTTGTATCGTGCAAAACATTCAATAGGCTAAGACTTTACTTGCCAAGTTATATCTTCAAATGTTAAGTTAAACCTTAAAAGGTTCAAAATTCCTGCACATGTACAGCTCTAATTTTCCAAAATAAAATCAAAAGTTTTATTTCAGCCTAAATAAGAAGGTTAATTACTAAGTCTGTTACTCATATATCCCTTCACCAGCTGTTTACTAGTTAAAAGAAATACAACATTCTGCCCAGTTATTCTCTTTATTGCTTTACCTTATAAATATTTATCAAAAGTCGTTTGGAAAATGCATCCAGTATGTCCTATGAAGCCCTTTCATTTCATGGGATTTATCATAACATCCTGCGAGCTTTCAGTGCAAATGCATTGTTTGAGTTCAGGGTGTTTTGTAGCTTGTAGCATAAGTATGCAGTGTGTTACCAGGTAAAGGTCAACCCAAAGCAAACAATTATCGCCTATATCCTAATGCTTGGTAAGAAAACAAATGAACTCATCGGTTAGAGAAACTCACTGGGAGTTGCAGACACTACATGATTTTAGACAGAAACAAAGTGACTTTTTCTTCTTCCATATAGACTCAACAAAGATGAATGACTTTTGGTACTTCAGCTCTTTTTTAGTTTTTACCTTTTGACCTTTGTGATAAGCTCACAGTGATGTTGCTCCAAAGGTCTGCGACTCTGAATCAACGTGACTGGATTCATGTTGAGTTTTTTTGGAATGAGCGATAGTCTGCATGCTGAGAAGGCACATGTCGAACTAAAAGCCACTACAGCAGACTGCTTGCAACCTATAATACATGAAACACTGCTGGCATTTAAGATATATTACACCTTAGATTAACATTAATGCTAATTGGCAAACACTCTTTCACTATATTGACTTTGGTTTAGCAAGTCAGCAATAAAAACATATCTATGTGTCCTTCTGTCAGTCAAGTTGCATTTCGCCCATTATATGTTACATGTTATTAGGGACTTAACTAACGAGTATTTTTGCTAATCGATTTTCAATTAATTGAGAAAGGTTCCTTAAAAAAGTTGTTTTTTTACAAAAATAAACCAGGTGAAACTCAAACTTTTCCACTTGAGGAGTTCTGAATAAAGTATATTGATACACAACTTTTTTTCTATATCTTAAAATATCTGTTTATATATTTTTACAATTGTTGTATAATTACTGCTCTAAGTGGGTTTTGTCTCAGCTAAAGGCGTGTTTTACACTCTCTCTACTCCATTTAACAATTAATCGATTACTAAATTGGTTGACGATTATTTCAATAATCGATTAATCACAATTAATCTGATTAATTGTTTCAGCCCTACATACAATATATACAAATTTGTTGATTATGCCAGGCCTGATTCAAAACGGTAAGTCCAAGCTCTAAAAATATACAAAATCTTCTTTGGAAAACAGCCTTTTCACCTGCTAAACACATATTTTAATCCATAACTATTTGTCGCTTTATGTTTAGCAAAACAAAGTGATGATAACTTAAAACTTGTAAAATAAAACCTTACCACTACTGAAATCCGAAGTTTACATATTCCAACATATTTTCTCCAGATGCTGTCTAATCTTGTGAATCTCACTGAAGCACAACCAAGTGCAATATGCCTGTTTTTGTTTACTGTAGTGTTTAGTTAAAAAACAAAAAACAAAAAGCAAAGTCATAAACTCTAAAAGTCATCAGAAACTCAGAGCAGGCAGGAAAAGCCTGCTTCTCTAACCATCTGGTAGCCTCATTATCTCTATGCTGTAAAACATGTGTCATCGCCCTTTGATTCCTGTTGAGAGAAACAATACAAACTCTAAGTTTTGGAACAATCTTCATACTGTAGTTCTACAGATATAACTCTAAATTAAAGTTTAAAAAAATGAGTGAGGATAAAACTAAAAGTTCAGGTTGTTCTCCTGGCATTTTAGGGTAAACAGCCTCACCCAACATAACGTCACTTCACTGAAAGTTGTCATACAGGCTCAAACAAGAGAAAGGCTTTGCTGAAAAAGATAAAGTAATTAATTTTACTATCAGAGTGAATGCAAATCCCCCAAAGGCTGCACCAGAGACTGGCCCCCACACAGAGGTGACACATATTTACATTAATGACTCACCAGCACAGCTATTGCTCTGCACCAGGAGGAGAGATTGCTTATTTTAAATCTAGGCTCCAGAGGCTTTACTTGAGATGAAGTAGTGCCATGTCAGCACATTTAGAAATCTTCCACTGAGTCACAGGGAAGCAGTGTCACCCAGCAGGACACAGAAAGCTCCCAGTGTGTCTCACACAAAGACAGCTAAACAAAGGACTTACATTGTCCCCAAAACCCAGCCACATACATTATGCTCTCACAGAAAATCTAACATGTGTGTAGATATATTTAACTTGGATTAAATAAGTCACAGAAGGCACAGTATTTCAGGGTAAACGTGCTTTAAATATAATATGAACTAAGGTTTTACTACCTTGAAAGGGGCGCGGTGTCACTGTGCTGTTAGTCGTCTCAAATACACTTTCAGCCTGTTTCTCCACTCCCAGGATTGTGTCATGGCCAGCATCATGGTTTCAGAGATCTAGGCAACACCAAACAGGAAGACGGTATTAATAAACAACAGTAGCAAAGAAGACCTCCGCGCGCCAAGAAGATTGCAGTTTGGAACACACTGCCCTCTGCTGGCCAGTCCTTTGACCTGCAGGGATCTAACTACAGGCACTGTTATACTGCATGGAGAAAAAAGGGCAAAATAATAATTTTGTTTGGCCTTTTTATTAAACCCATAAAGTTGCTCTTAAAGACTGACATGTTTGCAGACAAATTTTAAATTATTATTTTTGTTTTGTTTTGTATATTTATGTGTCAGATTGCACCAGCTGTTTGTGGCAGTCACTGACATTGGGGGGGGGGGGGCTTTACAGGAAAACTACACAGTGGTGTAAGCAAGCACTTAAAAAAAATGACAGACGGAAAGCCACCCACGGGTGTTGTAATGGGAGAAAATTGTGATTCAGAGGACTCAAGGGAGACAGATAAAGAAGAGGGGAAAGATAAAACATGCAGCACAGGTCAGACTCCAACTCTACAGGAACTCGAGGAGATCCTGCATTCAGCACCACGCTCATGTCACCATGCAGATGAGGTTTGGCCGAATCTCTTTCTGGGAGACATGTGAGTATCCTGGGATGTGGATATGTACAGCCCCTGCCAATACTCTGTTACAACCATAAACTTTGGTATGTTTATTTGGATTTTTTCTTTGACACCATTGCAAAGTAGTGTGTCCAGTAACAGGAGAATGGTGCAAAATTTAGACTTTTCAAAGGTCAACCATTTACCTTAACTACAATGAGAATGTAAACTTTGGAGGAGCTGCAGGCAGGAGAATCACTGAGATAAAAAAAAGACTTAACTTGCACTCAACAAATCTGAATTTTATCAAAAGAATTACATCACGTTTGTCTAAATGGATAAGCCTTGAAAATAATCTGATACAGGATGTAAGTCTGGGATCAGGGATGCCGCCAGGAATTTGGGGCCCCATGAAAGACATTGATATTGGGCAATGCCCCCCAAAAAAATGCATGTAAGCTTTTAAACTGCTATAAAGATGCATTGATTTGTTTAATTTGCCGGTGACAGACTGGGAGAACTGATGCGATGCTGGACTAGTCAGTATATTCATGCTTTGTTTTGCTGTTTACCGCTTAAAAATAATTTATTTCACTATGAGATTTTCTTTTTATATTTGAAAAGTATAGCAGGACAAATATTTTATTCTTCTTTTGGGGCCTCCTTCACTCAAGGGCCCTAAGAATCTTCCTAACTGTTCCCTCCTTACAGCGCCCCTGTCTTGGATGGAGGTTCAACCTCCAGAGGTACATAAACTCTAAACATACAGAGAACTCAGACTGGATGCTATTAGAAGGACAATGTTTAACTTCAGACCCAAATACAAATACAAATCTGCAGAAAGACTTTAAAACCTGATGTTCAGTCCGTAGGAGTGCTGAAAAGAGGAATGTGTTGGTAGTGCTGGATTGAACCTCTAATAGATGAAAACTGGGTATGATTGACAATCTACGGTATGTTATAATAATTTAAGGTGCTGGTTTGTCATACAATCCCCTAAAATAAACAGGTGCTCACAAGGATAAAATACATTTTTCAACATATATGCATTATGCTTATTAAAACTATACTTCATGCTGAACCTTCCCCTCATTCCAGGTTTATGTCTCATAATAAGTTTGAACTCTGGCAGCTGGGCATCACTCATGTGCTGAACGCCTCCCATGGGAAACTCTGCTGCAAAGGCAGAGATGATTTCTATGGAACCACAGTGAAATATTACGGAGTTCCTGCCAACGACCTACCTACATTCGATCTCTCGCCTTTTTTCTACCCTGCAGCAGAGTTTATCCACCTGGCTTTGGCATCAGGAGGTAGAGTCGGCAGCTCCTGATTAACAAACATGAAGCAAGTGGAGTTTCATACTTATGTTTTTATTTATTTATTTTTTTTAGGGAAGATTTTTGTACACTGTGCTGTGGGAGTGAGCCGCTCTGCTGCGCTGGTTTTGGCCTACCTGATGATTCATCATCACTTCAGTCTCCTATCTTCCATACGCTGTGTGCAACAGCAGCGCTGGATTTTTCCTAACAGAGGATTTATACGACAGCTTATTGACCTAGAACAAAGTCTGTGTGTCCAAAGACAAAATTAGCTCAAGCAGTTTTTATGGCTGGTTAAATTAGTTTAGCTTTTTCCCAGTTGTTGCCATTGATTTTAATGATAAGGCAGGTTAAAAATCAGGCAGAATAATTGTCAATTGGATGTTTATTGGATAAAAAAAAAAATGTTTGAAACAAAACACTAAGTTGCAAACGACTGAGTCATAGTTGATGTAGTGAGATAGAGAGGTTTAAGTGTAGAAGAATAGAATAGAATTCAACCATATTGTCATTAGACTGTCACAAGTACAAAGCAATGAAATGTAGTTTGCATCTATCCAGAAGTGCTATACAGGATCTACATTTTTATTTACATGTGCACAGAGACTATGTATGTATTGACTATAAATGGTATATATAAACAGAGAGTTTATAAAATAAATAAATATGAAAACTATAAACAGGTAATACAGGAATAATGACAGATAATAGCAGATAAAAGATTTAAAGATTATATACAGCTATGGTTGATACTTGATTTAATAACAAGGGTGAGAACCAGGAACTAAGCAGATGTCTAAACAGTAAGGAAGCATATATCTAGAAATGATCCCTAAGCTAAACTTTAACAGAAACTAAAACACAAACCTAAAACAGAATAACAAATGTCCCTTTTCATATCATTAATTCCCACAGATCTTTATACTAGGATGACATCTTGCATTTTTAACAGAATCTGGCTTCAGCTAATATAACCCTAGTGTTGAGAGTAAGAGAGAGAATCAAACACAAACAAACCAATCAATCCCACAGCAACATTAGGTAACTCTAACGTCCTGCCAGAACCAATGCTGTGAAAACTGCAGGCTAATTTTGGAGCAGGGTTGAGTGCTTCCCAATAAATCATCCAGCTGTTCGTGCCTTTCAGCGAGATGATGAAGGGGCAGTGGGTTGTGGCAGCAGGGGCAGCGCAGGCGTCTGCTCAGAGTCGGACTCTGAGCAGAGGAAGAATGTCGAGGAACGGCCAGCGTCAGAATCTGGTGGTCATTAAGGAACTTGAGCTGATCTTGGACTCCTGCAAACTGGAGCTCACACCTGTGGATGAAGTCTGGCCCAACTTGTACATAGGAAATGTGTGAGTGTACTGTGTTTGAAAGCAGAGGAAATATATCATCAAGCTTTGTGTTACAACTTTGATCATTTTTGCACTGAGATGGTGGAGAACCTTAACTAAACTAAACTAACAAAATATTTGAGGCAGTCTATAATTTATTGCCTATTTAAAGCAAACATTATTGCACAGTTTGTGCTTATAAATTGGGGTTATATATTACAATAAGAACTGTTTTTAAAAATGACTTGTTTCCTTTTATTCACAGGGCTGTTGCACAGAACAAAAACACATTATGTAAGTTCAGCATCACTCATGTTTTGAACGCAGCCCACTCCAAACAGGGCAGCATCGGTGACCAGGGCTTTTATGGGAACATGTGCGTTTACTTTGGCATCCCTGCAGAAGACTCAGATCACTTTGACCTCAGCCAATACTTTAAATCTGCTGCAGACTTCATTCATAAAGGCCTGAAGAGCAAAGATGGTATACCTCTTTAAATATATGTTTTAAATTGAGTAAAAATGTATTTCTTATCAATTTTCTTAATCCTTTTTTCTCCTCTTTTCTCTTCAGGGAAAGTGTTGGTTCATTGTATTATGGGTGTGAGTAGATCAGCCACATTAGTCCTGTCCTACCTCATGTTAAAGCACAATTTTTCACTTAGAGATGCCCTGAGGCATATTGTCAAAAAACGGGCCATTTATCCCAACCGGAACTTCCTGACTCTCCTCCTGAAGCTGGACGAAGAGTTGACCCGAAAAAGGATGCTGTGCCCTGTTCTCTGACATAACTATCTCCCTGCTTTGTCCTTGGCATGTATCATACTCCATTTTGATCACATGGGCAGCAGCTGTAAATAGCACATTTATGTAACCCCAAAGAATACATTCTTAAAGGATTTTTGTTTCACTTTTTTAATTTCATAAATGTGTCTATTTCTGAAAATTATATTAGTTTTTAATTTCTACATCCTAAAACAGTTTATGGGATAACAGCTAATGACAGTTAAACAATATAGTTTTATCTTTATGTACATAAAGCTTAATAATTAGACTCCAAAATTAAAGGAGCTCACATTGGTTCTGGAAAGGACAGATTAATAAACCTGAAAATGTTCTGTGTGCTCTACTTTTCGTAGTGGACCAAACGCTGCTTTAATTTGTATTGTCATTAGATTGTTTCTTTGTGCTTTGATGCAACAAGCTGTCTTCCAATTTAAACCAAATAAAATTATCTTTTAATATCTTTATATTTCTTTTCTTTTTTTGTATGATGGGGCAGGTACTGTTGTGATGCTGCAAGAACCTTTTAGATTTAAATCAAAGTGAAATTAGTTAATTTCCCTAAACTGCATCTAAAATATTTGACTTCACAGAATCTGAATTTGTTCGCTTGTTATGACCTGAATATATCATGTTGATGTTAACAATAATGCTGCACTTGACACAACTTAAAATCCCTGTTCCAAATGATTTTCTAAACATTTTAGTTGATGAACCAAACTAATATATTGACATTGGACCAACCTAATATACTTTTAACTAAATTAACAAGAATGAATGTTTGTATAGAAACCAGTTAATTTAAATATAACCAAAATAGATTTTTCACATATCATTTGACTTTACTTCAAAAATAATTTTCACTTCCCATCTTACAAACTCTGTACACCCTGGATAGGTTGCCAGTCCATCGCAGGGCAACACAACCATTCACGCACACACTCACACCTAAGGAGGTTATATAGAGAAGCCAACTAGCCTAACAATAATGTTTTTGGAGCCAGAGTACCTGGAGAGAACCCATACATGCTCAGGGAGAACATACAAACTCCATGCAGAAAGATCCCGGGCCGGAATTGAACCCACAACCTTCTTGCTGCAAGGTGCTAGCCACTGCGCCACTCTGTCATGGTCTGGGATTTGGATCACGTGCTCTGACTGCATGCAAAGCGCAGTTCACATTTGACTCAAACAAAAGAAATTACCTGCAGGCCATGAATAAATATATACATATTGAGAGAAATCAAAAACTTTGTTTTGGGTCCTTTGTACGTGTATTTAGTTCAGGTTCAATCAAACTTGATGTCTCAAAATCCAAAAAGAATGAGTTACACAATTAAATCAATAATTTTATCTAGTTTAGAGTGAAAAGCATTAGTTTGAATGAACACTTACATGTTACACTTTCTTCAGTGTTAGTTTCTTCAGTGTAAGTTTGCACATATATATTTTTTTGTTTGTTGCATGTTTCTCTCTGTAGCCCAGAGACAAATTTCAATCCGTCCAGGATGTAGCACCTCTCCAATGCCAGCTGAAAATAGCGCCCAGCTCCTGTGAAAACTCACAATGTTTAGCAGGCATGGGCCATACAGTATGTGAATTGAGGATCTTTTTTAGATGTTTGCTTTTGTCTAGTTTAAAGTTTACTCTTCCTTTTGGGAAAATATTTTTAAAATTTTATTTGAATGATGACCTTTTTCTGTGTGAAATGATTACAAAATCTCAAAGCATGAAATCGATGCAATACTTAATATAATTTATGTATTGCATTTAATCTGGGTTTTTATTCTGCGAATCAGACAGTGTCACAATGAACAGGGCTTCTCAGAAAGCTTAATGTTAGTCTACTTTGAAACAGCTTTGATGTGTTTATGCAAAGTAGTTTTGTGTGTTTTATTATTAAATGCCCACTTAAGTTGATTAGAGGAGAATTTTAAGTAATTGGCAGCACCCCACAATTTCTATTATAACCCCTTCATTGTGTAGCACAGTGATTCCCGATCGGGGGTAGGCGTATCCATAGTGGTCTGCTAGTGCATTGCAAGGGGTATATGAAAATATTTTATTAGGTAGTGAAATAAAATAGGGCTGGGATCTGTTTTGCTTTGTGAGGACTCAACAAGAAGCTTTTTTTAACAAAAAAGTATGTTTTTCTTTGAGTTCACCTTCAGCTTTGACACACATCCAAACAAAACAGAGGAACAGACTGGATGTAGAGATCAGCTGGTTTTCTCACTGAGCTATTGGAGCTCATCAAAGCGGCTCATGAATCTGGAAATAAAAGTAAAATAAATTGAGTCAGTCCGACTATAACTTTTGTTTAGTATTTTGTTTCCAATTCAACAAGTTTCTATGTGACTACATTTGAGCTACTCAGAGGAGCTCCAGTTTTATAAAGGCAGATTTATAGTAGAATTTTATTCTGTATCTATTTTGATTCCTTACTAGGTTCCAGGCAACATATGTATGTTGCTTTTTTTTATTTGAAATAGAAACAATTAAATGCCTGAGAATTAAATGCATATTTTATAATTAGTTATTGTACATTCGACTTTTGGGCAATCATCCAGCGTGCCAAACCCACAGCATGACTGCCACAACTAACAGCTGATGCAGATCCAAGGAACACATTTACCCAGAATCCCCATCTTATTGTCACATCTGTCATCTCATCAGTTCTATGTGTTATCATTTTCTTCTTCTGCTTCTGTTAGTTTTTCCTCTGGTTCCTATTAAAATTCAGTGCATTATTATATTTGACTCCTTGTTTTTTTGCATTTCCCCCTGTTAAAAACATTTAAAGACAAAACATTTATTTGTATACGACTGCTATGAGGAGGAGCAGACAGCGTAGTTGCTGAAAGGTAATTTTAACTCCAAGGGAAACAGAGGGAAAAAAACTTGATCTAATTTGGTGGAAACCACCCTAACAACAAATGGAATGATTATGAAACAAAGAGCTATACTAATTCTGAAAAGAAATGTGGTCACATTTGCAAGATTATCAGAGATGCTTATCTTTGGCTGCAATACATAATTTGGAGGATCTATTTATAAATCACTGGATTGTCATTTTGATCCTCAGATTACAGCAAATCCACAATAGACTCAAACTTGGAGGCAGTTAAACTGAAAATGCATTTCAATGACTCTGACAGGGTTACAGAGGAGAGTGCAGGACAAATGTTAGGAGGTCTCAGCAACAGGATGGCCCAGGTAACCACCCAAACCTATTTATTGTACGCATATTTAAAATAAAGCGATATAGTACCAAATATATCACAAAAAAACATGCATTAAGTATTGCATATTCTTCACCAAAATAAATAAATAAAGTCTATTTAAATATGGGATTGAAAAATAAACAGAAATTCTTGCAACATGCTTAGAAGAAGAAGGCAATGACAATATAATAATGAGAAAAATTTACATTTGTATTCAAATCATGCTATATCAAAACAAGTAAAGAACAGAGGTACTGTACATCATGTTTCTGTTTTGCATTCTTGGTCTTCCATTTCTCTTTTGCGTCTCAGCTTGTCCTCTTGCAGTGTGATGTCCAGGGCTCTGAGTTGTCTCAGGAAGCCGTGATTAGGCAGGATGCAGCGATGCTGCCGCACATGCTCAATCGCTTGCACTACAGTTAAGTTGTGCTTCATCATCAGGTACGCCAACACCAGCGTGGCTGATCGGCTTCGTCCCATCACGCAATGAACCAGCACCTTATCTGAAAAACAAAATAGGTGGAATCACGAAAACTGAAAGCACCTTTATCAGTCTAAGCTTATAGATATGCATCCGTTATTGACAAGAAAAACCTGGTTGATCAAGTTCTGCTCCAGAACTCACTCTGTGACTGGCGAAGGGCCTCACAGATAAACTCTGATGCTGAGAAGAAGTACTGGGAGATGTTGAAGGAGGGTTTGTCATCAGCTTCCACACCAAAGTACTGGATGTTCAGGTCACTGTAGTAATTAGCACCGGTCAGGACATTGTTCCACTTGCCTTCTGCTGCATTTAGGACATGAGTGATACCCAGGTCCCTGAGCCCAGGCCGCTCAAGAGCGGTTTTCCTGTTTTAATTAAAGACATCCAATGAGCAGCTTTCAGCACAAACAGTTATTGCACAAGTGCATTCATAAATATGAAGCAGTGATAACTCACTCATCTCCGATGTAAATTCTTGGCCAGACCTGATTGACATGAGTATACTGAGCTGTGGTGCCGGTCCATAAGAGCTGCTCCAGGTCTAATGTTCCTGGTGTGATGTAGTCACTGTCTGGGTCTACCTGCACTGCTGCATACGGATTCTTTGTTCTGGATTTCACTACACAGGTGGTCATTTTTGATCATTTATTCTTAAAAAACAAACAAAAAAAACCATCACAAATCCCTGTTAAAAAGAAAGGTTATGCACATATTTGAAATATCCAATTAAGGGTTATATTTAAAGATGATAAAAAAAATCAAAATGAAACCCATCGGCACAAATTTAACAAACATCCTTGATAGTTCACTTCCTCAGTGATACCCTTCTGCCTGAAAGAAGCAAAAATTCATGATCTCTGACCTTTATTCATGTACATCTTGATACATCTTGGAATTGGTTAAATGCACAGGTACATCCTCCAATGCAGAGGTAAATTACTCCAATGTGAGATCAATAAATACACAGTATACAGAAGCGGTGTCTGATGGGCGGCTGTTTTCAGTTCCCTACATCTGCTGATCTCAATGAAGCAGTTGGTGCTTGACTCTGTAGTTATTGAAATCATTTAGAAAGGTTGAGCTTATTCTAAACTTTTGTCTTCCAATCCTGTTCCTCCAGCCCCATCTGCTGCTGCCAAGCTCCATACCCATTTACCTTCACAGTGATTAGCATCCAGTGCTCTTGTCAGTATTAACACTTTTAGAAACCTTGTCATTGATTAGGAACCTGTTCTTTTTCAAAGACGTAGAAAAAATGAAAGCGATATGCATTTATTTGAGCTGTTTTGACAAATCTAAATCTGAAAAGTGTGTCATCTACTTCTTACCATTACCCCCCTTTATTCTGCCTCTCCTATATAAAATTTTGTGCATCCCACTGACACATGATTTACACAGAAGCATATTAATGTGTTTGAATTACTCAGGCAAAGTCTTTAGTTATTTTCAACTGAGAACTTGTGCCAAATACCTCAAGAAACGTACAAAAATATATATAGCTATGATTGCAGCATTGATGACAAGGAAAGCTAAAGTGTGTGCATCCAGATTAAAAGGCTGCATAGAATATTTACCAAAAAAAAGGAGACATAAATGAATTACTCACCTTATGTAAATCTGTCACTAAGCAGGGCACTTAGGGACAGATAAACGTGTAAAAACTGAGTGTGAGTATCAATATCTAGCAACACTGAAAGTCTTAAGCCAGTGACATGGATCTAGAGTGGTTACCGCCCCCAAGACTGTGGGAGATTGTATTTTTAGACAGCTGGGCTATAGAACCTGATCTGAAAGACATAACACACCCACCCACACATAATCCAAGCATGCAAATGATTTTTTGCTTTCTTCTTGAATGTTCAAGTCTTTTAGTATGTCAAATTTCTTAAATCAGAAGGGTTATGATTTTTTGCATAGAAACAACTAATCAGGTCCTATATTAATTAAAAAAAAAAAAAAAACAACAGTCAACTCAAGCATCTGTAATCAGATTTGGGTAAAAGGTTCAGAAAATCTTTGTAAACAGGTTTACAAACTTAGAAATCACACAAAACAAGTTTGTCAAAAGAGAGACAGAAAAATCCAGTAAAGAAGTTTTACAGAGAAACAGCCTTTTCTGTTTTACTACTGTCCTCAGCGATCTGTGTCCTCTCTCTACGTAGGTTCAGCTCCAGCTGCCTCAGCTGCTCCAGAAATCCAGAGTTGGGTCCAATGTCTCGGCACAGTCTTACAGAGAGGATGGCCTCCATTAATGTCAGGCCCTGATGGATCATCAGGTAGGCCAGAACCAAGGTGCCAGAGCGGCTCACACCCATAGCGCAGTGAACAAGAACTTTCCCTGAAAGACACTTAATTTAGTGCAATCAGTAATACTAGATAATACTGTTAAGAATCACACAAAATGATATGTTTTGTGACTTTAAATATTAGGTTGCACATAACCCCCCGTACAAACACATCCTTACCAGGGCACTAGTAGTAACTGTGAGAGTTCAAATAAAAAGCTAAATACTAAACCATTAATATACACATTATTTGTTTTATAAATCCACATGTTAAATCTACCAAATTGCCATATAAAATTAAAATTTGACATCGTTGTAAGATTAATGCAATGTTACTCTGCCTTTCAGTATTTCAGTGCAGCTTGACAACAATAGCAGTATTTGTACAACTACAGAGCTAATCTACACTAAAGATATTTGGATTAAACTTCTTTACATTAACCTCTTAATATCCACCTCATTTTGGGATATTCTCGCCTATTTTGCATACCCAAATGGAAAAGCAAATAACTTAGGAACTGTAAGCCCAAATTACATGTGTGGTACATTATTTGAAAGCACCTAGTTTCAGAATATATACATGAAAATTGGGTGAGTAAAACACCCTAGCTGCATCAAGCCCAAGCTGCATCAATTCAAACAAGACTCAAAATTGTTTTTTTATTCTCGAAAATAATAGGTCTTTTTTGAACAGCAGTTATAAAGACATGCTTGCTTGTTGTGGCAGTTTTGTCATGCTACATTTTGACATGCTGCTATATCTGTGTTAATTGCGCTTTGGTGCTAGCTATGTCCATAAAATGAACTAGTTGGTTGAAATGTGGAGAATCTAAGCTTTCCAACGATCTCTAACATGTCTATATTGGTAAACATTTTAGCAGTGTAATTTCCATGCATTCTGAGTTATAATTTGTAAGTTCTTTAAAACGGTGGGTGGGTTTTGAGAGGTTAAAGATGAGAGATTATATTTCGAGTTTAAACCACTGTCTAAATTATCATCACCTCTATAGTTGTACCTTTATATTTAAAAAAAGTAACAGTAATAATCAATGACCAGTATTGGGCATTTCTACATGTTTTGCAGTTTATTTCTTTTGGTGTGATTTCTTTTATGTGGACTTATGACTGAAATCCATAACCATCTTTTGCTCATGCAGGGCTTCACTAACCATTTTCCTTCAGAGCGCTGTCTATGAACTGTGCTGCAGAGTTGAAAAAAGGCCGGAGATTGAACTCTGGATGGTCTGGAGCTTCAACACCATGGTACACCACTTGAATGTCGGTGTAAAACGCCTGACCGGTGTTGATGCGGTGTTGACCTGCTGCAGCATTCAGGACGTGGGTCACACCCAGAGATGATAGTCTGGCTTTATCTCGAGCTACAGACCTTAAGATACAAGTCACATAGAAAGTGTTGAACTCTATTGCCCTGATGGAAGATACTAAAAAGAAGAGCAGAACTGCTCGTGCAAAAGAAAAAAACAATTTAAAAATCTACCCTCAATTAATGGATGTGTTTGATTTGGATGTACAAGATTGCTTTTGCAAATGATAACAGGTGAAACGCCATGTTTTTTGTTTTCACTTTGTTTACTAAGTAAAAAGATCACAAAAAATGTATCTCAACAAAGTAGTTTCCTCTTTATTGAAGCGTCATGTTTAGATTAAAATTTTGTTACTTCTCCATTAAAAGATAGAAGTTCTGAGTCATGGAAATGGAGTTTGTAAGAATAATGATAAAAATGAAAAATATGTATAATTAAATATTTAGAATTTAACATAAAAGTATCTCAGTATGGTAAAAACTAAAGTAATAATATGACAAAAGACAACGATGAACTTAGTTAAACTTAGCATTATGTCAATATCAATTTATTAATTAATTTTTTTCATTTTAGACTCACAGCGGCGGATCTAGACGGGAGTGGGGTTCATGGGGACTGAGGACAAACGGATAATCTAAAAAAATCTGACTTAATTTTTTTTGGCTGTTAAATGAGCCACAAACCTTTTTTTTCTGTCATTTCTATCATTAGTAAATAAAGTAAGTAAATTGTAAAGGGACTAATCAGTTACGGTCTCCTTTGTCAGCACATATTAAAATATTTTATAATAATTGTCTTTAAACTAAATAATTTAATAGTATGCACTCTTAATGAGATTATAGTTGTTTTTCTTTTCTTTTTTAAACCCTAAATCATCCTAATCTAACTGCAAATTGTTACATTTAGATTTTTGTATTTTATGTGTTTAGTACAGGGGCCAGGACTGGTTCTACAGGGAAACTGGCCCCTGTTGGCTCACCTCTAGAATCGCCCATGCAGATATTTAAAAGACTTTTTTGTTCACAAACATTTCAGTAAATCTCTTCACCACATTGTGGGGTGATACAGAGGACTTATCTACTCACTCATCCCCAACGTAGAGTTTTGGCCACACTTCATTGATAGACCCGACAGACTTCCTGTTGGTCCAGAGAATTTCCCTCAGCTCAGTCAGAGATGGTGTTTCCCCCTGCTTGGCTGAATAACCTCTGCAGCGACACAAATGACTGTCTGCCCTGGTGTCTAATCAGGTTTGTGCTAATTTCTTGATTTGTGAAAGATTGTGACTTTACAGTGCTTGGGTCTGTCTTTTGCTTCTCCTCTCCCTCTCTAGGCTCATGTCGAGGCACCGAAGCTGCATCAGGAAGCCAGCGTTGGGACAGATGTCTCTGTGCTGCCTTACTGCAGCCACCGCCTCCTGCAGCCGCAGATCCTCAACAATCATCAGGAAGGCCAACACTAGGGTGGCAGAGCGGCTCACTCCCATCAGGCAGTGTACGAAAACCTTTCCTAGGACACAGGTTTTATGAATTACCTTCAGCCTGTATATATACACCACTTAAACAGCAAATACAGTGGATCTAAAAAGTATAGAAATGCCCTTCATAAATGGTTGGTTTGTCAAAATGAAACTGTGATAATCTTTACAGTTTAACTGCTTGAAAACAAAGAAATCTGTTTGAGAAATAATGTAAATAATGTAAAATATAAAAGCATCTAGTAATAACATTGCATAATGTTGCATACCTCTAAACTATCTTTGCTTAAGTTTAGCTTTCTAATGTAAACTGGCATTTCAAAACCTTGAATTAAATATGTTTAGCTGTGGGTAATGCCCAATGGAGACACGATTTATATATATAATCTGCAGTTTATAAAGAATGTTACAAAAGAAAATCTGCAACACACACGTCACTGTGTGAATGTGTTTATGTATGGGTGAATGACCGGCTGTAGTGTAAAGCACTTTGCAGTCCTTAGATTTTATCAAGTGCTGTACAAGTACAAGCAACATACCAATTTACCATGAGCATTTAAAATATTTATCCTTCATTCTTGCTCATATTTGTCAGTATTATGCTAAAAACTTTAAAAAATGAAATTATGTTAAGCTTATTGTTTTCTGTTAATCTTTCCTCTTTTCTCCTTCCGTCTCTAGTTTTAATTTCTCCTGCTGTCTTTTTGATCCCTTGAAATCAGCTTCATATTCTTCCCTTTTTCTGCTGCTCATCAGTTCTTAAATTATGAAACTACTTCTCTATGATTTACTCATATGTACTTTAAAGTTTTTGTTTTTGAGGGGTTGATCCCAACTCTTTGTTCCACATAGAACCGGAGGTGAAAAATATCTCCTTACATTTACTCAACGTAATTCAGTGCAAATTATCTGTACTTTCTTTCCTTTTTTAACTAGCTAAACCAAAGCTGAGTTTATACTTTTACTTAACTAGGTACTTTACTCAGTTACATTTACTAACTAAAAATAACAACTAAGTAAAATGTAAACAAACAAATAAAAGAGGCAATTGCAGGGATCAATCAGTGGAGTTAATCAAATCCCAACATAGTGGGGCATCATTTAGCCTTTAGTAGAAAAAACTTATCTTGTACCTTTAGTTAAAATGGCCCATTTAATTATTACACAATGGTTTAAACAGCAACCAAACCACATAGCCCAACATATAATAATGATAAAGAGTTATGTCTTATATAAAGTACCTTTATAACAGGGGTTGTAAATAAGCACCATATAAATAAACTGGTTGTTATGTTTTAGTTTTGAGCTGTATTTTTTTTTAGAGAACTTCTTGTTTAATTGTAAACATTTAGAGACCAGTACCACATTTTCTCTTTATGAAATACATGAGAAAAGCTTTCTTAACTTAGTAACCTTAACTCAAAGTCAAATTTTTACCATTATCTAATTAAGATTTTACATAAAGAGTTAACTGCAACTTTACAGCCGTATTTTTACTCGAGTACTTTTGAGTTCTTTCCAGCTCTAAATAGCACTAATTATTGTGTAGGAGTGACTTATAACATGACAATCATTGGGGGTTTTTATTTAGGCAATACAAATAAACTTGCCTTGCCATATACTTTTGCTCAGTGAGATTATTTTTTTAATCTTTGTCAATAACATTTTAAACTAAAGCTGAGGCTAAAGAATAAAAATAAGCATTTTTGAAAAAAATCTATTTGCAAGCATTACTTTAGTGCAGTATTAGTTTCAGGATTTGCAACCATTCATTGATTTGAAGGCTGTTTGGTAAGAAACTAACACCGACAGTAGTCTGACCTTGATTCTAAAATAGTGTGTATAGGTCATAGTGTTTCCTGCAGCCTAGAATAGCACACTTTTCAAAGCATTATAAGAAAGTCAAATGGGTCAGGCTGACTTGCCTCCCATGGCCAGAGCAGCTCTGATGTATCGCGCTGTTGGATAGAAATAAGGACTGAGAATGAAATCTGTTGCATCATCAGCCTCCACCCCATAATAATCCACCGTCATATCTCTGTAGAAACGTTGGCCAGTGTTGACATAAAAGCAGGGACTGTCGCTGGGACTTGGAGGACCATGAGCAGCATTGACAATGTGTGTAATGCCCAGACTATGGAGAGCTCCTTTGTCGCGAGCAGCCACCCTGAAACATGATCACAAGTTCACCCTTGCAGTAAAGATGTGTGACATCTCTGTACACACATGGTTATGTGTTGATGGGTGTCAACCTACTCGTTGCCTATGTAAACATTAGGCCAGACTTGATTGACATGACCAGTTGGTCGCCTGTCTGCCAGTAAGAACTCCTGTAGCTCAGAGACAGACGGAGGTTCGTATGGCGGATCCCTAAGAGACATACTGTACAGACACGCACAATCAATGCACACTATCTTAATGTAGATTCTGTACAAGTCATTGTGTTACAAACATAGATGACAAAAAAAAAACTCAAACCACGGCAGTCCAATGTGTTTCTGAAATATATCACTCAGGCTTACCTCGGTTTACAGCGGTTAAAACATTTCTCCTTCAGTGCTGGCTCCTTCTGCAGCTCGGCTCCCTTTATAACTCTGCAATCATACACTCACCTTGCAACAGCAGGACAACACAGTTCTCAGTCATATCGACAGCATTGTAGAGAGCTGATCTATTATTTAAGTACTGACCGCAGTATTGTATGTTCTATGAAATATTTGCTATTTCCAGCAATAAATCACTTAAGTTGTTACTATTATATCCCATTGGTTAGACATTATATCCTACATTTACACCAATCTTAGCCTTTCTTTGTGGTCATAATTTTGTTCCCAGTGTCTCTTACCTTTTAACATGATGCAACAACTATTGTCAGTAAATTTGTGTTTGCTATTAAAGTTTTTGCTAGCATTTGGAAGCTAATTGAAGTTTTAAAATAAAAGGACAGCTACTCTTCTTTAAATAGTATCAGATTAATGTAACTCCAGAAAATAGCCACATGATCAAGCCTCTTTACTTCAAACCAGCACCATCTCTATGATGTCAGTCTCAAATTGTTTCAAAAGGTATTTTAATTAATTGCAAATGCCATTCCTGACTGCATATTTGGCTCATAAAAACAGTAAAAGTATGCACGGAAATAACCTATATCTTACCCATCTTAGCCAGGGTGAAATCTAAAAATTTGTCTAAAGGTTGTCTGAGAAGTGAAATGTATGTACTAATTTTGCAGGGAATGATCTGGAATGAAATAGATTAAGCCAAGCAGGGAGTCAACCTCAGTTTGAGCTTTTTTAAATATAAACCTCTTTAACAGAAATGTACTTGGAGCTGCAAAAACATCAAGTGATCATTTCGAAATTAAAAGCAATTCCTTTGAAAATAATTGAAACTACCTCCAGCCCAAAGATGCAAGTTTTTTTTGCTGTTCAAGATACACACATTATATTAATCAGGGGTCACCAACGTGGTGCCCATGGGCACTAAGGGGCCCTCAAGGACCATATGAAGTGCCTTCAGTCTTCTGAAAATAGAACAACTTGCCAGTATGTTAAGCCTGAAATTTTATTTTATTCCGTTGCTCCTTTTCTTAATAATTTTTAGAGATTAAGAAAGGACATTGTCTAAAATAAAATATAAAAAGAAACAATAAAAAACATTTTTGTAATGTATGATGTTTAGGTGAAGGCTTATCCTTGCATTTCATGGGTGAGTATTGGAAGCCCTTCCTATGACTCAGTTGCCCTCAGCCTAAAAATAGGTTGGTGACCCCTGATATAAATGATCTAAATCTGATGTCAATGCAATTGCCCGATAGAGAATCCCTTTATTTCTGTTGGTAGCAGGTTGAGGTAAAAACAAACTTTTTAAAAATTATTTAATGCTTTCAACTCTAAGTTTTTAGATCTATTTTCTTATTGATAAGATGTGATGCTCCCGACTTTATTCAATAAACCTGTTAGAACAGCTGAAAAAAACACACACACACATATGAAATAATCCACAGACATCAAAATGAAATTGGCATAATTGAATTTAATTCTATTATCCATCTTCTAACAGTCTCCCACAGTTATGAGACCAGGAAGAAAAGGTCACGTAAGGCTTTTTGGTGTATCTGGACACGCATGGAAAATACGTCCATCAAATACAGAAACATTTTAAGCAGGCAAGTTTCAAAACATCATTTGGATGCAGCCTATTTTAGATAATTGAAATTTTATCGACTATTTCAATAATCAGTTTTTCAATTCAAAAACAGTGACACACAGATCACATGTCACAATCTAATGTACCGGTAGGTAGACATGATTTAAACTAATTGGCCCCATAATAACTAGTTACACTGTGGTTGTAGACTAAATTTCCTCCACTTATTTTTTGTTTTTCCAGCAGAGATTATACCCCTTACAAAAACCTGATTAAAAAATAAGAATAAACCCATTTTTATTGTCTTTATCGGTCTCGACAGATGTCTCTCTAAGTAGATAAACAAACAGATGGTGTTCATTTTAACCGAGATAACCTCCCAGCTCCAACCTTGAACAAAAAACAAAACAAAAAAACACCCTCATGAGCAGCAATTTACCAAACACTGCTGCAGCCTTCAAGTTTTGCTCCATACAAACACATCTCTGGCCTGTGCTTTGAAAAAAGTTTTTTTTAAAATCCAAGCTATCTGTTGCTTTTCTAGCTCAAGTCAAACAGCAGAGAAAATCCCTTAAAGTATCAGAATACTGCTGACAAGTAACACTAAATGGATATAAGACTAAAGTCAAGTTCATCCTCTGAAGTTGGATTATTTACAACAAAAAGAAAGTATTCTGAACTCATTGCAATTTAAATAATTAAACTAGGTGGATGCATAAATTAAAGAGTTTATCGATATCGCTTGATACATCACGCCCATGCTGACACATAGTGGTGGCACCAACATGCTATTTTCCAACGTGAAAACAAACAAAGATAATCAAAGCACATGTTGATCTGAAAATGATCTGTTCTGTATTTTATTCAGTTTACTAGATGCGTTTTTATTCTTTACTCACGCTGCAAACTTTAAGGGCCAATTTCTGTCAGAGCACTGCCTGATTTAAACATCACTTTACAACAAAGAAGTTTGAAGTTTGAGTTGTTTTCTGAAATTCTAATTAAGACCTAAAATTTCCCAATACTGACCAGGCTTAAATATTTTTTTTAAGATCTTAAATTAATGATAGAAGCTCCAAAAACTTAACCAGTTATAAAGACAGAGAGAGAGAGAGAAAAGTAGGTTTTAGGCAGTTTTGCTCAATCTCCTTTTGAAGACGAATTGCTTCTTGGAGAAACTTAAAAACCTAGTGTTACTTTTCCAAAAAACCTGTGATGATTTTAGAGTTTAAAAAAACTACAAAAAAGGCCCATAGCTCACCTAACATGAGCTGGGTGGAAGCTCTCATGACTAATTACTGTGCTTTAAATACACAAACATAAAACATTAAAGCAGATATAACACTGATCTAGAATGGCTGCTGAAGGTTTAGGGTTTTTTTTTTTTTTTATCTTCAATTGCCTGTTTTGATAGTGATGCTTTGCCCAGCGGTGGCCGTCTGTGCTTGTGCCCAGTCTCTGAAACGGACTCGAGAGATGTCAACATCAGGGCTTTGAGCAAAGGCTCAGAGGTGTCTGCACACTTAGAACCTGGAAGATGGACTACAGGAGGTTTTGCATCTTTTTTTTTGCATAACGACAACTACAATAACGTGCAACCATATATCCTTAACAGTCAGATACAAATACAAAACACCCCTCTGATCTTGGCAGGATGAACCTCTACTGACCTCTTGAGGACAAAATGGAAACAGGCAAACCATCAATAGGTACGTTAAGATATTAAGACACTTTAAAAAGAATTTACGAACCAATTAACTGACCAATTAGAACAACAAAGGAAAACTGGGGATCTGAGGTGTGGAGGCTGTGAGGGTCAAGAGGTTTTTTTTTAGGCTGAAGGAAGAGCTCCTCGACGTTCCTCACTTGAAGTCTGGCTTTTCTGGGAAGGTACAACCTGCTCGTCTGATGATGACATTTGCAGAGTAATGTGCTGCCCTAACGCACTGATCCAGGGGTTTGTCCTGGACGAGCCCAGACAGGAATCCTGCACCACGCGAAGAGAACTCCGTTACTATGACAACAGAGGCAAAAAGAGATGCACAAAGTAAAAAGTTTTTACCTCCAACAAAAGCGTCGCCTGCACCGTTTGTGTCAACGATGTCCTTCGGGTCAATCTTCAGGACAGGGAATGTTTCGATCTTATCGCCTGAGCAGACAGAAAAGTTTAGACTGAATACCTGAAAGTAGAGATTAGATTTGAAACCAAGACATGAACAGAGGGGATATCCTACCCAGGACCATGATGGTTTCATCCTTTCCCTGGGTAAACACAACAATTCTCTGTCTCTTTGTGTTGACTTTGGGTAATGCCTGGGCTTTCTTCGCAATCTCCTTTATGTCTTTAGTCTACAAAGAAGTTAAAGAAAACAGCATTTTTACAGAACCTGTTAAAGGATGCATGAAATATAAGGAAAATGGAGCACTGTTCAGAAGAACATCTACTAACCTCAAAGTCCTGCTCTTTGGCAAAAGCAGTTGCCTCCTGAAAAGGAAAATATATTGGAAAAATAATCGACACGGGTTCCCGTCCATTACAATAGATGAATACCGGGGGGTGTTCTGCATCCTACCGTCTCGTTGCCAAACAACACGTCGATGTAAGGCATGACCTGCATCAGGTTGTCCTTGAAAAACTGGCAGATGAAGGGAGCAGAGAGGTTCATGCAAAACAACTTGTTCTTTTCAGAAGCATGCTTCGCCACTTTCAGGATGGACTCCAACGACACAGTCAGGAAGAAACCCTGGGAAGCACAGCATCATTAATATAAACCTGGCATCCAGAGAAAATAAGGAATCACTTACAGGAAATCAAAAATATCCCTAATTTAGCCATTTAACAAGATGTTCTTGTTAATAACTTAATATTTTTTCCTTGTCCTCCTCTCCTGATGATCATTATACGATTGTTTAGATTAGGCCACTAAAGTTAACACCAATAAACTGTAAAAGGATTCATTATTGAAAAGAGAAGCAGAACATATTGCAACAGCATTTTTTATCTATCCATCTATCCTCCACCTGTTTAACTTCAACATCTTAGGCCAATTTTACTATTAAATCTGCTCAGGATTGTGGATCATTAAACTATTTTATGTTAAAATGGAACAGAAGCTCTTCAGTTCCTACATGAGCGTTTTGGTTTATCAACGCTCACATTTTACTGACCTTAGTCAATAAAGACTTGTTAATTATTACTAGGGATGCAAAATGTAATAGCATTAAAGTGCCTGTGACGTGCTTTGCTTTTAAAGTATCGTAAAAAAAAAAGGAAGAAAAGCATTTCATTATTAAAAGGTTTTGCATGATTTTTTAAATTTCATTGTTACTTAAGGCTTAATAAAAGACAACTGTGACCCAAATAGGCACATTTCTTTATAATATGTGATGCTTCAACATTGTCCTGAAGCGATCTTTGAACCATTCATTGTTGGAATGTTGGATTTAACATTTCAGGTAGACGACAGGTTAAGCAAAAAAAAAACAAAAAAAAACAAAAAAAGTTTTAATACAGTAAAATGAAGCCCTTCCTGCGTGGTTACAGGAATACTGAGACACCAGGCATCAGTCTGCACCCATTTTCTGGAGTGAAAATGTTTTTTTTCTTGGTCATGTGACAATGATTATGATGCTGCTCAGGATTGTGGGTGTTTAACTAAAACAGAAAAGCAGTGTGAGCAGTCTGGTTTGTATCTTATGGCATCTCACAAGCTAGAGAAACAACATAAAGGCAAATATTGGTAATTGGCCATAACGGCAAAATTAATATCTAGTATTAATAGTGGCCTAGATTTTCATATTGGTGAATCCCTATTATTCACAAAGTCTGGTTTTAGTTCCATTTCAGAGCTTAATTGTCTTGGAGACGTGATAAATGTTGTTTAATCGTCTACAGATATCCCACTTTAAGCTTTGCTCCATTAGTTTCTGTCTGGGAGTCAGGATAAGAAGGAATTTATGTAAAACCTGTGCTACCTACAGCATGGATTGGGAAAAGGTCACTAAAAGCTGTGTTAAACTTTACTGTTTTAAATTCATTCTGGTCTCTGCTGTTGCTGCAGGCAGAAATCTGCATCCTCAGACTGAGGCAGCAGCAGTCCTACAAGAGAAGGAGCCATTCAGAGTCGACAGGCTTGATCTTGACAATGGCCTGGCTTCCAGAATCCAACCAAAATGTTCTCAGTGAATAAAAAGCTTGCAGAAGGTAATGTTTCAAATAAAAGGTATTTAAGGAAGTTGCAGTGGAAGTGTGCCTTTATTCTGCTCCACTTAACTCACCTCTCTTAGCAAAGTGTGACCTAATTACTAAGCTCTGAAAAAAAAAACCCCACTGTAGGTCACCAGAGACTTAAGGCTGAACTACTCACAGCGATATAGTAGACTTTAGCTTTTTCCACCAGCTTCCAGTTTTCTTCCAAGTCTAAATGCTTCTCCTTTTTATAACAGTTAGCAGCAGCTAGGTTAGCAACCAGAGACCTGAGAGATGAAAACAACATAATTAGACGTTTGTTATGACCCCAATTTATGACTCTCCCGTCAAACCCCCACCTGTTATCCCCGGTGATGCAGGCAGCACACGTCCCTGTAGGCTCCTCATCTTGCTCGTAGTAGTGAGCATCTACGTGGGCCTCCTCCGCCTTCTTTTTGAGGATCTCTCCAAACTTATCTTTCCCAATGCAGCCGAAGAAGGTGCCCACCTTATGAGGTTCCTGGATCATCCACTGGGGGATCATCCAAACAGCTTAGATTTACACTGGCCAATAAAATCTTTGCACAGAAAGTAGTGTTCGTGAGTAGGTCCTACCTGAGCGATCTTTACTGAGTTCTGGGTGGCTCCTCCAGCGTGGTACTCTACATTGAACTTCTTTGTAAGCTCATCAAATCTACAGAGAAGGAAATATGAATTTATCCACTGATTATTAAACATTATTATATCTAAATATCCCTATTTTTCCTTCCATTTTTAGGTCTCTAAAGCAGAGGTCTTCAAAAAGGGTTCCGCGACCCCTAGGGGTCCACAGAGGTACTGCATGGGGGTCACGAAAGTTTCGGTTGATTAGACTTTTTTTTTTTATATTCCTCCCTGCAATTTTTTCCACTAATTAAAATGTATTTAAATACACATTAACGTGAATTCAACACACTGTAATAAACAGATAAATGGAGGCAGAAGATGCTTTTCAGTCATCAATGCACACTTTCAGCGACACACACAGGAGCTATTTCAAGGTGGGCACCGTTTCATTCACAACACCTGTCCCATCAACCAGGAATCAAAATCAGATATACTTTAATCAGACTTTTTAACATCTGTGCCAGCTTCAGGAAGCAAAGGGACTCAGAACCCATGAGGAGGTGGCGCTTTCCATCTGGGCAGGCAAGTTAAATGTCTGCCAATGCTAAAATAAGGTTTTGCTAATGCTAAATATATTTGCTTAATTAATAAATCTTTACATGAAAGTTGAGATTTAACAATACATGACACTTCTGTTTATCTGCCCATCTGTACGGTCATATAGTTAAGCCAGGAAGTAGGGATGGGCATTTATCGTATTGTTTATCGATATAAACTTCTAGTCAAGATAAGAATTCAATTTATTTATATTAATGATAAAACAGAATTAATGTTTTAAAAATACCAAAACATTGGTGAATTGTAACATTGTTTGACATCTCTCTTTTTTTGATTGACAAATTCATAGAAAATTATTAAATGTGATTATTGTTTGGATGTTATAATAGAAATCATACTTCTTTCTGTAACTGATCTGCTGAACACGGGTGGTATTTGTGAAAATAGGCTGATGTGGCATGCAGTCATCACCACACAATGACCTAAGAAAGACTGCAAAGTAGTAAGGAAGAACATTTTATCATTATCAATCAACCACAAAATATCATATTTTAAGTCCATATAGCCCAGCCCTACCTATAAGTATTCAAACCCATTACAGATTAAATAAGTTCTGATTGGAAGTTAATATAAACTTTTTATCATCTAGACCTGAATCTGATAAATACCCAAACCCTCCACAGAAATAATGCAAAATGTAATCTCTAAAGTGAGCTACAGTTTTTAAACTATTTTCTGAGAAGGGTACACATAATTTTCAGCATAACATTTCTTTGTGAAATGTAATTGAAAAAACCCTTTTCATAACTCATCCTACATTGTTGCAAACAAACCTGATTCTGCCAAAGGAAAGTATTGACAAAAAGGGAATAAAATTCACTATCATTTGAAGAACAAATGACTTAAAACAAAACAGCATTAATTTGCAGCTGCCTGTCGACTGTAATGGTAGGAAGGAAAACATGGATGTGTCCAGCTGTGTTTGTTCCAGATCAAAGTCAAATATGCTCTTGCTTTATAATTCCGGATTCATGAAGATCAAAACGATAATTGCATGTTCTCCTGTCTTACCTATTTTAAAGACTGGCTCAGAAATATTTGCCCCATAAATAAAGAAACCTCTTGAGGACAAAACACTGATCATTTATTCTATAGGAACTGTTGAGGGTCAGACTGAATAAGGCATTATGGATTTTGTTAAAAATAACTACTTATTACCATGTAAATAATTAATTTTTCATCTTTTTTTATGAAGCCTTTCCTGTGTCACACTGCAGTGTTCCTGCTAGCAGCTGCAACAGAGAGGCAGTAACACTGTAACATGACATCTCTGCAGAAAGCAGCCTCATATTTTCCCCAAAATATACAACACATGCATGACTGAATGCTGATTATACAAGCCAAGCCATTTGTGTCTGTTACGTAATGCTTTCTTACTTCCCCTTCTGGGCTGAAGTCCTTTTAATGAACCATATGTTTCAGTCTAATGCACCGACAGAAGAACCGCTGCTTTTAGTGTGCGCTTTCAGATATATTATTAGGAACAGCAAAAACCCCACTGCTAAAGGTCCTGAGAGGAAGTGAGGAGGGTCAGAGAAGGAGAGCGGAAAGAAAACATTTAGCAGTCTGTAGCAAAACAAATGTATCACTGTGATGTAGCTATAAGTGATCATTATGATCAAACCCTACATGCTAAACAAGCTCATTTCTAACTGCAGCTTCTAACTGCAGCTTCTTCTATACAAATAATTATTAGAGTATCCTAAAAAAAAAAGAAATCTAATACGTTTATCGGCAGAATCTGATATTTCTTTATTCTTATAACTAAGAAAGAAGATGGAGGCCCAGTCCGGATCAGAATGAACAAAATGTCACATTCTGCTCGCTTATCTCCTGCTGTTAAATGTTTGCTTTCCGACTCTGGTCTCAGCGGGACTGGGGAGGTGAAGTGTCCCGGTCTGTTATTGGACAAGACCCACTCACTCTGTGCAGTTTGCTGCACTGCCATTGGCCGTCTGCACAGGAACAGAGGTCAATGGCAGCAGCTTTCTTGTGCGTGCCTGTTTAGGCTGGACCTCTCCAGAACGAGGAGGCGAAAACTCAGGATGAATTCGGACACGTTTTTTTTTTTATCCTTTCCCCCCAATTACTGTGCAAAAACACTAAAACCTTGACAGAAGATCACCTGTGTGATGGCGCTTTCATAGACACGTATTCTACAATAATTTAAAATACAGGAGGTACGAACAGTGCTTTGTGCTTGTCCTCAGCCAGGATCTGATCGTTGGGCTTCAGAGAGTACCTGGAAATGATTGAAAAGAGGATGTTAGGCACAGTAGGCAACAAAAAAGACATTTAATAATCAAGAGTATTCATGTCATAAAGGAGATGAATCTAAGAGAAACTTGTGCACATTATTACACCTGTTCCAAAATCAATGTGCTAATTTGAGAGCACTTTCCTTGAAAGAAAGACTAAGATTTGCTGAGGATTAAAGGCAGTTTAAGTCCTTCTTTAGAAAGGCCGAATTAGAGCCGAAGCTGGCCGGTTCATTCCTAATCCAAGAGTTTACACAAGGGGCTTCTGAGTGGACACTCAGGTGGAAAACCAAGTTAGCCTTTTGGCCAGTTAAATCTGGTACATTTGAGATGGAGAGCTCTCAGGGGAAGCAGGGAACATCTCCTCAAGGCAGACTGATGTTCTGGGAAGTAGTAGCTTTCAAGATTCAAGATAAAGAAGATATGTCTGGATTTCTGCAGGACTGATAAGAGTAATTGAATATAAAGGGGATACTATACAAAAAGGAACACGAGACAGACAGCTCATTTATTTTTAGCATGCTTTAAAGCAATTAATCAGCTGTTTTTTTTCTTCTTTGCTTTATTGGCTTTCTGCCTTATTGATCGAAGTGTCAATGTATCTCTTCCCTCCATAATCTCCCTCTGACCTTATCGACAGCAATAGATCTGGTTCTGCTGCTTGCATACTTTTCTTGTAAAGTCTAATCAGAATATATGCAGCAAAAAAACAGAAATTTAAAGCAGTAATCTATGTTACAGACGAAAAAAGTGTCAACTTACTTATCCAAGAAGTCTTTGTCCACAACAGCAGAGATGTCCAGTAAGGGGTTTCCCATCCCAAAGAGCAAATTAGGTCTGTAAGATAAGCGGAATGTTAGAAACCATTACTCACCTATCAGTGAATCGACTAAAGCTTCTCAGACAGAGCCTTTCTGAGCAAAAAGCTTCATAAATAGGTTACTTAATCTAAAAAGAATACATGTAGGAGCTTAATCTATAAGCCTACTACATATATTTCTTGAAATGTTTAGCTAAAATATAAAAATGTGAATTTTTATCATTGATTCTTTATTACATGCATATAACTATTAGAATCAGCCTACTTATTTCAATCTTTCATTTTTCCCCCCCATAAATGATTATTTAAACAATTTAAAAAAGAGCATAAGCTATTATTTATTATATCAGTACAATTATATATTTTTAACTCTCTAATAGAAACATTGAACACTAAAAAAACGTTTCTAATGTTATTTTTATTACTTGCATATAATAATATATGTAAAAATGTATTACTAATTAACATATAACATAATCATTTAAATTGACAAAGCTCAGCAAAAAACAGACAAAAAAAATTTTCTATGTTATAAACTAGGGCTATGTTTGTTGTATGACTTGTGGAAACTGTTCCCTCACAGGAGAAAAAAAGCAGAAATGACACAAATAAAGCAGATGTTTATACAGACGTAGCATTCGTGAAAAAAAAGATGTATGAGGCTTGTGGTGGGGATTGGGGCAATCACGCATGCTCTCACATTAGGTCCCTCGCAGCGCCAGGATAAAACTGCATGTTTCTGCATTTTTCCATGAGAACAAAACTAACCGCAGGACTTCAGACCATCATGATTTTGTGATGCCAACAGAACAAAAATCAGCTAAAACTGCATGTCTGCACTTTGTGTCATCTAATAACACAACCATCTAAAACCCTGTCTGACAATTAGGTAACCTATTACAGAGAGAAAGGTTACGGTTCAACCTTTTCTCTCAGAGGAAAATTATAACTCACAACCAAAAAAAAACAAACTGTATTATTATGAGTAAGCACCCCAAGGGGAATCAGGATATGAGTAATAGAAAAAGTCCACTCATTTCATCCCTGAAACCGCCTCTATAAACTTGTCTGTTTGTGGGAAGGCTGCAGGTGGAGTGTGTCTCTGACAGATAACCATGTGCTGTCATGTCCCCCCACTAAAGAAGCCTCTTATGAACATTTGCTTTTCAGAAAACAAATACCTCTCATTGAAGGCAGGAAGAAAGATACATACATTTGAAAACCACATCTATCCAGAGGACACCACACCCTTACTATCATCTCCCTCAACACAGTATGCAGTCAGATGATTAATGGGCTTGTGCAGCCAATTACACTAACCTAGAGCCCATGCATGCCTGCAGATCTGCTCTGCTGGTTGGACATCCATCTGTGTGCTCTTACCTGACAGCAGACATGATGTTCTTCTCTCTGTGTGTGCCTCAACAAGAAACTGACAGACCTGTTGAGCAACCTTAAAAACCGCTCCTGAAACGGCTAAGCTTTGGGTTTAAAAAAAACAAAACAAACAATTTGAGCTCAGCGTGCAGAGCGATCGATTTCTTTTCCCTGCATCTGCAGCTCCTCCTCCTGACTGACTGATTGGAGGCATGTGAAGAAGGACCTGCCTCTGTCTGATGATTGGCTTGTTTCTCAGACCTCTGCTTTATCTAAACGCAAGCTTCATTTCACCGCGTGCAGATGATCGGGTGTTTTTCAGTTTAAAGCTCTGGTCAGATTTATATATGTATATAAAAAATTATTAGATAGGCCTCTGAAGACCACGTGACTGCCTAATGGTCCTTTGTTGTTTTCGGAGCCTGGCGCAGGATGGATCCAGCTCTTGCAGGGACAGCAGAACCGATCCAAGCATTCATTTCTGCAGCTTCCAAAGCATGTTAATTAAACATTGTCCCAACTAACACATGCCTCCATGTTTCCGCTATGGGTCGACTAAAGGTTACATCTGTTAAATAGTTACAAAAAAGACACTTTGCACCAGGATTGCTTTAGTTAAAACACAACCACAGTTAAAAGACAAAAAAACAAACTTTAATGCGTAATCTCGTAAAACAATTAACACGTTTGATTTGGCGCACAAATCACAACCAGACGCTATTTTTGTCTTTTTGCTCCACACAGAAGCACAGTTACAGGATAATATGGTCACCTTAGTTCGGGGGCAGCCTTTTTGCTCGGGGACTGAGTCTTCTCATCCTCAGAAAGTTTAAGTTTCTTTGCTTTGGGTTCGTCAGAAGCCATGGCTGTCCGCACTGACTGAGCACGCTGCAATCACCTTACGAAAAGCGGTCACGCTGTCAGTGCTAAACCCTGAGTACAGACTCGCAGGTATGATTTGTTCACATTTAAATGTAGAATAGTTTAGATAAAATCGAGAGAAAAAAAATGCATTATGATGTTTATGTGTTTTTGTCATCCTTTTTCCAATATGCACAATCATTTTAAACAGTCACTCCAACTGCTGATAATATATTTTTTGTTTAATTAGATGTATTTATTAATAATGTAATGCATTTAATTATATCAATTTATTGTTTTTAGAGAGCTTGTTTGAACATGCGCTTTCTTTGTTTTCTGTTCACTGAAAAGTAAAATGAAAATTTCTTTAAAAATCTAATCTGAAACACAAGCTTAAATTTTATGAATGTTATGTTGAGATTATATTATTATATATTATGTTAGCAGTCGTTTACATTTTTTTTTTTTTAGATTTCTGTGTCCTACTCCACCATAACAACCTGTATAACAATTTAAATGAAATGTTTACACTACCATTTGACTAGTTCTTTGGCCAACAAATTCAGGATTGATGTGAACTTTTAAAAAACTATATAAACACAGAAGATTATTTATTGCTCAACAAGATGTGAAAATCAACTTTGAAAAGATTTCCACATTTAATGGTTTTAGTTTTGTCTTTTTCCTTTCATCATTATCAATAACAATACATAAAAGAAAATAACTATTATAGCCCTAATACATAGTATTTATGAGCGTTAAAAGCAGAAAGCTTCCTAAATAAAATAAAAAAGGTTAAAATAATTGCACTGTAATAATCAATAAAATTTAATCCAGAAAATTTTCACAAAAAGAAAACAAGTCAAATACCTGCTGGGAGTACGAGGTGCACCTGCAAGAATTTACATAGGGTTTAAACTCCCATTAAGTAAAGGCACCACACCGGGTTTTAGCTATCCACAAATGTCGCCTGCATAAAAGGGGGAGGTTTTTATTTTTAAGTTAGTCATTCTAAAAAAAAAACATTTTTTTCGAAGCTGTAAAAATATATATATTTTGTTAAGCTTTTCATTGAAATTACAAAGCTTTATTTTTTTACTTTTGAAAGCGTTTACACGTGACCGAGTCGTGTTTACGTAGGCAAATAGCTGCAGGCGTCTCCATCAAATCTTGTCAGCACAATCAGCTGCAGTTAGCAGGTAAACTTTTTATATTGTGACAAACTTTCCATTTAATGTAGTTTCTGCGCAGTTTCTAGTTGATTATTACGCAATTACGTTTCGTGTTATTTACGTTTATAAGTAAATTAGGTATATATGTGCGAAGTTTGAGCCGTCAGGCTGCCAATCAGACCGTGAAGTCAACTGATGGGGAAAAGTTAGTTACAGTTTTGCAGGAAGTAAATGTTTCAAACAACTTGGAGTAATATCGCTTTTGTTTACTGATTAGTGTCAGCTGCTTTAGAATATGAAAGAAGTTATACGCATAAAACTGGTGATGTTGTTTTGTCGTCTTTTTTTTTTCTAGCACACCAACAACAATCACCTCATCATCGTTAAAGCTGAGATGATCCACAGCCTCTTTCTGGTCAGCCACTCCGGAGACATCTTCCTGGAGAAACACTGGAAGAGTGTAATCAGCAGGAGTGTGTGCGACTATTTTCTCGAGGCCAAGGAGAAAGCAGGCGACCCAGAAAATGTGTCCCCTGTTCTTCGGACCCCACACCACTATATCATCTCAATCTACAGGGACAAACTCTTCTTCGTCTCAGTCACTCTGACTGAAGTCCCCCCTCTCTTTGTCATTGAGTTCCTGCACAGGGTGGCTGATACTTTTCAGGTGGGAATTTCAATGCTCTGTTTGAATGATTGGTTCTAGTATATGTGGTTGAAGCTATTTGTCATTAGATATGGACCAGTTATTACTTGTTATTACCTCCCTGGGCTGCCACCTTATCGTGGTGGAGGGGTTTGAATGTCCCAATGACTTAGGAGCTATGCTGTCTGGGGCGGGTTATGCCCCCTGGTAGGGTCACCCAAGGCAGACAGGTCCTAGGTGAGGGACCAGACAAAGAGCAGCCCAAAGACCTCTTATGATGAGCAAGACAAATAGATCTATTGTTCCCTCGCCTGGACGCGGGTCACAGTGGCCCCACTCTGGAGCCAGGCATAGAGGTGGGGCACACTGCCGAGCGCCTGGTGGCCGGACCTTTACCCATGGAGCCCGGTGGGGCACAGCCCAAAGAGGAAACATGGGTCCCCCTCTAATGGGCTCACCACCTGTAGGAGGGGCCAAAGGGGTCGGTTGTGATGGGTGGCAGTCGAGGGTGGGGACCTTGGCGTTCTGATCCTTGGCTGAAGAAGCTGGCTCTTGGAGTTATTACCTCCTGGATGTCTCCCTGGTGAGGTGTTCCAGGCACGTCCCACCGGGAGGAGGCCCAGAGGGAGACCCAGGACACGCTGGAGGGACTATGTTTCTCGGTTGGCCTGGGAGCGTTTTGGGATTCCCCCGGAGGAGCTGGCCCAAGTGGCTGGGGAGAGGGACATCTGGGCCTCCCTACTGAAGCTGCTACCCCCGCGACCCGACCTCGGATAAGCGGAAGAAGATGGATGGATGGATAGATGGAAATTATTACTTAGTTCTCAGATATAAAGAGGTTATTACACGTTTTACAATTTAAAATCAGTTTAACAAGAAGCCTGAAGAGTACTAGAAATAATGCCATCTTTTTGAAGGAACTTTCCAAAATAGAAACTGTGGTAAAGAAAAATTAAAGTGGTTTATAACTTTAAACTGACTCTTGCCTTTAAACTGACTCGGCACTGCATTTTCCTAAATGTTGAGGGGAGATTCAGGCTGGTGTTTGGAGTCAAAAACTAATTTAAAACCATGTGCATGTGGGTTTATGTACAATGCATAAAGTAGTTTTGTTGTGCCCTCTCCTTTTCAGTGAAGCATTGTTTAGGTTTGGAATTTTTTGCAAACTGAATCTTCCTGCTCTTCGCCAGCGTTATGTGATTCGTTGGGTTTTTTTCCTCGCAGTGGGAGATTGATCCAACAATAATGCTAAAGTTTATCCAGCAGGAGCAGGGTTATGGTTGGTCATATAAACTATAAACTGATTTTATTTCTTTATATAAAAAGAAAAACACTACCCCTAACCTAGCATCAGTAAATAGAATCCTCTCAAGCAGGACTGTATATATTTATTCATTATTGAAATATTTAGAATTGAAAAGTAAGATTAATGTATCATATAGACTCATTACACAGAGTGGCACAATGTTTTGTCCATTTTTGAAAATTATGGCTTAGAGCTTATGAAAAATGAACTGCAGCTACTTTCACAGGTGGAGAATTTGAAAAAGACAATGACATGGAAAAACAAAGCACCCAATAGATCCATAATAAACCCCTTAAAAAACAATTATAGATAATTGATGGAATATTGTCAGATAGAGTAATTGTAGCTAAGGCTGGAAATTGAATTGAAAATGCCAAATAATCTCAATTTTAAAAACTTACACGGAAGCATGGATTTTTGATCATTCTGTGTTTAACAAGAGTAAGACACTAAATTATTCCCTTCAGACCTTTAGGTGGTGATTAAAAGCTTGAAGTGTGTTTGTCGCCACACAGAAAGGTAGAGAGATTTGCAGCTAGTACGCAGATCCATGCATGGAAGTAGAAGTAATCAATTTGTCAAACAATGGTTACAGTAAAGTCCTGCAACAATGGATTCTGGGCAAGCAAGCTTTCAAAAACCGAAAGCCCAGGATGAAGCATCTACATGCTTGGGGTAGGTGCAAAGAAAAATCAAAAAAAAAAAAACACAATCGCAAATTTGGTTAAAAATGATCGCAATTTAGATTTTTGGCAAAATTGTCCAGCTCTAATCGTAACAATAGTTTTTTGTTTTTTAAGAACTTGTTTTTATGTTTTTTTTTGTTTTTGTTTTTTTATCTAACATAGTGCCAATCAGAGTCTAATATTCTGTTTTGTAAGTAAGGAATAGTGCATGTTGACCCCTGGTACATAGAATGCTGTTCTCACCTCAGACATATTTCTCTTTATCAACAGGATTACTTTGGAGAATGCTCGGAGAGTGTTATCAAAGATAACACAGTGACCGTTTACGAGCTACTGGAGGAGATGCTGGACAACGGGTTTCCTTTGGCAACAGAGTCCAATGTCCTCAAGGAGATGATAAGGCCCCCGAACATCTTGCGGTCGGTTGTCAATACACTCACAGGTAAGCAGAGGTCAGCTGAGGCTGCAAACGCTGGAGTGCTACTATAATAGTAGTTCCTAATGGGGCTCTCTACGTGTTTGTGTTTCAGGGGGTAGTAATGTAGGGGGAACATTGCCTACAGGCCAGTTGTCTAATGTCCCCTGGAGGAGAGCTGGTGTGAAATACACCAATAATGAGGCTTATTTTGATGTGATAGAAGAAATCGACGCCATTTTGGACAAATCAGGTAATTTTTAGTCGGTGTATCTGATTATTATAAAGGAGTAGAGTATTTTTCTTGGAAGTTTTTAATTAATTTTAGGGTATAACTAGAAATGTGTCTCCTCTAGGTACGACTGTGTTTGCAGAGATTCAGGGAGTGATTGAGGCCTGTGTGAAGCTCACTGGGATGCCTGATCTCACCCTGTCCTTCATGGTAGGTCTGTTTTCTAGTAATCAGTTTTAGAGCCAGGGCTCATCATTTACACCCATTTTTTAAATTTAATCTTTTAGAATCCTCGTCTCCTTGACGACGTCAGTTTCCACCCATGTGTGCGTTTCAAGCGCTGGGAATCGGAGCGTGTCTTGTCTTTCATCCCACCAGATGGAAACTTCAGGCTGATGTCGTATCATGTCAGCTCTCAGAAGTAAGCACAGATATTGTCGAACTGTTTTAAAAAAATAATCAATATTTTTTTTTTTTATTATTTTTAAATCAAATATTTATATGTGATTCACTGTCACAATAGAGTACAAAAAACATGAAATGGCAACAAATGATTTGTGTGATTTGTGTTTGATTGAATTAAAACTTCCAACCATTTTAGGTGTGTCTTTATCAGTTTTGTAGTTTTTGAATTTTTATTGGTTAAAAACAAAACTTTTCGTTGACCTATCATAATAATGCAAATAAAACAATCAGTTTGTGGTTGCTACCTGATTAAATACCAAATTAATATTTCTCAAAGCTCTGTGTGGGTTGATGTTTAATTTTTCTTAAAATAAGTAATCAGATATTTTTTTTCCCTCTGACAAAATGATCAGGTCTTTTATTTTATACAAATGTTTTTGGTGCCGAGTAAAGACGTTTATTCTATAAATCCACAAGAGAGCCCGGTCACATTTCTGCAGTGGAGTCCATGCCTGTCACTGACTAATATCTCCTTTCTTTCCTTTCTCAGTCTTGTAGCCATCCCAGTGTATGTGAAGCAGAACATCAGCTTCTTGGAAACAGGTTCCTGTGGTCGTCTGGACATCACAATTGGTCCCAAGCAGACCATGGGGAAGATGGTGGAGAGCTTGATGGTCACTATTCCAATGCCTAAATCTGTGCTCAGTGTCAATCTCACTGCTACTCAGGGAACCTACACCTTTGATGTAACCACCAAGGTAATTTTCCAACAAGATGGCACTCCTAACCTGCAGATAGGTTTGCTTAAAAACCATCTTAAAAGATTATATCATTTATTGTTGTAGCACAATTTTAATCAGGTACTTTAGACAAATCAGATTGTTGAGTACAGTTATAAAGAAATTGTTTAGCTTTTTAAGGCTATTGGTTTGCTACATAAAATGGCCTAATATCACACATGAAATGATGCAGCTGATATGTGGTGGAGGATTTTCCCAGATTTTTTAAAAAACTTTAAAAAAAAAAAAAAAAAAAAAAAAAAAAAAAGCACATCTGAGAGGGAACGCCTATTACAAGCAGTGATGAGAAATGGGTTTCTCCAAAAAGCATGCCAAACTTTGCAACCGTGGCATCAGCGGGAAGGCCCACCTGTGCTGTCAGTGTACGCCATTGTGTGAAATAATCTCCCAAAAACACTTTGATCTTGTTTCTCTCTTCTGAGCGTTTTCTCTTCTTCTCATACACTTGGTAGAGACCTTTTCTCTTACGACCCTCGGCCATTTTCAAAGAGCCGCAGTGAGAAAGGCGAGTTTCAATGACTGTCTGAAACCTTAGCTCACCACAAATATACACCTGAAAGTATGCATGTGCAGAAAATATCATCAGAATGATTGACAATTAGGAGGACCACTTATTTTGATGATCCACCTGAAAAAAGAACATCCTCCACAATACCTTTAAGAGTTGGGAGAACTTTTTAATGCTCAGAACTCCACCACCTGTTTTTTTGGAGGACAAGCATAACATTAAATTGAGCCCTATTTCTTCCTTAAACTTTCTTCATAAAAGGAAAGGCAAGAGAACAAACTGTTTGAGTAATGTGTGTTTAATGTTTTATTAAATGATCAATGACAAGAGAGAAAATGGCCACTCCCTCAGCTTACATCTTTAATCTGAGCTATGATTGGATCATGTAAAACAGCTGTGAGAAATAAGGCTGGATGTCAACTATTAGGGGGATGTAGGTGGAGAACTACCGTAAAGAGTGCTTTATTTGTGAACAGCACAACCATTTGTAGTGATGATATTTAAACAACGAGGGAAACAACTAGCAGCATTAACTGTGATTGTTTTACTTAATATGTTTTTTTATTTTTTATGTACCTGTCATTTATTTTAATGTATCAGTGTTGAATGTATTTTATGCAACTTTGCTGCCTCTTGGCCAGGACTCCCTTGATAAAGAGGTTTTTAATCCCAATGGGATTTTTTTCCTGGTTAAACAAAGGTGAAATAAAAATTATTTTCCTCTAATTTTCATGCCTCGTGATAGGTGCTCCTTTGGGACATCGGGAAACTTAACCCTCAGAAGTTGCCGAACCTGAAAGGAAGCCTCAGCACGCAGACGGGCGCCCCAAAGCCGGAAGAGAATCCCTCACTCAACATTGACCTGAAGATACAACAACTGGCCATATCAGGTAAAACTGAAAGACTAGAGGAAACTAAAAATCAACTTTTAAACAAGTTTTTTGTTGTGTGTGTTTTCAAATAGTGACACATTTGTAAACATATTATGCTCCTGTAAATTATATGGATTTTGTTTTTGCAGGTTTATTTTTCAGTTCAGGATTTTCTCTATTCTTAAAAGAAACTGCAAAAGTTACGCAATAAAACCGTCAAATTTCTAATTGAAATCCATTATAGATCCATATTTATCCAAACATAAACAAATGCAGTCCTTTAAAATCTAGGTTTGAACTGGGACGATAATTAACTGTTTGATTGCTTATTCATTTCCTATATAAAAGTGGAGTAATGAGGAAAAACTGGCCTTTAAAGGTTAAAATTTAAAGTGTGATCAGAATCTGATATATTTTAGGTTTACTTATTTTTCAATAATTGAACCATAAGTCATAACAAGCAAATAAAGGACATCTTAAAAGTTAAAGAAGCAGTAAAATTGGTGCAGATGAATGAACACTGGTGTCTCTGTTCTGACTTTGCTGATTGAGTCTCCCCCTCTTATACTCAGGCCTCAAAGTGAGTCGTCTGGACATGTATGGAGAGAAGTACAAACCGTTTAAAGGAGTGAAATATGTGACTAAAGCGGGAAAATTTCAGGTCCGGACCTGAGTGAAGAGGTGAAAGGTCAGCATTCCAATACCAAACAGAGAGCGGGGTTACCACACTGCCAAGCCATCGACAAGTCTTACATCTCCACAGCTACATCGTCAAAAATCAACACCTCTGCGTTCTTACAGTTATTTATTTTCTCATAAATGGCAACGTATTTTAAATATGACTGAATAATTTTGGCCTGTTAAGGTAAGGCCTTAACATTTAATGTGATTTCTGTTGAATGTTGGTCTAATTGTGCTGCTTCATATTGTGAACTTTCTACTTTTTGCATCACTTGATATATATGTCTATCCACAAAATGTATTTCCTCGTCTATTATGCTCAAAATGTTGCAGAAGGGAGATTTTTTTTATTTAAAAAACAAGTGCATATGCAACTCACTGCCTTACTTTAAATGTCAACTCTGCACAATACAACATGCAAGCTGCCTGAGAGTATGAAGGAAGGCCTTTGAAAAAGTTTAATTTAACGAAGCGTCGCCAATGTTACGGGTTAAAGTAGAAATTTATTAGAAAACATTCAGAATTTATACCTGCATTCTGAATGGTTGTAATGCAAATATTTTTGCACACATTCAGAGTTTCATTCAGTGGCCTTATAAGAACATCTTTAAGTGCTCTGTTAAGCACACTACAGCACAAACTGCACGTTTTGGAGACTTAAGGGAATTATTTTAAAAGTTTTTTTCTTATTTAAAGGTCATTCTAACATGTAATGTTGGTATGATGTGGATCCAAATTAGTTATTCAGGTACACTTTTTTTTATTTAGAGCAACTTTAAAGAACCTCACATTTTTTTTTCTTTTTTGCAACTTTTCACTGCACAGCATGTTAGTCAATATTAGACAAAATATCCTATTTAAAATGTAAGCCAGATGCCTTATTGTAAAATCCTCTTCATGCTTTGTTGTCTTTAAATCCCAGCTGCAGGATTTTGCTTTATGTTTGGGAATTTTATTTTCTACATTTTGTTTCTCTGCTTTTTTGTCAACTTTTTATTACTAACTTTAAAGGGTTTCTTTTTCCAAAGCAATATTCTAATTACAAAGCAAGTCTAATAAATTACCTCCTGATTCAGTGCCACAATTTACCTGGTATTTATTTTTCAGACCTTCTTAATTTCCTGCATTAAAGAAAGCACACAAAACAAACCATCTAAAAACACACCTGAAGCAGACTTTTGTTTTTATAATAGTCTTTATTCTTTCAAGGCACAGCAGATGTTGGCAGGGCTAGAGGCTATCAGAATACATTCAGCTAACTTTTTACTAACATACAGCTCTAAATCCCGGAGGCTCTTGGAGAGGAGCCTGTGATCACTACGTGTTCAGTACGCCACCCCCCAGAAAAAAAGAGAGGGAGGAAGGAAAAACAAACAGGTAACGGTCTGTGCTGCAGTTCAGTATTTTATCCCTCAGTACTCCAGGGATCCATCTCTAATACTGTTAAAATGAGACTAGGTACACTCAGTCTCAATGTGACACACAATTTTACCCAGCCACTGTAGAATAAATAATCTGATAAGGGAATGAAAACAAAATGGATTTACGGCTATAGTTGCGAGTATTTTTCTAGCTGGATACACATCATGGGCGTGAAAGCCTTTCAGTTCTGTTTATGATGTGATTTAAGAGCACTGCCCCACTGTTTGACTTCATTAACTGGGACCAGGGTTCAGAGATCTGACCCAAAGGGAGTTGCTCGAGTTGTTCAAAGCCAACCAAATAACCCCTGAGGTCTACTTAGAAAACTGCTTAAACACCAGATAAGGTTTATATAAACATAGACTAAAAGGATGCAAACAAAGAAATAAGCACCTGCTCCAAAATCACCAACTGGAGAGAAAAAAAAAACATGAGGTCAGATGAGACGAAAAAGAAGAAAATGCAAAACGCATTCAAACTTGTAGAGCTGTCATTTAAAAGGCCATTAAACTTTTTTTTTTTGTACTCTCAAAATAAAAGAACAGATTAAATAAAAAATTTAAAGCCCTATGAATGACAATCATGTTTATAAGTGCAAGTAAACGTTTGACTGGATCTGTGTGTGGCATACATTTTTCTTTTTCTCCCCCCCACTACCTTCCTCTAAATCATAACTAACACTGCTACCAATGATTTAAAATCATGATTAAATCAAATAATAGTATTTGTTGCTCTGGTTATCACAGAACTGAGTCTCAAACCTCCTGGGTCATCTAAAAAGAAAAAGTTGCATCAGAGAGATGGCTGAGGAGGACAGTACAAAACTATGTTTTAAATCTGTAAATCCCAAACAGTTCAACTGTTACAGAGTGCAGACACACACAAAAAAACTGTTAGATAAAAATTTCAAAGCAGATAAAACATTCACAATTCTTTTTTTTTGTTGCAAGAAAGTAACAGACATCAACCATCACTACATCATCTCTACTGAGACTGATCTGCATTCCTTTATTTATTTAACCTGAATTTTAAGTGCTCAAAGAACTCAACAAGGCTTCTAAGTAATGTAAAAGAAAACCTTTGGCATCATCAAATGTAAAAGTTCAACAAAAACACAATCAGTAACGGTCACACTAATGAATACTGTAATCATTTTTAGCTGTCTTGCTCTTTTTGTTAATAATGTGTAAACATCATCAGGGACAACAGTGATGATGCACCTCTGTTGAGTTCATAGATTTTCAGATTGAAAGTAAACATGAAACTCACTCAAGACTTTACACTTTAGTGTCAAACTTGGTAAATAAAGCAGAGTTCCATCCATGAAACAGGTAATTATTGTATATACAACATACATTATGAAAAAATGACTGAAATAAACAAAAACACATTTCACACATTCGCTAAGTGTTGAGTGTATCCATGTCAGAATTAATCTTTAGAAAATAGAAAATGACTCATGCAAAAAATATATACCTAAGATTTAGATAAAGTCTCATAACCCAAAAATACCAAAAATATATCTTAAAAAGTCTTCTGATAAGCTTTAGCGCAAATAGAAGACAGCCGAGCTAAATCACACCAATAAAATGAAACCTGGTTACAAATCAAAACTTCCCACCCACATCTACAGTGGAGAATGGCTCATAATCCTGCGGTTTCCTCTCACAGCGCCCCATCAGATGAGCGCCACTTTGCTACTTTTACTAAGTGAGAGCAGGGAGGTTTCATTGGTACCAGGGGGTCTTGCGTACCCAGCGCAGGGTGAATCCTGCATCTGTGCGGATCTTGATAGAGGCGGCTTCTGCTTCTCTCACCGTCTCCTTTACAGACTGCATCAGATTCTGGGCATTATGCACCAACATTTCTGTAGCCTGGAGAGGGAATCAAATGAGGCAGGAGCCATTACACAAGATGTAACAACAGCGGGGATTAGCATAGAGATCCTGAAACAATCATTTACAGTTTTACTTTGAGTGCACCGTGACTGATTAAACATTTTTTATTATCCAATTACGGAACAGAATCTTTGATTCACGAGATTGAAGACTGTTTAAGCTACTGCACTTCAACAGAAACAGACTTAATTAAAGGCAAAGTGGAGGATGTTCTTTTTCTTGGATCGTCAAAATAAGTGGTCCTCCTAACTGTCAATCATTCTGGTGATATGTTTACATTAGGCCGTCCTACATGCTCATCCCTCATTTTCACTTATCGTTGAATTATTATTATAAGATGAATTATTAAGATGGTTCTGCTATTTTTTTCTCAAACTCCCCTTAGAATGTGATGTGAAAAATGGTTTGAAGGACAAAAAAAAATTAAACTCTGAAATTGTTTGCGAGTGAATTAGATAATAAGGGACAAATGGACTAAGCTTGCTTATTGATACAGAAAACATTGCATTTTGTGAATGGGAGCAACTCTTTGGGAAATTAGTGTGTGAATACAGTCAAAAGAGAATATAACAGATCCAAAGCAGGTTGGATAATGACATCTGAACAACATAGATGTGCTAAAAAAAAATGGTTTTAAAAATTGGTGACAGTAATTTATTTTGACCTGAATTAATAGGGTCATTATGTCACAAAGATGAAGTCTAAACGAGGTGTTTTTTGTGTCTTGGATTACATACCTACCTAGGTACCAGTTTTGTCCTCTAGAGCTTAACAAATATGTTCCAGAAAAGGGAAAACCATGAAATGACTCAATTAATTTCTTTAAAATCAAATAAAAGGATAGCCAAAGTAGCAAAATTATAGCTGAGGATCAAAGGTAGAGAAAAATGTCCATTATCAGAGATTTATTGTAAATATATGGATCAGTGCATGAGCCAAATTTTCCCACCTACCTTTATAATTTGGTCATTTAGCTTAATTTAGAGATTAGAAACAATATCTGGGGTCTTGTGGTAAAATGAATGTTATAGAAAAGAAAATGAGACATCCTAACATGTAGATTGGTGAACTGAAGGATTATTTTCAGTTCATTTTAAGCCAAAAATGTCCACAAGCCTCCGTCATCCCTAATTAATACATTTATTCTACTTGCATTTATTTAACAAGAGCAGTAAAAAAAAATCAACTATTGGACATTTTTTTCTTATTAACAAGCTATAATGTGCATCTCCTGTGATATACATATGTATTAAAGTTCAAATGAAAATCATTGTAATGATGCTGATTTAATGGTGCCTGATAGGATATAGAAGATAAATTACAGTTGGTTATTGAGCAGTATGATGTTATTCAAAATTAGGTCAATTTTAGGGGAACAAGAACAGACCCTATTAGCCTACAGTCTACAAACGCCTAGAGCTAATACATTTGGTCAACTCCTTCATAGGATAAAATGTATGTTAGTAAAAACCAGGGTCTTTAGATTACATTTGGCTGACTTTAAGCCCTGATACATGAGATAAAGGTTATTGATGGGACATGAGTTACACTTTAAATCTGAATCAAATTTCTAGTCTCAAGAGTGTGAGTCTGATTCAAGGCACAATTCTTTACTTTTAATAATGCTTACTTAAATTCTTTCAGCTAAGGAAACTGTCATCATTGGCCTCACTAAACTGATTGTGTTGAATTAGATGTAGTTGTGTTGTTCTGTTACCTGCTCTGACTCCTCTTCACTGATGTTTGTTCGTCCCAGCATGGTAGCTTTGACAGTAGAAAGGATCTTAAGCTGTGTGCTGATGGTGGGAATTCGTTCACAAACCTGCAAAAGGAGGCAGAAAAGCGACCCAAGTTTCAGTTTATGGTTTCTGTAGATTAGTAAACTGTTCTATTGTGGACATATTCCTTCTAAAATACCAGCATCTCTTTAAGAAAATCCCCTCTATTTTAAATTTCCCTTTAAGCCTTTGAATAGGTTTTGCTGACCATCAGGTGTCATTGAAATAAAAAATGAGACTTAAAATTTGAAAGACTTGACTTTTATTCATATAATCTGTTTAAAGAATCCGGTTATTGGCATTAGGCTCTTTAGGTCAAATTAAAAAAGTTGTGTCATTAAAAATGGTTCCTATTTTTCTAGGGAAATGTACCAAAGACAATGACAAAAATTCAAAAATGTTTCATAATTTATAAATATAATTTTGTAAATCTAATTTTTTTTATGACACTCGTATATTCATTCTAAAATTACATGAATTTATGAGCAACTGAAAATAAAACCTTGTTTTAATTTATAACCAATTTTAAACTGTTGCATAAACAGGCACAGGAAACTAATATTAAAGAAAATAAAACTATATGGAGCTATGTTTAAAGTTTATTATACACTTGGTAGAGTTACAAGGATTTAAAATCATGTAGAGAAGTTTGTTTTTAATTGAAAATGTAATGTTTATCTTTAAAAAGTTGAAACGATGAAAAAGGTGCATCATTTTTTTATTTTCCAGTTGATTTTATAATTAGTATTTTGAACATTATTTATGATCTTCACAACAATGAAAGGAAAAAAAATATTAAACCAGTGGAAAGATACAAACGTCACATTTGTATGTTTTCATTGGTTTTGCTGGTTTATTTAACGATGAGCTCCATATCTTTGTAATGTTTCAATATTTGTGTTAAATTGCTGCTGCTTTTAGTTATGTTCTTTGTTGTTTTTGGTTCTTGTTGATTTTTTCAGTTAACCTTCTATGCTGTCCTTGAATCTTTTAAAATAAAATGCATTATTATTAGGTATTTGATGATGGATGGCCCTCTTACCATCAGCTTGGGCTTTAGCTCACTTAATAGATTCTCCAAAATATAAATATAACTTTCAGTCAGGAGAAAGTTGTTGGTTGAAAATGAAAAAATTGCTCTAAACCAAAATCAGATCTTCCATGGGTTTAAATAATTTTGTGTGCAACTAATTGCTGATACCTGCAGCAGATTAGTCCTGATGCGTCTGTCCGTGCACTGCTTGGCCACTTCTTTAGCCAACCTTGTCACTTCATCTGAGGCCTTGGCAATGTCCTTAGCGCACTGAATCAGTGCACGCTTGTTTCCGCTCCCGCCACGCACCAGCCGAGACATTTCAGCCATCAGCAGAGCCATTCGCTTGGCTGCTGCTATGATGTCATTACCCTGAAGAAAGAGGGCGAAGAGGAAAGAAGAACAACTATGAGCCAAGAAAATTGATTCAATAATAAAACACGGAACAACAAATTTTGCTTTGAGGTAATGAATGAAACGACCAAGACAAGCATTAAAATGTTAGGATGTTTACCAGCTCACTTCATGCAGTGTCCCAGCAATTTATCAGAGCTATGAAATGAAATATAATATGCACTTTAATCCTGACATCACAGTCAATCTGAGGTTAGTTTCCTATAAGGTGATGCCATGGTGCTGGCCGGTTAGTGCAAACCTAGAACTGCAGGAAGCAAAAGCAGGTTATACTACGTAAGCAGGCAGTAAGGAATAAAAGCTGCATCACCCTGGAGTCTTTAGGAAACTGTCATCATTGGCCTCACAATTACACTGGCAGTAAGAGTGAGACAGAGGCTCCTCCAGCGACTCATTTTAATAATGAACATGTGGATGGGACAGTTGTTGACCCACTGTGCAACCTTAGCATCAGCATACCTGTGTGTCAGCCATCTTTAAGTAAAAATGCAGCAGCAGTGAGACAGCAGCTGCAGCTGGTGGGAGGTGTCCATGGCGAAAGATGCACTGCTCGTTCCCACAGCCACAGGCACTGTCAGCAAAAACTCCCAAGATTTTGGGTTTTAATCGTCCTGCACGGCTGTGGTCTGCATTCCTGAGTGTGATTTGCCTTGCAGCAGTATTCATACCTCTTGAACCACACATCCCAAATATATTTACTAGAGGTTTTGTGCAAAAACAACATAAAGTAATAAATACTTCTAAAATATAAGAAAATAAAAGATGGTTTTAAAAGTTTGAAAGAAGGCAGAGCTTTTTTAGGTGCCCTTTACTTTGAAATCTCTTAATGAAATAATGCAAGCAGATCCCTTCAGACTTGTGAATCAATTCAAGGGTTAAGGCAGAGTTATTAAACAATTCAGAAGACTTTGAACCTATCAGAAAACAGTTAAAGATATAATCCATGCTACTGGGATCTTTTTCTTCAGCAGAAACAGAAAAACTGATTAAAGCGGATGTGAAGGATGGAGTTAAACAGTTCAATCCAATTTAGAGGTTAACTGTTGAGTCAAATAAAATATAAATACAACTGTAGGTGCTAGAAGAAAGCCAATCTAATTAAAGCATATTTATGTCTAATTGTTGGACTTGACAAAATTGATGTTCACAGGCCTTCTCCATCCAATCTTACCCAGCATCTCTGTTTCTCAATAGAGGTGAGAATAATAAGATACAGATAATATCCAACAAGACCGCAACTTCAATACTGTAAAATCTAATTCTACAAATGAATAATTCAGACAGGCTGAAGCAAACAAAAATAAATGCCACACCTTTAAGATTTTTATTAGGCAAGAAACAAATAGTTTTTCTTACACTTTACAATCATGAAATATTGAGCATTGGTCTAGTATACAATTTTGGTTGCAAACTTAAAAAATGGACAAATGTTTTAAAGAGGTTTGGATACTGTTGCAATGCGTTGTCTTTGAGGGGGTTTCTGTGTGTGTGTTTGTGGGTGGGCTCAAACCGGCAGTGTCAAACCCTGGAAGCTGTGTGTACACTGAAGTGCATGTACGTGTGCAGACCTTGCTGGACCACTTGCGGGCCTCCTGGTGGAGAGACTGGGCAGCTGCCAGAATGGGCTGATTGACAGGCTGGTTGGACGGCATCATCAGCAGCTCTGGCTCATAGTCATCCTCACCATCAGTAAACTCATCTTCATCATCTACCTCCCTCTCCTCTACTGCCTCCTCATCCTCAGGCTGGGCCAGTCGGGACAAGATGGGTGGAGGGGCAGAGGGTTTTTGTGGTGGTGGGAGGATTGATAGGAGCAGGGAAGGAAAGAGAACAAATGGGGAGGGGGGATAAAAAAGGAGGGAGGGTAGGGGGAAGCAAGGGAAAGCAGGTGGAGAGGGAGCATGGGGAAAGGAGGCGTTTAGTACAGTATGAGCAGCACTGAATGAAAGAACAGAGGACAGGAGATTTAAAAGAAGCGAGGTGATACAACAGGGATAGGGATATGAAACTGCACGCAAGGGTACAAACAGCTGAGATGGAGGGAAAAAAAAGGAGAAAAGAGATCTGGAAGGAGGGCTGCAAGGGTGCACGAGGTGCCTGAGGCGACGACTGAGTTGACAGTTCAGACAGACAATCTAACTGGAACCAAAATCAGTATCTGGAATCTTATTGGTGATTTTAAGAGTGAACAGTGTGGTGGCAAACTGAGCAGTACATAGAACCATAATGAGAGATTGCTTTCGTTCTGCTTTTTCCACACATTTTTCATTGCTTTTTTAAAACAGCTTCAGAGGAACTGTAAGGCAAAATAGGTTATGAGACACAGAGGATAAAATAAGAATGGATCCTTGATAATCAGCAAATGCAGTGGAGCACAATGGAAAGAAGCTCTTTGCTTTGATTTCATTTCTAACCCTTGGTTATGGTACTTTACTATGGTTATAAATGACTAGTTTGCACTCAATGCAATTATTTGGTCTTGTCCATAAAATGCCACAATGCACACACAGGCTCCTCTGCTTATTCCGTGCAGCTGTTTTTCTTTTGTTTTCCTACAGTTCTCTGTGTAAGTGTGCATTTGGAATTCCCTACATGCCTTGAACAGATGACAGTTTCCAGTTTTCCTCTGAAAGTGGAATCAAGCTACTGATGTCCACATTTCAGGATAAAAAAAGAGATTTTCTCTAACTACAAGCATATCATAAAGGAGTTATCTTGGTCCCAATGGAGATAAATTGTGTCTCTGCAATAATAGCTTCACTAAAACAGACATTTAGAACAGATACTGTATTTTTATGAGGTAGTATTGATGAGCGTGTTGGAACTGACTTTGCTGGACCACTTGCGTGCCTCGTCGTGCAGCTGCCTGGCTGCCACCATCATGGGCTCGCTGAGCACCTCACCGGCCTTCTGCTCTGGGAACTCCTCATCCTTCTCCTCTGGGGGAGGAGGCCGAGGAGGAGGCACCTCCCCCTCTGGCAGTGGAGGTTTGGGTGGTGCCTGTTCATCACTAACCTGAAAAAATGAGAACAAGACACTTAAAAATGTAAACCAAAATGGTTGCTTATTCCCATATTTCCCGATTGATCTAAAAATAATATAAATTAAGCAATTTTAATTTAAAGTAACATGAAAGGCAGAATCTCTTGAAACATATATGTTCCTAAATGCAAAACCCCCAAAATTGCCTCAGCAAGACTGTGTGCAAGTAATTTGAACCATATCATACTTTTTCCACTGAGGTTTTCTTTTTTGAAATGACCTTTTTGCTAGATTTAAATAGGAATGGAAAAAAATACAAATTATTGAAAAAGTATATTTACATATTAGCTGAACTCAAAATGAGGATAGATTTTTTTTTTTTCCTCTTACAATCATTTAATCAAAGCATTATGTTTCCAGGGCGCACATATTTTTAAAAGTTGTCTGCATAGATTGGAATTTATTGGGCTTTTTTTTTTACCTGTTAATATATACATTATGCCAACTAAAAAACAAACATTAAAATATTTAGCAATTAAGTGCAAATTATTTGAAAATATATTTCTATTGAAAATTGTAACTAGAAGTTCCCAAACCAAAAAACTCAAATCTAGGAGGACTTAATGAACTCTGTTGAGGACACCAGACACTTAAAAATCGCAAACAAAAACAGGCTCAACTGGCCAAGTTTAGTTAAGCTCTAAATAAAACAAGACTAGAGTTAGACAGAAGTGTAATTGTAAGTTTCGTGAGTGTTCAGATGTTCCTACATGGAGCTGATCCAGGTCTGGAGGTGGAGGTGGGAAGTCTGGTTCCTGAGGTTGAAAGGCTTCTCTGACTTTTCCCACTGCAGCCAGAATCCTTAGACAAGAGTCCAAATAAGCTTTCTGTAGACCTGTAAACAAAAACAAAATTTTTTATAAAAAACCAGAGATGAGAAAAAAAAAAGTTACTCATTATTGCAGCATCCTACACAAATCATTTTATAGCTGTAACCTTTGTCTTGTATGTTCCCGGCCACAGCCTTGGCATCCATCACCATGGGTGAGATGGTGTGCGAGAGAATGTCTGAGGCATGTTTTACTGTATCTCTGAACCTCGGATCTTCAGAGTTCTCCACCTCCCTTTTGGCTACCAACAAGACCCGGTTTGCACGCCTTGCTATGCTTGTTGCTCCAGCAACAAGCATTTGAGGCTGAACATTGGCCATAGCGACTCTGCACTTGTCAATGTCTTTTTTAATGGCCTCTTCAGAAGCATCCAACAGTGATTTGGTGTCTATAGCTTCATCAACCAGTCCTAAGGTGCACATGGACAAAAAAAAAAAAATGCAAGTCAACTGAAATTGAAGGTTCTTCAGTTTAAAACGTTGGTATCATTAAAGTGAGGAAGTCCTCACCGGTTAGTCTCTCCACATTGTCAATCCACTGATTCTTCATGGTGTCAAAATGCTCGTAAGCTGCTTTATTTCCTGGATTCTTCAGCAAAATCCGAGCAGCAGAGGTTACCTGTAGATAAGCATTAGCTCTCATTGAGTTTGACAAGAACAAGCTTCACATTTCTGCATCAGTATGCATACAAAACCACAGTAAACATGCACACCTGTGGCGTCAGCTCCCTGGCGTGTTTCACAGCAGCATGAATCCCTTCAACTGTACTCTTATTCGCTGTTCCTACAGCAGCAGCCTTCTCTGCCGTTGCTCCCAATCGTCCGGCGTGGGTTTCAAAGTTTCCTGCGCGCTCTTCAAAGACCTTTGAAAACATTTAAACAACAACATTAAGAACTTCAAGTGTTACATAAATGAGACTAACGCCTAGAAGCTGCAAGCACGTTTTAAGTTAACACCAACCTCCTGCCTGTTGGGCGCATCAGGAGGAGCAGTTGCAGCCACTGCCAGGAGTTTGATGGGTGTGGTGGTATCGCTGAAAACATCGGATACCTCCTGGGTCATCACCTCTTGCATATTCTGCCTCAGGTCCTGGTAGAAGCAGAGAGTGCTGCATCTAACCACAAGATGGAGCTCTGAACTAATGCTTTTTATTATCTCATCCTTGCTGGATTTTAGATACAGTTTTTACAACTTTTTTTCCCCAAAGCATTTACCAGGCACTTTTTTGAGCTTAATATCAAATTGTTTCCATACAGAAATCAAACAAGAATCTTTTTTATTTAAAATGAATTAGTTTCTGAGAAGTGTAGAGATACCTTGAGGGTGTCCTGCAGTTGTGCTGCAGTGGCTCGTGCATGAGGAGCCTCAGTCTCTCCCCTGCTCGCCATGTCTGCCAATGCTGTCATCAGCGCCTCTGTTCGGTCGCATCGCCCTACCATGTCCTGTCGGTACGGACCTAACAGGCCTCCTGCCAGCCTCTTCCCTTCCCCAACCATCCCTCTGATTGCTGCTTGACCTGTGGAGTCCCAAAAGAGAATTTACTTCATGCATAAAGACAATAACACACTCTTTGTGTTTAAATAAAAATGCAGCAACAAAAACAAGCTCTTCTGATTCTTCTGTATTTTACTGTACATACAAAGAAACAAAAAAAAAAAAAAAATCCTTTTTTTTGCAGTGTCTATCTCATTTGTCGATAATAACCTTTTTAGTGAGTTACTTTCAGAGTCCCTTAGAAATCAATATTTAATCCCGTCTAGACAATGAACAACCTTGTCTTCCTATCTGTCCTGGAATGTGTTTATTATGGAGCAGAATAGAGAGAAAAAGATATTCTGACCTAGTTCATGTTGTCAGACAGGTACATGTAACCTGTAGGTTATTTGTTGATTTTACAGTTTAAAGAGGAAAAAAGTGACAAAAATCTAAAACTGTAGAAATCTTCCCTTTAGCATAGTATATTTTAGCTTAAATCTATGTTTTAGTTTTCTTCGATGAATTATGCTGTCAGATTAAATGTAATATTCCAATTACAGTGTTTAATTTTATCTTCCAAGACAGCTTCCAAAAATAAGGTACCTGTGTTCCATTCTAGCATCTCATACTCTGCTACCAAAGGGAAGCATGGGAAAGAGAGGAAACAATCAAAAGACAAGACATGAAGTCAGCATAACAAAGGATTAAGAAACTGTACTCCTACAGGGTTAACTAATCAATTCAATGAATCATGCATGAGTTGAACCATACTATGAATGACTATTACCTGAGTAAGGTACTTGCCGACATTACATCATTGAATATAAACATCCAACATCTTTCATAACCATGAATTGTGCTCTGTGATGTAAATTGTGTTCTCTACCTCTGCACCAAAAAGACAAACATCATCATGGCCGACCGTTCAGCCACGATGCAGCCAAACGTACCTACGCCTCTGTCATCCACCCCAGGATTGTTAACCCAGCGGAGAGCCTGCTCCATTTTGCCCTCCAGTGTAACAGCAGGCTTCGCTGGTCTCATGTTGGCCACAGCCCGGTTGGTTTTAGACTGCAGGTTCAGCAGCGCCGCTCCGATTTGCTTTGCAAGAGCTCGGGCCTCCGGACTGTCACCTTTACCCCTATGATGGTAAAACATATAGTAATTGACTTGCCTGGGGCGAAAAGGAAATTAGCAATGTGTAGAGGGAGAAAAAAAGCAGTTATATCCAGCCCAAAGACCCACACCTGGTTAATATTTCTCCTCAAACATGTTAGATTGCAATAAAAAGGGAAATACCTCCTGTTTGTAGTTTTTATTTGAAAGTTTGACCTTTATTTTTCTGTTAGAATAGAAAAGTTTAATTAAAATATTTCCCATTTTCTATTTATTAATATGTCCTAATATGTTAACCTTTTTTTTTTATCTATAATTTTTAAGTTTAAAGCGAGACTGTAATATTTCGCCACTAGGGACGCTAGACTTATACGTAATATCCATATTTTTCCATACTGAAAGCAACCGGCCGCACTGCATAAAATATAATTAAGATGGTTAATTTTTTTTATCATAAATGTAAACAGTCTCCCTTTGGGTTTTGTAATCTAACAACAGACCTATTTGGACTAGCAAACTGAAAAGTCAGTGAGTTATTTTTAAACACAAGGCCGCATTTACGGCTCAAGATCAAAGTAAACACAGGTGAGTTTTTGAGAAGTGCAGCCTGCATAAGTGATTGGTTTTTAAGTGCTGTATATTAACCTTGAAATATATCTCTAGTTAAGCTAATACTTGGTTTAAAAGTTACACAGTGCAGCTTTAATAAAAATATGTCGTTTTTGACTTCATGAAGCACAGAATGTACAAATATCTCGCATTTGAATAAAGATAATCTAATAGATAAAATACTTAATAGATTAAGATTTATTCTATGTCCCTGGACAGATAGTTCTAAGAGAATTACAGAAGAATGATATGTGTGTGTGTGTCGTGTACAGTACACCCTGTTCAAGATTAGAAAAGGCATGATAATACACCAGTGTCTACTGTACAAAGACAGCCACATCTCTTTTTTATAAACTGCTTTATAATTTCTCACCCTGAAGCCACAATACTCTGATTATTATGAGATAATTTTAGTAAACTAACACAAATTATATAGATACTTGAAATATTAATGTAGTTATTTTATTAAGTGGTATTTCCCTTTAAATTCTACCAGGAATACCGAGCATCCCACTTCCTGTCCCACCACAACCCTGTTTCACCACATTTAATCTCAGAAACCTTAATGTGGGAAGGATCGGCATGGTTGATAAGCAACAACACATTTTCCACGTTGACATAAAAGGCCACCTGTTGGTGGCTTGTGGTTGAAGTCTCAGTCTGGAAGAAAAGCTCTAGAGAATTAAACTTTTATCCAAAACTACTGCTTTAGAATGAGTGAAAGTAAAGCGTACTGTTTGCGCAGCTCCATAAGCCGGGCGGTCAGTCCTGCTATCTCATTTACGGAGCGCAAGATGTCGTCCCTCTCCTTTGGGTCTTCACAGAGTTCTGCAATGCGTTTGGCCTCTGCTAGAAGTGCTAGGATGTTCTCCTCTCCCTCAGGACCACCGTTAGGATCAGCCAACCATGCCTGAAAAAAGCAAGAGTATCATATACGATGAAAAATATAGAAACTAATGCAAGCTTAAAAAATATAGATGAGTTAGGACAACTTTTCCTTAAAAAAAAACACAACAAAAAAATTATTTCTAGGAAGGGGTGTTTGTTTATCTGACCTGTGCAGCATCCAGCCTCCTGGAAATTGCCTGCTTGGCATTGATTAGAGCCTCCAGCCTGCGAGCAGCACTGTCCACTTTGCCAAAGAGCAGATCTAGGCCCTGTAAGCACTGGCCTGCTCGCTGAACACACCCTGGAGTCTGGCCCTGACCCCTGTCAAAATCCATAAACAGTCAACTGAAGCGTGAGCTCAAAATATACAGCTTAAACATCTCGAAGCAGGACGTTTTCCAAACACACTACCTGACACGCATATCTCCGACTTGATCAGTCATCTGCCCCAGTGCCTTGGTGGTTGCCAGTATGTCTTTCCTCTCCTTACCAGCACACAGCTCTCCCACCTTACCAGCTTCATCCAGAATGACACGCAGCGCCACTTCACCAGAGTCCCCTGAGAAGGATACCGTGCCACAACAGAGGGTTGTTAACATGAAAGAGTCTCAGCTGAGGAGCTGTAGTTGAAACCTGTGCTACCTGGCTGTCCCTGCGGGTCTTTGAGCCAGCTCTTGGCCTGCGCCATCTTTGATTCGATCAAACCCAGACATCGCTTTAAGGCCTCCATATCCTGAAGGGGTAAAGGAAACGATTATATTAAGCTGTTATTCTATAATATAAACCAGAAGTTTGGTTTTAATGAGCACGTTCTGTATTTTTGTTAATATTACATTTATAAGTGATGTGCTTTTTCAAAATATCTTTGGGTTTAATTTGTTCATGTAGGATAAAGCATACAAAAAAAAAAAAAAAAAAAAAAAAAAAAAATATATAGCATACAAGATAATTTCAACAGCTGTTGAAAATATTTTTTAATAAAATAAAATATGGTACAGATTCTGCTTTATGATCTTACACAAATACTGTTTCAAGACCACTAAATATCAAATCATAGTGTACCTTATAGATTTTGCATTACATTAGAGTTTTTTTATAATGGTGTTCAATAATTTGCTAGACACTTTTCCTTTAGCTGTATGTAGCATAGATTACTGTGGAGCCGCCCTCCCCAACTTGGTGCTGTGCACTGCCCAATGTTTAAAGCAAAACTATATTTTTTCCCTTGTTACAAGAACAGCCAACTGAATTAAAAAGTCAGTTACTAGCGCTACCACTATGAATAATAATAACACAAACTATAGAATAAATTATAGAATGAGCTTTCCAAAAAAAGTAAAAAAAAACAATACCCAATTACCCTAACCACTGGATTTGGTTTCCAAGTTTTAAGATGTTGATGTCAGAATTAGTGTTGAGTTTGAAGCTTTATACAGTACACTTTATACACTGGCTTAGAAAACATGCAAATTGAACAAGAAGAATGGGTCCGCCAGTATATAGGCACCCGTGTTTTGATAAACAGTGCACCTGTATACTGTAATAATGAATGTAACCATTACAAAATAATTTTATCGTTGAAATGTAATAAGAAGATCTGTTTTTAATTTGAGATGCACTGATCCTATATGTGGCTTGGGTAACAGCTCCAATATTGACTAATTAGCTGGATTATTGGCCTTTTGTATCTCTGCTTCTGTCTCCTTGAAGTCCAGTTAGCCTTGGCAGATGGCCACTCACACTGAGCCTGGTTCAGCTGGAGGTTTATTTCGTTAAAAGGGAGTTTTTCCTCTCCACTGTCGCTACAAGGATGCTTGGTGTAAGGGATTTCCTTTGTGTCCATGAATAGATGAAATCAGATGGTTTTCCTTAGATAGAAAACTGAATAAATTTGAATGTATGATCTGTTTGAATTGTCACTGTAAAGAGCCTTAAGATGACATTTGTTGTGAATTGGAGCTATATAAATAAAATGAATTGAATTGAATCACACATTGGAGATCCAATCCAGTGCACTTTACATAGAACTGTTATTTATATCTTTTTGCTGTTGATTGGTTAATAAATAATATACAGTACATTTATAAATGTGTTCATTTGCTAACTTTTTTTTAACAATGTTTTTGTCAAGGCTAAAGCCTTTGCTCACATGGCAAGATATATAATGTGGTTCATTCATTCAAAAGTTTAACCAGATTTGATATCAGCTGTTATGCTCAGCCCAGGTCAGTATCGGATTGGATAGGAAACAAATGGGTCGCTGCATCTCTATATTTAACAAGTAGAACTCCTAAAATCAGAAAAAATGTCAATGAATTTGCCTTTTAGGTTTTTAATGTGAGTCGGTGGTGGCCGAAGGTGGGGCTCACCTAGATACTAATTTTGACAGTTTATATGGTATAACATGATTTTGCTTGAAAATTATATCACCAACAGCTTTGTGGAAAAAATGTCCAAAAAAACTTATGATATAATAATTTGTGAAACAGTAAAAAAAAATATATTTTTTCAGTAGTTTTTAATATTTATTACAAATGCAACAATTGACTTGATTATTATCAGCTAATCATAAACTAGTAATCAGCTTAAAATTTTAATGCAAAGACGTATTGAATAAGGAAATCAAGTAGAGTATAATCCTCCTCATGTATACAAAGAATCACTCTTTGACTGCTTTCTATGAGGAAGTCAAAAAGCTTTTTCCAGCTGGGAGGAGAATAAAAGGCTTGAGTGGAACGACTCAATACAGGCCATCTATTATGGATGTGTCTGGACACCAACCAGCTTATTTCTATAATTCATGATCTGGCATACAGATTGCAGTCATCGTGTGCCAGCACTTTCCCCTTGCACTCTGACAGTAAGTGCTTATCACAGCTCAAAGATTGAGTATGCAGTATTTCCACACCAAACATATGACAGACAGACAGAGGGATCATTGTCTGAGGAGGCAGTATGCAGAGAAACATGCAGGGGTTACAGGTTGAACAAGTAGAACAGATCTTCCTTTTACTATCGACGTAGCAAACCCAAACTGATGCTCTTATCATTTTTACTTTTATCACTTACACTGTCAGCTCCATCACACAATGAGCAGCTAAAGCATATATGTGTAAACCACTGTCATCTGTTTTGTGACCATTTAACTCAAATGGACATCTATTGACAAACAGATGTTCATAGATCTATTTACTGTAGTGATGAAGCACTTTACATCACCATGTAACTTATAACTCCACACAAACAGATGAAAATTTTTTTTTGAGCAAGTGGAGAACAGATATGCAGAATGTAAGTGTGACGACACATTTTTGTGCCGGTCAAATACACGGAAACTCGCACACACCCATAAGCTTGCATGCCAGAACCACAGAGGGGGATAGAAAGAGGCTTACCTTCTATAGGGAGGAAAAGAATGAAGGAGGAAGGTAAAGAAAAAAAAAAGAAAAAGGAAAAAAGAAAAACAAGGAGTTACAGTAGCAAGCAAAAACAAAAATGAAGACAGAAAGTAAAAGAGTGATTTTTTTTTTAGAGAGGCATCTCAAGGGGTGAGAGTGTCAGAGTGTTTGAAGTATAACTTAGAGTCAGAGGTTTGTGAGTATAAAATGAAGTAAACCCTTCTGTTTACATGCCACACATACTTTACCTTGTTAGCCCAGGCATCTTCGTCCCACGTGGTGAGCTGTAAGACTCTGATGATCTCTGTGATTTCAGCGCTCATCTTTTCAAAGGTAAACCTTCTGTTCTTCTCAGCCTCTTCGATGCCGGCTCCTCGACTGGTCTTGGTTGCAACAAAAATCTTAATTGCTGAAGACAAAAATTTGAGCTGATTACAAAAGATCCATCCATCCATCCAACCATCCATCCATCCATGGCTTTCCCAGGCCAACCGAGAAACATAGTCCCTCCAGCGTATCCTGGGTCTCCCCCTGGGCCTCCTCCCGGTGGGACATGCCTGGAACACCTCACCAGGGAGACATCCAGGAGGCATCCTAACCAGATGCCCGAGCCACCTCAACTGGCTAATGTCGATGTGGAGGAGCAGCGGCTCTACTCTAAGTCCTCCCCGGATGACTGAGGTCCTCACCCTATCTCTAAGGGTGAGCCCAGACACACAACGGAGAAAACTCATTTCAGCCGCTTGTATCCGGGATCTCGTTCTTTCGATCATGACACAAAGCTCATGACCATAGATGAGGGTAGGAACGTAGATCGACCGGTAAATCGAGAGCTTTGCTTTTTGGCTCAGCTCTCTCTTCACCACAGCAGACACAACAGAGGACGCTTCACAGCAGACGCCGCACAAATCTGCCTATCGATCTCCCGCTCCATCTTCCCCTCATTTGTGAACAAGACCCCAAGATACCTAAACTCCTCCACTAGGGGCAGTACATCCTCCCCAAAAGGAGAAGGCACTCTACCCTTTTCTGGCTAAAGACCATGGTCTCCTGTTTGGAGGCACTGATTGGGGGCTTATTAATCAAGAGTTAAAATGCCTGCTAATCTTTTTCATATCTTTCTTTCAACAAACAAAGAGTTTTGCAAATGCTGCAGCAGTCTGAATGTAGCTAAGAACATAACAGCCATGGTAAAATTCCTATAGGAAAAATATTCAGAAAAAAATTTATCATCTCTGGGCATTTTCATTTTAAATTAATCATCAAATATAAGTCAGTGCTGAATATTTATTGTAATATTTATTCTTCTTGGAGAAAATAAATGCTCAAAATCTAAAATACAAAAGTATAACTCAGCTGTTATATAAAGGTTATGTTTTTTCAGCTCCTCCCAAAAAATATAAATTAAAGAAAAATGCATGCAAAATGTGAGAAAACGATATCAGTTCCTTGTTTAATATAGTACAGACAAGAATTTAAAACTACCATACTTTCACCAGTTGGTTCTGTAAAAGCAGAAATGAACAATACTGCTGGACTGGACAAAAATCACTAAAAGACAAACATATTTAGGAGATAATGAAATCTCAAGGCAACTTTGCGATTTCTTTATATAATATAAAAACAATTATTGTTGCTTATATCTCATTGTACATCATTCTATATTTCAAAATTCTACAGCAGAAGCTGAAGTCACTCCTTTTCCTCAATATATACAGTATAACAAACCATAGCTGTATAGTGGGCGATGCTTCCTCACCCTCACAAGCACCTAATGACTGTAATTACCAGTGTTACCATGACAACCGCGGGATGCTCAGCAAACTGCATCGTCGTTTGCCCACATAAGTTCACCCGTATGTACCTGAGATGAGAACCGGCAGCAGCTCCTTAATGGTGTTCATGGAGCTGACCAGCATCTGCCGGTGTTCTTGGTGGGTGAGCTCCTGCTGCCGCTCCTCAATCATCTTTGACATCTTCGTCATACCTGGTGAAACACAAAAAAAACCCCACAAAAAAACAGTTGGTTGCAGGCAAATGTTTTTTTTTTTACTTTGGATTTGACCCGCCTGATAAACTGATTAACTGGCACATTCAAGCATTGCTCCTTCATGAACCACTGAGCTCGGACAATGTCTGATCCAGTGGAGTGTGAGGACGCCTTTGGCATCACTGTTCTTCCAGCTTATTAAGTCAGAAATTATGGAAATATAATTAACCGGAGGCCTCTGATGATAAATGGTCTGTTATGATCCTCCTGCCAGTGAAACGACTCACTAACAGTATCTTGATGCCAGAGGAGACGGTGGTTAATTAGTTTTTTTTTTTTTTATATTAACAGATGGAGCTATGACCCAAACAAAAAGTAAAGGTTAATTATTTCATTTGGATGCTCTTATGAAACACTTTAATTACATTCAACCCCATCATGTATCGTTAAGAATAGCAGCAATGTTCTTAATGCACCCGTTTAATACATGGACTTCTGGTAAATTAAATAGTAATTTTCCATGGTAAATTATTCTTTTTAAACAACCTAATTTTCCAAGACTTAAAATTTATAATCAGATAAAATTAAGATGCAAGACAATTTCTTTGCTTTTCTCTCAAAAATGATATTTAATAAATGTTTTACCTGAATATAATGTATGTGAATGTGAATGTATTCAACGGCCCTGAACGTTTGTTTTCAAAGGTTGTAATTTTATGTTAAGGACCAACAGAGAGCAGTGACAATGTTTTACTTTTAGATTAAAGATGGATGATTTAAATTTTTTTCCTTTCAAATGATAATGAATGATGAGGCTTGTATATGTTGACTCTGGAGTATTTTAAATCCACCTATTGTTGCAGTTTTATCTGTTGGCTTTTTCCCACCAGCTTTCCTCATGTCAAAGGAGACTTTTAGCAAGTCTTATTATGGCTTTCTTTATATAAGGGGTTTTCTTTCTGAAACTCTTTAATAAAGAAAGAATATAAGGAGAGCACAAATAACAGACGTGTTGACAGATTCCCTCTTAATCTCTGCTGCTCCTTTCAGAGCTATTTCTCTGATTACCGCTCTCTTCACTTGGCCTCATAGTTCAGGTGGACAGCCATGTCTTAGAAGGTTTGTAGTACAATTGTTTTTATTTATTTTGTTTTGCTTTCAGGGGGATTAAATTAAATATAATGTATGCCACACTTTTCTGTTTTTATATATTTAATTTTTGCAGCTTAAGGGGAAATGAAAATTGCTTAGTTGAATTAAATTTAAATGAAAAACTGTGAGAAAAAGGTTTATGTGGTATTAACATGTTTGTCACAAAGAAGTTTTTTTTCTGTTATTTTTATTTGGGTTAGCCACACTGCAAAAGAGATTTGTTTTTTTCTTTAAAGGATGTTATTTTACTGACCTGGTCCAAGATTTTTTGTGTAAGTAATGAGGTCTTCCATGGTCTCCACCACTTCAGCTACTGACAGATACTCAAGGATACCTTTACACACTCGGATTATCTTACGCACCTGCAAAGAAACAACGTCATAACCTGAGATAGTTTAAAGAACAAATTAATAAGTGCTTTCTTTCATAAGCAGAACAGCTACATTCATTCTGTAAACTTTTTTAGCCCCTTGTTGTTTCTGTGGGGCTTTTGTGTGTGCGCCTGCAGTCTTGTGATATTCATCTTGTGACTGAGAAAAAACTGCTCCTCCGAAAATGAGGCTGGTGATGAGACTTGGTGATCTTAATCACGTGCCCAATGTGATTTCACTTATGGAGCTTCCATCAAAACTTCATGCAGACACACAGATGGCCACACACAGACATACACATACTGACATCCTGAGTTATAGAGGTCATTTGATCTCTGTGATTAGATCTAGCTGCATTTGAGCCGCCATTACAGCCCCAATAGTTCTTCCTTCCTCTGTACGAGTGCTAAATAAAGCTTTACTGTAATTCCCTGAAAGAGACCAAACCATGGTCTGCGGAGATGATGAGTAATATAGACACTAATGCACACTTGTGTAATAAGTAAATACACACCTCTGCTTCATCAAAAGTAAGAAGAAGGTCCGATGTTCCAGACAGTATCCCCCTGGATCCATCAATCAAGTAATCCCTCGCAGGAACCGAGTATGGATCTGCTTTAAGCATCTGAGCTGCCTGTACGAGCTTGGAAGATGAGTTCTCCACCCTGAAAACAACCAGATGTCTTAGGAAATCTTTTTAAAGCATCGACAAGTACATCAAGTTTGAAAATATGATATTTCATTTTTTATATCTACATATTGAGAAACAAAACAAAAACAACAAAAAAAAGTATAATAGTAATACATTAAAATTCTCTGTTTCCTTAAGGGTGCCTCTTCATTTTTTAAACAGACTTTTAAGAAATGAGGATAGCTTTTTGAGTCACAACCTCAAAACCTGATGTACACCAACATAATTGTTCTGAAATGAGGTAATGAGGTATTATTGACAAAACCAAAACCTAAAATACAAAACCCCCACTTTTTTAACCAGGATATATTAAACTGATATTGGGCCTTTTTTTTTTTTTTAAGAGATAAAGGAGATGGATGAGTATATTTTAAACAGTTTTTATTTGGGTAGAAAATGTTAGTGAGCTCAATGGATGTAAACACAGGGAAGGAGGAGGAGTTCCTATCACCCACTAACAGTAAAACTGTTTGTTGTGAAACACCTGGGGCTTGGATTTAAATGAGAGAAGGACCCAAAGCTGATCGAAGATTATATAGCACACCAATGCGCAGTGCAACAATTACCGGTAGATAAAAAAAAAAAAAGGAAATAAAAACACAGCAACAACAGACAGCTTGAGCAGGAAGTCGACAGCCAGACCACAAAAAAAGCATTGTTAGTGAGCATAAAGTTTGTCAAGCAGAATAATGCTTTTCAATTGCAAAATAAATTTTTTTCAGTTTCTGAGCAAAATGAAGGAAGGTGTTTTTGGCTGCATCTGATGTAATATAATATTGTAACAGGCTGATTGTGTAGGAAAAAATTAAGACTGAAACAAGGTTCTATAAACATGGTTTAAAAAACATTCTTTATGCGTAACATACTTAAGAGTGTTTCTGCTCTGAGCCTAACCTAATGGCAGACTTAGGCTAAAAGCAAGATATGACAACAACTTCACATTGTCTACAGCTTCGAATGCGGTATTGATTTTTAAACATGATTTTTTTTTTATACATATTTCCTCAATCTGTGATTGACCCACAGGGGATGGATTTTATGAGGATTCAAATAAATCTAAATCCCCCCTCATTCATATCCCATTGGTCAGGGTATCAATGGCCGATGGCTCATCTATATTTAGGCGGGTTCACATTCCCACATGCTCCTGCTCCTAAGCTCCACACATGAGATTTATGGTGTTGTAGTCCATGTGTGCATGAGAGAGGAGCAACAAGATTGACCTGTTGGAGATCTGGATCATTTCTGTGATCCTGCAATACTTTAAAATTGACAAACAAGTATTAATGTAAAATAAAGATTGGGTGAAAAAAAATATTAAAGTGTGTAAAGCAGGAATGTACCAAGATTTTTAAGAATCAGCTTGTATCCGAAATAGGAAATACAGCACTATCAGTGTCCTGTGTTTTTATAAAATGAACAAGAAAAAACACCAATCTTTTAAAGTACTGTATGCTTGGTAAAATAGATAAATGAAATTTTCTTTTTTTAATTTTCTAAGTTTAAAGTTCCACAAATGTAAAGAAATTTGCAGGAGCATAATTCAGTTTTATACTGCCCCTTTTCCCCAAACCTTGCATGTCTTCTGTGTATTTTAAGGATGGTGAAAGCAGCATGTTGTTTGCACATTTGACGGCTTGTATCTTTTTATACACAGACACCATTCACTCTGTCAGTGAATGTTGTATCTCAGTGTTTAAAACTATAAAGACACACAAAAAAAGAACTGTCACCAACTTGAATTTCTGCTTAATGGCTTGCAACTAAGCACAGTTGTCAGCATAATTGGATCTTCTGAATTTCAGGCTGGTGACAGTTTAATTAATTTTGAAACCATTTCCTGACCCCATACTCAGAGTTTAGAGGCAAACAAGAGTCTACAAGCCCATTTGGTCCACTGTGGCCTATTCCGCTTTATAATGGAAGTTTTCCACAGAACATTTAGTGTCTGTTTCATGCAAATAACAGAATCCTTGAACAACCCATCCTTTGAACTATTGAGAAGCACATTATGAGTAGGGACATATACAGAAAGAAACAAGCAAACACTGATTCCCAGAAGTGCTTAGCGGGGGCTCTGAGCACAGCAAACTTATGTTTCAGTTCTTTGGATGTGAATTGGAAAACAGCTAAAAGCCTCTCAGTGGTCTGGATGCTGGGGCCAAACGAGTACCAAGGCTTGGTCTCAGAAGTGGCTCTTTGTTGTAGCTGGGAACAGAGCCAGGTTTCCTAAAATCCATGGAATCCTGTTTTTAACAAGTTCTCTGGGTGTCAAGATAAAGTGCATCATTTCCAAAAAATTTTCCCCGTCAGACAGAGATACAGAAGCAGTTATTTATTTTTCCAAAACATGCACACTGGTTAAGTGATGAGCTTACTTAATAAAAGCAGGAGGCATGTCTCTCTTCATCACCTGGTCCTCTGTGGTTTGAACCGTTTCCTTCCCCACCTGCAACATATACAGACCTATTCCATTATCATTAGTTACAGCAAGACAGGAAATGTTTTTAAAGGGCACTATTAATAGACTGAAAGGGTGAATGAGTGTGTATCAATTCACACCTATTCCAACCATGCATGCATGTCATTTCTCATGAGCTGGGCAGAGCAGCTTGGGCTCTCATTCATTTTATGCCGTTTGATACTCTGCATGCAGATAGGAAATGTATTTAAGTCAAGCTGCAGATTTTTTAGAGTTTTCAAGTATTAGTAACTTTACAAATACTAGGGCATATCATCACATAAGCAACTGTATTAGCATTGAATGAGTTGGAAAAAATACATTTGATTCAGTTTTATTCCAGTCAATGAATATTGTAATGCACCAAAGAGAAAACGTCATTAGATGCTTATTCTTCAGGCATTCAAAGCAGGAAAACGACACCATTCACACACAAGCATGTCTAACCTTAAGCAGACAAGGAAGCAATTTGCAGAGCATTTCCATGTAACTGCATAATCACAGCCTAAATTATTCTAAACCTCATACTTAGCCCTAAAAAACCCAAAGAAATGTGTGTGTTCCAGCATTTTGGTCTCGACTGACATTCTCTCAACCAACTACTTTAGAGCCCTTAAAAACAAAACACAACAAGGTCTCCCTCTCTAAAACACAGATGTACACAAGCAATCACACATTTCAGATGCAATTACAGCAAAATGATGACATCAGTTTCTTGCTGCTGCTTCAGTGAAATAGGCTTTCTGGCTCCACAGATTCAGGATACAGCAAACTGGCTGTGGTATCATATAAGGTTTGGGATTTTCCTATTTCGACAACAGACATTTTTCTCAGACATGATTTACTGTTTTTTTTGAAGCAATATATATATATATACATATATATATATATATGAAAATATATCTCGACAATAGTTGGTTAGTTGGAGAAATTTCAAATTTGATCCAATTTCACCTTCATGTGTTCTCTCAGATTGAATAGTATACCTACATCTAATCTATTGTTATGTTTGTTCACATTACATCAAACAAATGTGTTTTT